TTAGGAAAGCTAAATGTCTACTAAGGTTTGTCTACCTAGGCAGAATTATCAAATTATCACAATTTGCCGAATTCACCGAAATGTGTATATACAATCAACACATGGCACTGATATAGTCATCGTACTGTCCGTGTCGTACAACCTTCAGGGAGAAAGGGGCATCGGTGAAGGGTAGTGGTGTAGTAGTCATTGATATTCCCCGAATAAATGTATGCAGTCTTTCAATTAATAGAGTATCTGATACTTGTGTAGGTAGGGGCATCTTTTAGAGAACACGCCCATAATCATTTGATACACTTGTGGTCATCCATAGAGTATTAAAGCCCATGATTATAATTTACACACTGTAGGGGCATCTTTTAGAGAACACGCCCATAATCAATTTATACACTTGTGGTCATCCATTGAGTATTAAAGCCCATGATTATAATTTACACACTGTAGGGGCATCTTTTAGAGAACACGCCCATAATCAATTTATACACTTGTGGTCATCCATAGAGTATTAAAGCCCATGATTATAATTTACACACTGTAGGGGCATCTTTAATGTAATTTGCTTATATTCATCATAATACTTTTGAAGGGCATCCAAACAGTAATTATACCCGCATTCATTTTATATATCGTCAGGGCAACTTTAAAGTAATTTACTTGTATTCACGTTTGTATTTATATAATTACAGCAATTATGCCCATATTCGTTTATATATTATCGGATATTTATTATGCTTATATTCATTATTGAATGTCTGAAGGGCATCCCTACAGTAATTATGCCCTTGTTCGCTTCATATTTTATCGGGCATCTTTATTATGTTTCTATTCATTGCATAATGTTTGTAGGGCATCCTTATTCATTTTGATGGACGTAACGGCATTCGTAGACTGATTAAGCGCACATCCTCTTGGTTTTTTCTTATTCTAATGATATTCTTTATTCATGGCCATTTGGATTTTTGTGTACGGTTAAATACAAACTTTCAAGTCCGTACTGTTTTGATACACTGGGCCGGGCCGAGTTAACTTCATTCTAAAGTTGTCCTTAAGTCTCACACTTCTTAATTACCGGCATTCGCGGCCGCCCGGTCGTACTGTCCAAAAACACATAAATAAGGTGTAGCTGGCTGTCACTTGTTCCCCCCCCCCCCCTCACTTTAGGCACAAACCTTCTATTGTAAGACCGGTAATGTAATACCTAGACGCTCTATTGGCACGGCCAGAGATCCAGTAATGTAGTTCTCGAATCTGGAGACTTTTTTTTTGGGATGTTCCATCCCATAGCCATATATTTAAATGCACAGTCTGCGTGATCTTTCACCTCCCCCCCCCCCCAACTTTCACCAACCCCAAAGCCAAAGCATCTACTGTCACCCACCCCTAAACCCCACACTACTGAGCGTTCTTATTACATTTGAGAGACATTTCTCTTGGATTTTTTAGTCGAAAACGGTGTTTTTCCCACAATTCGAACTAATTATATAAAGTGTCCAAATCTGTCAATGTTTTCCTATTTGTTTTAATTTTAACCACTAATGCTTGTTGATATTGTAATTTGTCTAAAATTGTGTGCTTACTAACACTGTCTCTTTATATAATATACCTAAACGCATGACTTTTATTCTAACCACTGGCCATTGAACGAACAATTTAAACCACTTTATTGCATTAGAGCGATTTTCGAATAATTTATTTTATTTTTGCTTGTGATTAAAAGGGCATTTGCAGATGAAGTAAGCCCGTATTATTTTTAGATAACTTGTAGGGGCACCCAAGAGAATTTATTCGGTTTTGATGCATATGAATATACAAAACAATAAGAATGTCCGTATTGTTTCTGAGACACTTTAAGGACACCCTCAAGAATAAGCATCAACAGATTTTTAATATACATTGTAGTGATATCATTTCAAACAATTGTGCCCATTTTATTTTTTATCAATTGTAGGGCATACTAAAAGTTGTTTTAAAGTATTTTAATGCAAAGTAAAGTTATCTGTAAAGTAAATGGGCGCTTAAATAGAACTGATGTTATAAATAGTAGAGCCACCTGTAAAGTAAGTGAGTCCACGTTGATTTAATGAATTGTGGGAGTTATAACGACCATGGTAGCCGTTACTGGATTAATTCCCACACAGGGTTTGCATATGAATACTTGGGGCCTAGAGCCGACCATTAAGTGCGGGCCCCAAGTTTAGCGATACTAAAATTCTATCAAACATCGACAATGCGCACAAGCAGAAATCGCTGTGCTCTATGACTAGAATCGATATTTTCTCAATGTATCGAGTTAAGACGAGACGCTTTATTCCTACGTATCCGACTACTTCGACGTACGAGACAAGACTAGCATTTTTTAGATCCGTAACTAGTACAGGCATCAAAAAAAAAATACACCTACATTGGTCAGAATACAATAGGGTATCCCAAATTTACAAACTAGGTACAAGGGGGTGGAGGGGGGGGGGAAGGGCTCACTCAATCGACCCATCGCCGGCCACCAAACAATCACCCACGACCGTGTTTCTCTTCCCTGCACACGAGATGTGCTAATGTGTTTCTAAAAAATACAGCATTGTTCAAGTTCGAGATGGGGAGGGGGGTAACTCACTAGGCCTAACATCAACCGTGGCCTCAGTCGTAGCAATAAACAATGGCGAACTTTGACTTTTTAGTTTTTTTTAAAATTTAATTCAACGGTGACCGCAGCCCGATCCCGGTAGGGTAATGGAAAATGTAAACTCTTTTGTTGGGCTTGGCATATAGCCCCCCCCCCCCCCAACATCCGGCATGTCCCCCAAACTGTTTTCTCCCTCCCCGAATGAGTCAGTCATTCTTTTGGATATATATGCATGGAGTCTTCTCAAGAGTTCAGCTAAGTCAATTTTTTAAAATGCTTTTCTATTCGTATTCTGATTTATATATATATATATATATATATATATATATATATATATATATATATATATATATATATATATATATATATATATATATATATATATATATATATACATACATATATATATATATATATATATATATATATATACATATATATATATATATATATATATATATATATATATATATATATATATATATATACAATTTATGGGGGCATCTTCCTTTGGGTTTGCCCCGGGCAGCAACATAGCTCTGCACGCCACTGCCCATTGATGAACCTCATTGAAAAAAATATTCTGAAAGTAAGATCAAACTGATTTAAGGCATGAATTTATTGTTTAAAAACGTTTGGCCCCACTTGTAATGGCCGACTAAAAACTTGGAAATGTGTTAATATGGCAAGGCGACCAAGAGTAACGACATGAGCCAGCTTGCACAATCAAATTTACCATTATTGTTTTCCTGGTGTCATATATATATATATATAATATATATATAATATATATATATATATATATATATATATATATATATATATATATATATATATATATATATATATATATATATTATAAATATAAATATATATATATATATATATATATATATATATATATATATATATATATATATATATATATATATATATATATATATATATATATATATATATATATATATATATATATATATATGGGGTCCTCCATAAATGACGTCACACTCGTAGGGGGGAGGGGGGGGTCCGTAATTTTGTGTCGGTGTGTGACGTGGGGGCAGAGGCGTAGCGAGGGTGGGGCGGGGGGACGAACATGTGTCCCCGGGCGCCGACCTTAGGGGGGGCGCCAAATTAAAAGTTTGAGAGGGGGGGGGTGCAAATGAAAAGTTCGAGGGGGGGGGGGGGTGCAAATCGAAAGTTTGTTCCCGGAAGAGTCGCTACGCCTCTGCGTCGGGGGGGGGGGGGGGTCAGATGGTGCGACTTCACACTTTTGCATTATAAAAAAGCAATGTTAGAAAACGAATTTTAGACGTTATTTCGCGTTTTAGAAAACTGTAAACGTTTTAATAAATTGCAATAGGCATTGATTAAAATACTCTATTTTGACAGAGTTCAGACAAGATTTTGGAAAAATATCGATGTTTTAAGAAAAATTCAACTGCAATTTTGAGGGGGGAGGGTTGTAGGCTGAGGTGTGACTTCATTTTAGGGGGTTCTGGCTTTTTTGTGACGATATGTGACGGAGGGGAGGGGGAGGTAAAAATCGTCAAAAAAGAGAGACGTCATTTAAGGATGAACCCTATATATATATTTATAACATTGCTACAAAATATTGAACCACCTCTATAATCGTTTAGCCACTGCATGTTATGTTATTGTGTGTGGACAATCGCATTTGCTAACATGAGTAGGTACCCATCAGACCTGGGAAGTTCTACTCGAGACTTTTGGGTTAGCAGTCGGATGTTCTAACATTCAACCACGCCGTTCCCCCTTGTAAATCGTAAGTCCGCCCAGGACTTTCGAACCCCATACTCTCCCCGAAGTAAAAAGTCTGAAAGAAACCCTGATAAAAAAATCGAAACTTTACAACTTTACTTCTTTTTTTTTTTAAATATCCAACCTATTTCATTTTAGTGAAGGGAGATAACAAATAATTAACGGAATAATGTAAGTTCTGGCTCCTGTTAATAATAAATTTAAATAAATAGTAGGCCTATAAACTGTTTGCGTTTGCTACCCAAAAAATCGAATCATGTTGTAATTTAACACTAAAATGCTTTAGTTTAGCCTATCCATATTTGGAGCATCGCTACATTTTTACTACAATTAAAAAAAAAAACTTTGAAAAGAGAAATAATTGCTGTATTGTACTTTTTAAAATTATACGTCACACTTTATACACCCGCTCCTCTGGTCACGTAGGCCTACCTAAATTCCATTCTCCCCCACCCCTATACCAGTTGTGATCTACATCTATGAATATATTCTAGATCTATGAATATTTCAACACTAGGGCCTAAGTTGTATTCTTATTCTTTTGCAGATCCCTCAAAATCTAACAGAAATTACGAATAATAACAGTTACTCCCCCTGATGTCTATTAATCCAAGATGGCGCGAGCAACAGAGCTGGAATGGGCTCCAGAGTCGCTGTACAATACAGCTATTTCTGCAGTGGTTATGGGCTTTAGTAAATATAGGAGAGAACTAAGAAATTTGACTGATGATGTTATATTTGACGTTTATTATAAGGTGCGTACTGCTAAAGGAACCTATGCTGCTTCTAATGTTTCTTTTAACTTTATTAAAAAGTCAAATCTAGAACTAGAAATAAATTTAGTTAATTTTAAGTGAAGTTCTAAAGAGACGAAACAAAAATATTAAAATAAATGACTGTTTTTGATAGATTTATTAATGTTAAAACACCAATTAGACATGAAGTAGTGTGGTCGAGTGGTCTTCTTACACTTATTTCCCCATTAGGCTTTAAGCCGGGGCCTATCAAATCCCCCCCCCCCTTTGTTCATGATTGAATTTGAAAGGGTTGCGTTTATTTTTTAAAATCATTTGTGATGTGATGGCATATCTCCAAAAAAAAAAACAACAAAAAAAACAAAAAACAACCTATCCCTTAGATTTTTGCTAAGAATAACACAATTTGGGAAAAGTGTGATGAAAACTGTGAATTATTGTTGTTTAAAAAGGACATCCTATTTCAATTTCACCTGATATTTGTTCTACCCTAATTTTAAGTGGTAATACTAATTGACAGTTGAATAGCACTACTAACTAAACTGATGCATTAGGCCTATTAATATTTATTTTAAAATTACTAGATCTATTAATTAAATAATTAGTCTAGTAGGCCTATAGATTTAATTACAGTGCATAATGTTAATTGATCAGTTCATCTACGACCGACATAGCAGATATGAGCCTAAAAGCTTAACTTAATAAACCATAATAGTTTTAAAACAAAAACTTTATCTAGGCCTAAATACTGTAAATAGCACTGTTCTCTTAATCTATACCTCAGTCCTCAGTCACAATAAATGCTTTTATTATTGTAAAATATTATTTCCACAGCAGACTGTGAATAGCCTTGGGGGCTATTCAGTCCGCTGGGAATAACCCACATACGGCTATTCCCAACCGGCTGGGAATAGCCTTGGCCAATTAAAATTGTCAATGACACACTTCACTAGTGATAGTGATATGTGATTAAGGATTATAATAATAATAAAATTGATTAGTTAGGCGAGGCTAAGTTTTATGTATAGATCTACTAGATCTAGATCTAGTTATAACTAGTTGTACTCACTATGATGTAGTTATGTAGATTGTAGTTAGTATTTAAGAATTTAATTGAGATCTAGAATCTAGGCTAGATATAGATAAGATCTAGTATGATATGTATACTAATAATATTTACTATATTAAATACTATTTATTGTGCAAAACAATGTAGGCCTGTACCAGGGTACACCAGGGCTATATATAACTAGTAGATTAGACTTAAAGTATTAAGTATTAAATATACCTATTGTTTTTTAATAGTATCATTATCATTTTTTGTAGGCCCTAAATAAATATTAGGGCTAAATAGGGGCCTAGGCTTATTAAATTGATTAGAGTTTTTAGACTCCAGGCCCCCTCAGCTTATCAAATTAAAACAAAGTATTAAAATTAGGCTAGGGCCTTAATAAAAAAAAAGGTAAAATGAAACATACAGAAATAAAAGTAGGTCTAGAATTAGGCCTATAGGGAGCCTAATAAAAATTTAATAAGATGGTAGAGCCTACACAATTTAGTCATTAAAAATTTATATTAGGCCTGTTGTATTAAAAAACAAATAGCAATAGCCTATAAATAGAGTTTTCAATATTGGCAGAGTGCGCTGTGAAAACATGACCCAAAAACTCTTATTAAATTGCACACATAAATCAATCTAACATTAGTATGTAGGCCTTAAAATTTTAGACAAAGGTATTGTTTATTACTTTAACTTAAATACTATTTTTTAAACATAGCTTTATGACAAAAATGGATTGATGGACCTTGGAAATGAATTTAAAGAGTTGGACATTTTCTCAAGGGTTCTCAAAGTGATGAATAAAAGGTAAGGTTAATCTTTTACACTTAACATAACATTGGTTCAGAAATTTAATTAAATGGTTTAAACTATTCCTTAGAATTTATTTTTAATATAGTTAGTCAAGGGTTTTATTTAAAGAGACGTGTTAGAATATATTTCACATAAAGGTATTGATGATAACTTTTCTCTTATTAGAGGTGTAACTTCTCCTTTAATTTTTTTTTGTTTTCCTTTAAGGAACATCTTCAATTTTATTTATATTAGTAATAATATATATCTTGACAAAGTTTATAAATTTTTGCCTAAAAAACCCTGAAGATATATTTTATTTGTTGTCAGAAACATGGTTGTGCACAGTGTTTCTAAGAAAATTGTATTATGTTTTGTGACAATGTAATTCTCGTCAAAGAAATAAAGTTAAATTTTTTCAAGTTACATTGTATTTTTAGCAAACAGTATATATGTAATTACTTAGTTAACTTACTTTATATATATAACAATACTGAATTTAAGAACTACTGTTTGTAAATTCCTGTAAATATAGGGTACTACTACATCGCTGCTTCCAAGCTATAATGGACAATGGGGCAAACTTAGCTTGTATATTGGCTAATGAGTTTTGCAAACGTCTCACATTTGAAGAGTTGAGTGATGAAAATGCCAAAGGAAGACTTATGCAGTTGGGGTTTTCACTAGGTATTATTTACTTTCATATTTGACTGCTGTTTGAAAAGATTATCTTAACTTTATTTTAAATAAAATTTTTTAATTTTTACAAGTTTGTAATTTAAACAAATTTATATGAGAACTACACTGATAATTTATTGCACAGGTGCATTTCTTTGTGAGGCTGGGTGGTTTGCTGACAGTACTGCAATTTACACTGCTTGTTTAAATGCTTGCATTAATGATGATAGCACTCAATACAAGTGTAGGGCTATGGAGTTCGCTGTTAGGTAATATAATTTTAACCAAGACCTTTTTTTAAATATGCAGTAAAAATGACCAGTTGTTTACCTGTATATATTCAAAGGAATATCATTTAACATGTTTATTTTTTAAGATTACTGCACAGTCAGAATGTAAACTGTCAATACAAGGATGCTGAAGAAACTTACAACAAAGCATTAAAGATCTGCACTGATTTAGAAGACAGGGGCCACAAAGTAAACAAAGCCGTTCTTTATGCTGAACATTGTGCTCTTTTATTTGCCCAAAGCAGATACACACAGGTATGTCTTGCACTAGAAACATAATTTGAAAAAAAAACACTAACTAGTTATTTTTAAGTATACTGCTTTTATTTATACTTCCTGCACCTTATTTTGTTGAGAACCTTTTGACATTTTTTTCTCTTGTTTTACTCTAGGCATTCAACACTTGTCATCTAGCTATTTTAGAGTTAAATTCAAATATGCCTCCAATGGCAGTTGTCAATGTCATGAGGCTATGTTCTAAGGTAATATTTTATTTTCATTCAATCTTTTCAACTTTAACTGATGTAGAGTCAATGAGTTCAGTCTTGTAGTGTAAAACCTTGTTTACATTAGCCACATGTATACTATACACATCTAGAAAAAAAAACTTTGCCATACGTTAATGTTTATTTTATCAAATGTTATCAACTTTTGCAAACTTTTATTTTCTAGACATGTATAGTATACATGTTGCAAGCATAAACACAGTGTAATGAATTATTTTTTTAAACTGATGGTTCTTTAAACTGCCATGATTATATTATAGGAAAATAGCAATATTACTACTCTAATTAAATTTTTCTTCATTGTTTATACAGTCTAATAGATTTAGCTTTGAGTATTCTGTATCAGTATGGTAATTTTACTTATAAAATACTTATCAAATTTTGTTCTACTCTTTTTGGTGTTGCTATACATCCATAATGTGTCCATTAATATATTTTTATCCAGGCATGTGTAGTTAAAAGAGAATTTAAAACAGCTGAGCTCTTAATCAAATATGCAGTGGCTTTTGCCAGGTGGGTCCATAAAAATAGTTATTAGGAACTTAAAAATTTGTATTTGTGTTGATGTCATACTGGCATTCAATCCGTATTCATTCATGTTTAAAAAAAAAAATTTCTCTCAGGGAGAAGTTTGGCAAATACCATCCCAAACATGCAGATACACTTCTTGATTATGGCTTCTTTCTACTAAATTCTGACTGTGTCATACCTGCAGTACAAGTGTATCAGGTTAGTCACAGCCTTAATTGAATGAATCGCCAACCAAAATACTTTAAGTGTTTCATGTCATGATTATCATTATTTGACTAATAGGCATAAATATGAACCAGTTTAAGGCAGATCTTCAATTTTCTTAAAATTTCAAAATTGTGGTTACAGAATGTATTTTTTTTCTTGAAACCTATTAGTCTAAAAATAAATATTTTTTATTTTTTTATTTGCCAGCTTGCACTGGATATTCGCCAGTCAGTTTTTGGTGGTAACAACTTATATGTTGCTATAGCATGTGAAGATCTAGCTTATGCATCCTATGTCAATGAATACAGCTCAGGGAAGTTTCAACATGCCAAGTAATAAAACAAGCCTCAGTTGTTTTTTTTTAAAATATATATTTTTTTACTTTGTTTAACATTATTAACATATCACATCTACAAAAATTTAAGCTATAAAATAATCTGAGTAAATAACTATAAAGTTTACAAAACAAATTTAGAACAGCCAAAATATCAGAAAATAACAGAATGTTTGAAATATATTTTAATCTTATTTTAACAGAGATCATGCTGAAAAGTCAATGAGTATTTTATGTAAAATTCTTCCTGAAGATCACTTGCTCTTATCTTCATCAAAGAGAGTTAAAGGTAGATTCCTATTGTCTTTTAATATTTGTAGTAACTTAAATTTTCTGCTTTTAGACTCAATTTTTGCAGTCTGCATAATTTAAAGCAAGGGAAATGGTTATGGGGGATTGATAAAACGGATAAACTGAACATTATTCAGGAAAATTTGGAAATAATAAGCCTTTAAATTAAAACAATTTTAAGTGGCCATGAGATTACATTTTTTATACAAATAAATAAAAACTTATTAACCAATTGAACATTTCTCTTTTGAATTACATGTCAAATAAATTGATTCCTGTTTTTGTATTAACAGCCTTAATACTTGAAGAGATTGGGATAGACTGCAATGATAAAGAAGAGGAGAAAAAATACCTAGAAGAGGCCTTAAGTCTTCATTTATCCTCATTACATCAAGCTCGTTCTGTGTTTGGTGAAGAGAATGTGCAAACAGCAAAGCATTATGGCAATCTAGGGAGGCTGTTCCAATCAATGAAGAGATATGAAGTAAGAATTTTGGTTTTTCAAATTGTTCTCTAGGAGCATTGGTGAAGGGTAGTAAATCTGTTGTATAATTTTTTTTCTGTGCTATTTCTTTGCCCTACTATTATACTTTAAAAATACATATTTAGGTGATAGCTACTTTTTGTGTTAAAAAGAAAATTTCCAGTTTTATCAATCAGTGTGTATTACATATTTATTTACTAAAGTCACATTGCAATAAATTTAATTTTTAAAATAGATCATTTGAAATAATTAAATATGGATTTTCTACTTGTAAACTGGAATAAATATGTTACAGCTGTTCTCTTTACAAGTTTATTATGTCATTTAAAAAAATATTAATAACAATTTAGGTTTGTATTACCTTCTTATCTGAACTTAGAAGAAGAAAAAAAAATATCCAAATAAATTTTCAAGCTAAACTATATAAAGCTAACAAAACTAGGGTTTGATAAACAAACAGTGATGAAATGTGCCTTTTATTCTATAAAAAGTCAACCATTTATGAAATAATTAACAAAATTGTTTGTATTACCTATTTAGTCTCAACTTTTCCTCATCCATAAACATTAGGATGCGGAAAAAATGCACAAGCAAGCTATAGAGATCAAAGAGAGGCTTCTGGGACCTGATGACTACGAAGTGGCTCTGTCTGTCGGCCATCTTGCATCACTGTTTAATTATGATGTTTTCAAATATGATGAGGCTGAGAAATTGTATTTAAGATCGGTAAAAATAGGTATGTGAATATATTCTCTAAAAATTAATCTCAGTCTAGGAAAGTTTAAGTATTAATTTAAGAGAATGTTACTTTAAGCACTGCTTACACTAGATTTTGTATGAGCTGAGTTTTAAACTCAGCTCAAATGTACCAGCAGTCTAGAGAACCAGTTTCACAATAACCTTGACCTGACTTAGTCCTTGTATGCTGAGGTCATTGAAACTAGTGTACTCTGCTTCGTTTGTCCCTCGTGTCTTGGGCACAAATGTGAAAAGATGATGATAAACAATCCTTCACAAATGATTATAAATAACATGAATCCAAATTTCTTTCTTCTTTCAAATCAGTTGTACTACTTAAGAATCTAATTTTCTAGACAAATCATTGTCAATATATCTGATTTTCACGAGCGTCTTGTAATATACCTACATATCCTTTTCAACTTCAGTTTTTCTATCTTAGCATGCAAGCTAATTCAGTCCACCCGTTCAAACTAGAAGCCAACATTTTTTAATATTCTAGATAAACTCTAGTATATTTTAGTTCTTTCAATTAAAATTTTTAAAAGAATGTCTGGACATTACTTAAGCTTAATTTAATTAATACATTGTGTTTTAATAAAGATTTAAAATGTATATAGGCAGACAGCTTTTTGGAGAAGGGTATAGTGGGCTGGAGTACGACTACAGAGGTTTGGTAAGATTGTACACACAAAGGGGAGACGATCAACAAGCAGCTCACTACAATGATATTATCAATCAATGGTCAGTCATCAGGGATACACATAATGCCAGAGAGGTAAAAACTTTAAAGTTGGTTGAACATTTTATGGTGATGCTGCTGAGTAGAGGGTTCCATTTGTACACTTTCATGTAAAGAGATCTTTTAGCTCAATTAATAGTAAAGCTCCCTTTCAAACCTTGTGTGGGCAGGTGAAGTAGAGATCACCTGTTTCTGTCACCTCGTCATTTGAAGGGATAGTGTAGTCAGTGCTATTCCCAGCCACCTTTACTTTCCCTAACATAAGTCATGTACAGAGTTTGGTGGACTCTGGTATGTGCTACAACTCTAGCCTGGGATGTAATTCAAGAATTTTAAATGCTTAGATCAATTTATATTGCATATAAATTATCAAAAAGCATTAAAGTTTACAAATTACCTATGACCTATAAAATAAAGTTAACAACACAAATGAGATTTTTAAAAATCCCTAAATTCTCTGTTCATTACTTCTGCCCTTTGGAATCTTTGAAGCAATATCAATTGAAAAAATATCAGTTTTAGTATCCTTCTTCTTCTTCTTCGTTCTTAATTATTAGTGTTGAAGGGGATCGAGATTTATCTGCCAGTGAGTTTTGAACTCGAGACTTTGTTCGAATTTATCAACCATGAGCTTTTTGCCGACTCGACCACGCCTTCAACACAATTAAGCGTTACATGTCAACTGGTTATGCGCCATTGAGGCCATTGACTCCGATTTCAGCCTGCTTTTCTTTTTGGATTTGCTCCCATAGCCTTTGTCCAACCAAGAACAAACTACAAGGCAGCAGTTGTTTAATTTTGGAGTTGTCTCTCCTAGAAGAGTGGCTGTCCCCAACTAACGTGCCTCATCTGCCCGAGGGTTCGAACTCGAGACTTTTCGGTTTTGCAACCATGAGCTTAACCGACTCGACCACGCCGACCCCTAGTTTTAGTATAAAACTGTACATCTGTTGTAATGAAAAAGTGCCTCAAGTTGTTCACTCAAACTATTTTTTTAAAAGTATAAATAAAATATCAATGTATTTACACAAGCTGAGTACCTAGCTCATTTTTTTTCATTTGATTGAACTTTTCCCCCTCGATACATGTTTTAAACTTTTGATTGATTGAATGTTTATTTCTCCATTCAGATCAACCCCTTAGAGTATGAGGTTACCATGACGATTCCAGAACTAGTGGAGCTTGTTTTGAAAAATCATTCAGTCACTAACACCTCCAAGGTGGCAGATCACAAAGGGGATGCTAAGGAGAATGCTGAAAGAAGTACAGGAGAATGAAGGAAACACCACGTGTCAGTGTTCCCTGTAGGAAGTGGCAGATTATAGATCTATGCATTGATAAAAGGGTAATCCAATGTTTATACAGGTAGTCTTGGAGATATGGGTTACTTGCACTTTGGACATGTGAGCTACCTCCCCTTCCCCTCACAAATGTCATGTTAATGGGTCTCACACAGGTGTCATGTTCATCTTATAAATGACATGTTAATGAATTTCTTGCATGTGTCAATAAAAAATTGTAGGTTTTTTTATAAGCATAATAAAATGAAATTAAGTGCTTTTTTTAATGTTATAGAATTAGACTATGAATTAATTTTGAACATGAATTATCTATCTGTTCCTTGAAAAAAGAGCGTTAGGTATATGTTATCCTTTCTTTTAAAACGCATTTAATTAATGTTTGTTTTGATAAGAATGTTGACACCTACTGATAAATTCTAAGTGAATTGTAATTTTAAAAAGTGTATATTACGCTTAGCCTTTTGTACGCATGGAGTAATTTAAAAACTTGACAACAGTTTTTGAGGATATAAGAATATGTGTAAAGGTTTGAAAATGAAATTCATGAATAAGAAACAAGACTTACTCCTAAAGAAGATCAACATTTAAATGCAGACAGTCTTGTTAAAGTTAAAATATTTTTTTTTCGATGTAAAAAAATTAGCTGGGCTTTCTTTTTTTTTTCGTATTTAAAAAAAATATTTATTTGTGAAGTAAAATCTGCATGTATTTCTTGCTTTTAATCCATGTTTTGCTAATTTTAAATTTTGTTTTACACTTTAAATGAACTATTTTAATAAGGCCAGTATTTATCCTTTTTAATGTCCCAATTTTGAAATTTAATTTGTTACCTGCACTTGTCTGTTCATAGCAGCAGTTTCCAAACTGTAAGGTGTGCATTCTTGGGGAGGTACAAGAAAAGTTTCACAGAAATCTCAAAGACATTAAAAATTAATATACCTAATGTTTTATCCCCAGAGGTACAGAGTTAAAATTTGCAATGAATCAACCATTCCATAGCTAAATAGTTTTACTTCCTTTTAAATGTCAGAATTTTTCTACCATAGACACCTCACTCCTGAAAAGTGTAAAGTAAAAAGGTGATGGTTATAATGTAGACAAATTTAGGGTATACTACTCACTATGTTGAGGGTAAAAAATATATAATTGTTTGGTAAGGGTGGAGGCACAAAGTTTTTTAATTGTATTTTAATAAAGACATTAAGAAGTTTGGAAACTGCTGATTAATAAAAAAAAAATTAAAGGGAGATAGGTTCCTTTGATGTGCCTTGAAGGGCAAGAGTTGTGTGTCCTTTAGTATGTTAACAGAAGCTGTGTGTGATGTGTACCTTCAGAATGTATATAGTGTTGGCTCTAAATAGTATTTTATTTGAGAAATACTTAGCCGTAGTGATATATGTAAAATTAAATCTGTGTGATCTTAAACCATGACGCTACTAAAAACTTTTTTTTTGAATCTCCAGTATTTCCCAACCCTTCTGTTTTTTTTCCACATCTAGGTGTGTGAGAAAGCTGAAACTTGTTTGTAGAATTTTTTTGCCCCAGATATAAAATAATGTTCCTTTAAATCAATATGTGCTGAACAATTAAACCCTTACTGTGTGGATTTGCTTGGCATGACTTAAATTTACCATACAATAACCATACTATTGCCATCCCATAGCAACTTATTTTTACATGAAATGTTCATTATCATTGTCAAAATCTGTGCAAAGAAAAATGTCTAGAAATATAAATAGCTTTATGCCTTTGAAACATGATTTTGAAATCCCCCTCCCAAAAAAAAAAACCAAAAAAAAAAAAAAACAACAACCCAGGTTGTTTGTTTTGGAAAAATTTATATGAAATGTTTATAAATTTACGTTTTTTGATTATCAAAATTGACATTTAGACCAGGGCTCACACGTGCAATTCATTAATTTCTCCATTAAGCTAGAATCAAACTCAGTGTTTTGGTAATACTAAATGTTAGTGGTACAATATAAACATTGCACCATATCAAGTTTAGATAAATTATTTGTAAAATACTGTAATTAGACTAATTACCATACTGAGATTTGTGTTTACTAATTAATTGTCTTGATAACCTAGGCTAGTATTAGTTTTGAATGAAGTTGAATCCCACCCATTATGGTTAGCATGGATGTAATCGTGTCAATCTTATGCAGAGCTGATTTTTTTTTTATTCCTTAATCCTGTTAGTATACATTTATTTATGTTTGTATACAAGTATTTGAAAACCCATTATAGATATCTTATGGCTAATCTTAAGAATGTGATTTATGTATAATAATTTTTTAAAATAAAAGCGATAAATGACAATAATATAAAACCCAAGTTTTATTATTATTCATATAACTTGTAATAGATAATTTAGATTCTCGTTTTGAGGCTGGCTGAAATTATTTTCATTTTTTTAATACTATGTATAAAGGATGAAAACAATAGTTTAATTTTAAAGGTTCCTATTTTGTGACAGTAAACATGAGTAAGAAAAATATCAAATGTGTGTCTATAAATATAACTGTGATAGGCCTTAATTTATTTTAATTTTAGCATCAATTTAATAGACAAAAAAAAGTTTTTTTTGTAGACTACATTTATTTTGCATAAATATATGTCAAGTATAAACTTTATGTAATAAGTAAACTAGTTTATTTTTCTAATAATTCTTTTGTTTGCCAAATCCTAGAGCATGTTTTAATGTTCTCTTCAGTTTTCTCAACTTTTAAAAAAATTGTATAAAATTTTATGTAAGTTTTAAAATTAGGTTTTCTTTTGTTGTTTTAATGATTTTTTTTTTACGTTTCATACAGTGTATGGGTTCTAAAACTTCTACACAGCTTCTCTAAAAAAAAAGAAACAATTAGTATATGGGGATAAAAGCAATAAAATAAAAATAAATGACAGATTTTTTTTACTATGTAAAAAAAATGTTTTTGCACACTGATTAAAAAAAGTAAATGTGATCATAAATGTTTGCCATGAATTTGTGTGATTTTTTTTTTAATGCTGCTCTGTACTTTCAAATGCTGTACTTTTTTCAACAGTCTCATTCTGTTTGATCTGAACAATGTAATTGAAAACTTTGCTTTTAGTCATTGTATAAATTAGAATTCATCTGACAAGCATATCACAACAAAATAATTACTTGCACAAGAAAAAGCATCATGTGCAGTTTAAGTTAAACATTACACATGTTGGAGACGGTACTCTTCTGTGACTCGCCTGCTTCAATTTTTTTATTTTTAAAATTGTCTTTTGTTGTAAATAAATACTGCTCTGCAGTTTTGTAAAAAAAATAATTGTAAATAAACTTTAACAGATTTGAATTCTGAGACTTCAAATAAATATTGTTTTGTTGGATTAAATAAAGATGTATGTCAATATGATATGCCCTAAATTATTTGATGAAAACTCATTTGCATTTGCTTATTTGATGGTTTGATATGCTCGCAAATTGTGATTTTGTTGTATTATATATTCTTTTTAATTATGGGTCAAATTATAATTTTGTGTAATGTAAGCAGCCTTTTCATCCTGCCAAATAAATAGATGATTAACAATATTTTATTGTTATTTGTTCTGTTTATAGTTTGTGTTGACCAGATAAAAAAACATTTCATAATAAATAAATACCAATAGATCAAGAAAACATATGGGGTAGGGAAATTGAAAAAAATTGTTGGAAAGAAAAGACAAAAATAGCAAATAGCATAATAAATTAATAAATTTTTTTAATAGCAGTGCTGTGATGTTTGAAGCAGTCATGTATATTATTTTATTTACTATCTTTCGTCTCCATAGATGCACCAATAAATTGCAAATAATACTAATATTGGATAGATCTTCAGTAACATTAAATACTGATATGCAAAAACTATCTTTGAGCTTGCAATAAAGCTTTTCAGATGTAATGAGTTTGAACTTGTTATGTTATACTGATAAATGAGATAGAAGGTCATATATTTAGGAAACTAGCTACAAGTATTACCAGATAAGGTATATCATGGAATCCAAATAGATCAAGAAAACACATGGGGTAGGGAAATTGAAAAAGATATGAACATTGTTGGAAAGAAATAAAAATAGAAAATAGCAGAAAAGCATACAAAGATGTTAAATATACAAAAGCCTATGCCCCACTGTGAGTAGGAAGGGCAAAGAAGAAGAAGCAGATAAAATAGATGCAGATTGTTGAAAAACAGTCCATAGTCTACAAGCTTAAAAAAATATTAATTCTGCAATATAAATGCTATTCACATTCTATTACTTTAAAAAATGATAACTGTCAATATCTAGATTTTATTCTAGATATTCATTCATTGTGACTCGAATTATAAAATATTGAGATCTAGGTACTTTTCATTATTTTTATGACGACTTTCGGTATCTAGGAAAGCCATGAAACGAAACGGAAGTTGATATTTTAGTATTACAATAAATCCGCGAAAAGCTACGCAAAATAAGGGTGTTAGTCTTTTTAAAATGAGTGATGTTCAGGAATACCCAGATGTGGTTCAAGAAATTAGAGGGGCGTTGGTAAGTATACTGTCACTGATATAGGATATTAGATCTAAATGTTTGAGTAACACATGGGGAAAATCTCACCAGGTCTGTCAAACATAGGATGTAGTTGTATTCTCATTGTATTGTTACTATTGTATTTGTCATTTGTAACCTGTTATCGATAGGCCTAAATAAAATATATTTTCTAAAGGCTTCATCTTAGAAATTAATATATATATTCAATATAAGGCCTGGCTACTTGATGATTGTAGTTATGTAGTAGTAATAGATCTAGTCTAGTAGTAGAATCTATAATTGTATATTAAATTTAATGTATGTATATATATTTATTATTTATATTAGATCGTCTCCTGGCTGAGGTGGCGGGATGACCTCTGACCCTGAAACGTCACTCGTCGTTTTTTTCGTTTTTTTCGTTTTTTTAGGGGTCCGTTACACGACAAATGAAAAAACTGCTAATATCGCAAAATCTCATCATTATTTTAATGTGAGATGCTAACTAAATGGACGCCATGCCTTAAAATGTTCGAAATATTCACGAGATACGTGGTTTTAATTAATACACGCTATTTTTGTCGAGTACTCTTGGGAAAAACTGAACTGCCGCCTTAAACGGCCCAGTACATGGTCGAAACCCCCTGGTACAGATGCAGAAATATATAATTGAGATATTTATAATGATTAATTACAGATCTGTTAATACATTTTTTAAAAATCGAATATGAGGATGAGGTACCCATGCAGAAATTTCTGTCCGCTTTGTTTACTATCGTGACGTCATTGTTACGCTAGTTACCTCACAGAAACAACTAGTTTTTGTTTTTTGCGGAATGAACCTTTAAGTCTAGTATTTTAATTATAATTCAACTGTAGCGTGTGCAGAAAAAGTAAAATTGTGGAAACTATTATTGTATTAGTAATTTTATTAAAATATTAGTAGGGCCTATATTGATTTTTTTTCTTCACTGTGGGCCGACAGTAGCTGCATTGAATTTAATTCGTGACCGGTGGTTAACCTCGTCAACGCTGCGTGGCCTATTCGTTTATATAATCAGTGATGCTCGTTCAGTGGCCTTTTTCAGAGCTAGGCCTAATTACGGGCGATTTTTAGACTTATTTGATAGGCCGTTAGCCTTTTTCATTGCTGCGTATTTTAAACAATGCTTGTTCAGCGGCCTTTTTTTTTTGGCGCTAAATAATCTGTTTACGGGCATTTTAAGCGTTTATGTGTTTATTATTTTTAAAGCTAGACGTAGATCTAGTTTAAAAAAAATGTGCGCAAGCATCATTTTCGTCTGTTAAAATTACAATTGGTTTAAGTTCAGGATGGAGATCTTTTATCGTTTTTTTTTCTTGACAGATTTTATCAAGATAGATTGACTTCAAGTTGATATTGAATATTTAAATTACTTTACCTTACTACATTAAACTACATTTGCTTTATATTTTAAGAGAGTAGACAAAAAAATTAAGCTAAGTTTTAAAATTAGTCTTAGTTTTGTATCCATTCGGCTCTACTCTATTATAATTTGCTTGAAGAAGGGGGGGGGGGGGGAAGAGAGAGAGAGAAGTGAAGACACCGACGATCTCGTGTACGCGTGTTCATTCTATGACGTGTACTACATGCCTGCTGACCGCACAGTGACCCCTCGACCGTGGTGGGATTTTTCACCCGCGGGATAGTAAACATAAGCTAGCAATCACGGGAGTGACGATGTTTGGAGATTTTATTAAAAAAAAATTACACGTCACGTTTTCAATATGAAAAAAAAATGTAATGTCAAAAAAAAAAAAAAAGACACTAATACCGTGTATGAACTTCAGCTTCCACACTGTTGACTCAATATAATGTGAATTGAGTGTAAAATGTAGGCCTATTTCTTGTATTTATAGACTATCATAACAATCATATTATTTTAAGCATATTTAATAAAATAAGAATTTGAAATAAAAATATTTTTTATGGTAATCTGAGTTATGCAAGTGTTCATTATTTCATAAAAATGGTATGAATAACATGTAGAGTAGAATTTGTAATGTACATTTTCCTTTACCAATTTAATAAATAACTAGATCTAGTTTTATTATCAATCAGTTGGTTTTTTTTTGTTATTTTCCGGTGAGTAAATAACCTAAGTTGACACACCCCTTAAAAAACTTGTGCACACCAGTTCACGACGTCATGCCATGCCGGCAGGGATCGAGAACGTGGGTTTTGTCATTCATTTTCCATTCTAGACTAATTTTAAAATTCTCTCTTTTCTCGTCAACTGAGTAAGCTAGATATTTAAATGTGGTGTCAAATGTTCTCTTAAGGGGTAAGGAACTTAATAGTGTATTTGAAATAACAGAATATTTTATTTAAAAAAATCCATAATTAAACCTAATTTATATCCTTTTGCTGGACAAATCTTGTATTGTTATGAATGATTTCTTTTAAAGAACCCTGGACGATTGAAGCTTCAGAGAAACAGTATTATTTTCAAAAATGTCAAAACAGGAAAGGTGGATCAGTTTCAGAGCTCTGATGTTGATAAAGCTCAGTGGCTAAAAAGGGCTAGAGGTTTTTGTCTGAAATTTATTTTAACTAGTGGTGTGATTCATCGATATGATGGTTTCAAAGATGGGGTAAGCTCTTGCTCTAAACGTTTTTTGGTAAAATCACGATATAGCGTCGGAAATTATTGGGCAATGTTTGTTGAGTTTCTGTAACATCCATTACTGTAAACCATAGTTTATTTGACAGTTGAAATAAAAATAGTGTCAAGTGCATTAAATTAATGTCTTAACTTAATTTAATGTCTAATTGACTAAAAATTAGCAAGAATTAGTAAATTTAAATATTAATAAAGTCGAGTGTAGTAATTAAATGTTTTTTTAAGAAACACAGGAAAAAACCTACAGATGATTTGCGACAACTAGCTCTAGTTCTGTTAGTAAAATAAGACGATTAGATTTACTAAAGTTAAAAGTAGTAAGAAGAACTAGAACAATGTTTAGTAGCAGCAATAATTAGCACATACACTTAAAATAATTAGAAATACAAAATAAATTAGCAAAACAGTATTTAAAATGCAACTAAAGTCAATCCTTGCACGTTTTTAGACATTATGTATTAAAAATAATATGGCGGCAAATAAATGATGGTTTACTGTATTTCCTGTGGTTTTCAGAACGGCTCGACAGACTACGCCATGGTTTTACTGTTTTTTACTGCTGTACAGTTCCGGAATGATAAGCGACGCTATATTGTGATTTTACCCTTTTTTTTGTTTCATCAAATTTCAAGTGTTAGGCCTACATGTTTTTAAAATTGTATTGCTGAAGGAAATTATTTGATTTAAAATGCAATTTTTTTTCTTCCAGGAATTTGAGAAGTTAGCTAAATTCATTTCCAGCTACTATTCTGTGAGCCTTGAGAAAATTGACTTATCCTTGAAAGGTTGGAATTGGGGTTCAGCTGACTTTGAAGGTGCTTTTATATTCTTAAAAGAATCTTTATACTAAATTTGGTGGTTTAAATGTAAATATGATCTCAAGTTGTACCATATTTTCAAGGTTTAAAGATGTCTATATATTTTTGCTTGCTATTTTCTTCAGGAAATTCCCTCAATTTCAAAATAGAAAATGTACTTGCTTTTGAAATACCTCTTACAAATGTGATGAACGCAACAACATCAAAAAATGAGGTTGCCATTGAATTCCATCAAAATGATGATTCAGCTGTATCTTTGATGGAAGTGAGATTTCACATTCCGCCTGTGGCAGACACAGAAATAGATCCTGTTGTGGTAAGCCATTGTTTTATCACCTTTCTTGTGTGCTGGCTAGCCATTTTTTAACTGAATGAATTTTTAATTTTTTCCTATTGCTTGTTATATTCATATATTTATATTTCATCTTTTACTAAATTGGAAATTAAAAGATCAGAAAAATTAACGATTTATATATTTACCGTGCAATTTAAATTGTCTTTTTCAACATAAAAAAAACTATTTATGGCTAAATAATTATCTTTTGCAGGAGTTCCATAAAAATGTCATGGAGAATGCAAGCATCATTCAAATCAGTGGCGAGAGTATTTGTACATTATCTGAAGTCCAGTGTCTTACACCCAGGTATGTTCATTTGTTTTTGACTCTTTTTTTTAATCTTGCATATACTTTAATTTGCATTTTTCTTAATAATAAAGGTGTGTGATATCTATATGCCTACTATTTGCTATTTGTTTCTGTTGCCAGAGGACGATACGACCTCAAGTTATTTCCAGGATTTTTGCAGCTTCATGGTAAAACATTTGATTACAAGATTCCGTACCAGACAATACTCCGGCTCTTTCTCCTTCCCCACAAAGATGGCAGACAGATGTATTTTGTTGTAAGTTGTACACACCATACATTTTTAGCTTTTTTTTTCTGATTGTAGTATCTTTAGTATTGCTATGGAAAAAATGTGAAAACTACAGAAGCACACTTAATCTCTGACACCATCTGCAAGTTTGCTGTGTCAGTCTGTTATCGAAAATATTTTTAATACTTTAACGATCTACAGGTTAGCTTAGACCCACCCATCAAACAGGGACAAACCAGATATCACTTTTTGATTCTGTTATTCAATAAAGAAGATGTGCTTCAGTTGGATTTAAATTTATCAGAGTAAGTGAAATGATAGTTTCGTGTATTTTTAAATTTGTCCTCTATAAGATTTTGAATTTCCAATAACAGAATATATTTGTTTCCTTGAAAGGTTTTTTTTTTACAGATTAATATATACATGTATAAAATTTATCTTGAATAGGGAAGATATTAAAAGCAAATATGAGGATAAGCTTCAGAAGGAAATGAATGGACTTGAATTTGAAGTGGTCAGTAAAGTATTCAAGGCTATCACAGGCAGAAAGATCACAGTACCAGGCAGCTTTATGGGGTGAGTACTCAGTTAACACTGTCAGATAGAGAATGGAAACTTAGAACTGGTAAAAGTTGTTTTACATGCATTTTTTAAAAACATAACACAATATTTCTAGTTTAATTAGGTGGATTACATAGATTGGCAAAATTGTGGGGATACTGGGCAGTTATTTTTTATACATAACTATGCATGTGGCCCCTTTGACAGTTTGAGTCGCTTAGTTTTCAGTCATCTCAAAACATGCTCTAAATGGAGAAAGCTACACCTTGGTTTCTAATTATGATTGTGAACTTTATCTTTGATGCTTTATACCCTTTGTGTAATACTTAATGAATTGAAACATTTCAGCCATTCTGGAGCCCAAGCAGTGAGCTGTTCCTACAAGGCAGCAACAGGTCTCTTGTACCCATTGGAGCGAGGGTTTATATTTGTCCACAAGCCTCCCCTTCACATCAGGTTTGACGAGGTGGCCAATGTGAACTTTGCTAGGAGTGCTGGCAGCACCAGGTCGTTTGACTTTGAGGTGGACACTAATGCCGGGGCCACGTTTACTTTTGTTGGTGTGGAAAAGTAAGTTGAGTTTCCTGTACAGTTTATTTTGTTTACCATTGTGATGGTTTCTTTACATCGTGAAATTATATATTTGCATTTAAGTAACAAATTTTAGTTAATCAAAATTAGATGGGAGGGGAAGTGTCTTGATAAACCTGGTGAGAAATGAATAACTGATGTTTTGACTTCTTGATTAGATGTGAATGAAACAAGGAGATTCTGTTTCATTTTTACAAGCTTTTATTTAACTCACTTCCTCTGTCTGTCTAGACGGAAACGCAGGAGTGAAAATTCGGACAGTTCTACTTGACCGATACGATTCACAGTTGGCACGTGGGTCAAGACATGAAGACAATGCAATCTGAAACTAAATTTGACTTAATTGGATGCCTAATTAATTTTTTATGAATTAATTAAAATTTGGACCGAATTAGTAGGCATGTCTAGCCAACCACACGCGTCATCACCTTCAATAGCTGCGCCATCACGTAATGGCTGCGTTCAAAAACCATTGCGCGCCTACTGAACGTGATGTTCAGTAGGCGCGCAATGGTTTTTAGTCATGTAACTCTATTGTAAATAAAACATGTAAAGTACTGAAAAAAAAATTCATAAAAAACGTTTTAATAACAAGCTTTTATGTAATGATGCACTAAAAAGTAGAAAATAAATTATAGACTACTATTTAAATAACTATAAAGAAAAGCGTGGGTGTCTTCCTTAACATTAGTAAAGGTATCCAATAGATACTAAAGTGACCCACGCTTTTCTTTATAGTTATTTAAATAGTCTATAATTTATTTTCTACTTTTTAGTGCATCATTACATAAAAGCTTGTTATTAAAACGTTTTTTATGAATTTTTTTTTTTACTTTATCATATGGTCTACTACTATGTTTAAGTTTTTAAAAATTTTAAATAAATGTTACAAGTTTCCTAGTTAGTAATGCACAAAAAGCTACTTTTTATATATTTTATTGAAACCTTAAAGTATATACTATCATTCTGGCAAGCATTTTGGTTTAAACTTGACAAAAATGCTTATGGCTATCTAGATATTACAATTGAAATGTTTACCAGCACTATTTTAGTTATGGTTTAAACTAAACCTATTAGAAAAAAAAGCAATAATGCATGGTTGGCGGTAAAACATTTTTACCATAAATAATGGCATTTTTTCAGAGATGAATATGGTAAGCTGTATGACTTTGTTAAAAGCAAAAATCTGAGAGTCAAGAATATTGGAGACAAAGGGGTATGAATAATTTGGACAGTCAAATATTATACTTTTAACTATGTAGTATAATAGTTCAATTAGCAGTTAATCATGTAAGAGATCTTCAATACATGTTTTAAGAATTTGAATTTGACCCAAAAAATGTTGACGTTTCATTTTTTGCCCATTTTTACAGAGCAAAAATCCATCATACAATGAGATGTCTGACAGTGATGCTGAAGGAGCTGACCATGATGCTTACTTAGAAAGAATGAAGGCAGAGGGCAAGGACAGAGATGATGATGACAGCGACGACAGCTCAGGTGAAAATTTACGACATCCTTTTTCCCCCCAATATCTTTTAAATCAATTTAGCTTGCTGTTAAATAGGAAAAGTATTTCTTTGTTAAGTTTTATGTGGAGGCTGATTATTTAAACTTTGTTTTTGGTTTTTAGATGAATCCTTCAATCCAGGAGAGAGTGGTAGTGAAGTTGCAGAAGAGTAAGTTCAAATTTTAGTACATTTTTAAAAATAACAAATTACTGTTTTGGAATGTAATTATGTTTCATACACTTTTATTTGTGATACTGAATAATTATTATGTAATTAAGATATATAAATGGTTCTGTATGGTTGTGGGGGGGGGGGTGGATTTAATAGACCTTCTGCCAGATGTGAAGGTTGGATGAATGGATAGATCTACAGCCACCAGTTGTGAGGGTGGGGTTTTGAAGATGATGAAAATCCAACACACAAGTTCAAATCAAAGTATAATGTTCTTTATTAAATTTGTACAGAATCAACTTCCTACCTACTAATCTACACTGTACTACTACCACTACTATCTATCTAGCTCTACATAATTACGACCATCTCTAACCGATACCTAACACCAACTCCTGGCCTAATTGCAGACCCACTCTTCAGTGGTCAGCTGACCGTCCCACGTGACTGGTCAGCTCCTGTTCTTTCATTGGTCTTTCTAACCAACTTGCTATATATCCTGTTTCTATTAACTTCTTCTACTTGACCTAAACTAACGGCATCAAAATGATCCTGACTTATTTTTTGTGCTTTCAGGTATGACAGTAACCCACCCACCACGTCAGATTCTGACTCAGATTCAGATTATAGTGGTGGCAGCAGTGACGGGCAGGCAGTTGGGTCAGATGCAGAGGAAAGGAGGCGTGTTAGGGAAGAGAAGAAGAAAGAAAAAGAACAGAAGAAAAAAGAAAAGGAAGAGAGGAAAAAAGAACAGAAGAAAGAACAGAAGAAAGAACCAAAGACAAAGACAGTTGTAAGTGGTTTGCAATGACTAGAAGTTTTTTTTTTTTTTTAAAGTTGATGTTTTGTATAATTTCTCTTTGTATGTTTTTAATATCTAAATTTATTTTAAACAATGGGGATCTTTTGTGTAGTTTTTCCAAATCCCATTGTTGTTGTCCTATACCTTTGGTGCCCAGGATGCATGGGGCCACCATAGAAAGATCCTTCTACTTTCTGTCAGGTCTCTGACAACTTTCTTTGTTGTCCCCTTAAGATAGTCCAACCTTTGTCAGTCGTTATTTTCTGTTGTGTGTCCCAACATCCCCGTCTTTTTAAAAACACTTTGATTTTCTCGATTTGTTGTGATCTTTCTTTCACACCAGGGAATTAGGGGAGTAGAACAATATTATTTTGTCATTAAAGCAATTTTTATTAAACTAGCTGCATGCATTTTTATTTTTTACACAGAACTGCTTTAATAAGATTTTGAAAATTAATCCAAGAAAATGCATGAGTAACAATTAGCTTATTAAAAACTAAATACCAAAACTTTTGTATAACTTGCTTTCACAACAAATAATAAATAGCCAGACTTCTTTTCAGAAGGACAATACCTACCGGTGCACTAGAATTACCACGTGTTTAGATTAGTTTTTAGCTCAGTTATCATTTGTTCTAACTACCCACTTATCTGTTATACATGTGGTTTAAAAGTCATTTAAATGAATGGTAAATTTTTACAAAATGGTTTGCATTTTACAACTTCCAGAAAGAAGGAAGCACACGCAAGAGAAAAAGTACGAAAGGTAAAGACAAAGACCCCAATAGGCCTAAGAGACCGCAGTCTGCTTACTTTATTTGGCTCAATGAGCACAGGGAACAGATCAAGGAAGAGAACCCTGGTATTTCCATTACAGATCTTTCTAAGAAAGCAGGAGAGATGTGGAAGGAAGTTACTGATAAAACTGTAAGTGCTATCTGTTGCTGGTTTTACTTCTAGTAGGCTAGAGAGGATTAAACAAAACTCTGTTTTCATGCTTCTTTAAATATGCTTTGTGTCTGGGTTCTGTTTATTTCTGTATTGGGTATGGCTGAGATATGATTATTGCTGCTTCATGGTTGGTGGGAGTCCTGTTTTTGGGTGAAGTTTCAGGATTTAAGTAATACTGGAATTATTCATTGGTTACCTGGACATTAAAATTTATTTTAAAAATATTTTTCAACTCATCCAATTGCTATATTTGCTTTTTAAAATCTACAATATGAAAGTATTATATTTTAGGAGTGGGATGAAAAAGCTAAAGAAGCAAAAGCTGAGTACCAGAAGGCTATGGAGGAGTACAACAAAAACAAGCCTTCTGACAGTGAACCTGACGAGGAAGATTCTAAACCTGCCAAAACTAAAGCCAAATCATCACCTAAGAAAAAGGTGAGTGAATCATTTGATAGATGCTATTATCAATTTACTGTCTGAACAAAAGTGACGAGTTCACTAGTCAAATCTGCGACAACACTTCAAATTCATTTTCCCAGAAATTGTTTTAAAATCTTTCTATTAATCTGAAGAATTTCTATTTTTTACTGTTAAAAGATAAATTTTAAGGTAAAAAAATGTTTAAACCAATTTGAGTTAACCTTATAAGCTTTAAAAATAACACTTTTAAAAATTTTTTTATAATATTGACTTTGCATGTTTGCTTAAACAAATCAAAGATTTTAAAGTTTTTCTGTCTCCAGACTTGTTCAGTGTTTATTGAATAAAATGCTAAACTACATTATTTTTTAGTAAATTGAAAATTTCTCACTAAGTATAATTTAGTTATTACAATTTAAAAAAATAAAAAATAATTACGGTAGCAGTGGCTTTAAAAATAAGAGACTTATTCAAAATATTTTTCTGACAGGCTGACACAAGCACAAGTGGGGGTGGAGGAGGTGCAGGCTTCAAGAGCAAGGAATATATTTCAAGTTCTGGTAGCGATTCAAGCAGCTCAGAGGGAAGTGACAAACCCTTGAAAAAAATAGCCAAAAAAAGTAAAAAGCCGGAGAGCCCTGCCAAATCTGAGGTAGAATCAGAGAAGTCTGCTAAAGGCTCTGATGCAGAGTCAGCTAAAGGTTCAGATGCGGAGTCAGAGAAAGCGGCTAGTGAGGATGAGGTATTGTAGAAATATTTTTTTTCAAAACTAAACATGTCTTTTGCTTTTATTTTTAAGATTTTTTATGAAATGAAATTCAAGCTTCAGAACAAATAATACAAATCAGTATATGTTTCTTTATGAAACGATAGTGGTCAGCATTATGCTCAGCTATGTTTTTCTTCCTAATTCAAGTCAGGTACCCTCGGACCTGTGTAGACGTAACAATATCCAATAGATTCAAGCCCATGAACTGAACACACTTTAAAAATATTAAATCTGTCGAAATGATATACTTAAAGAATAGAACTTACAATATTAAATTGTTAAGGAATTTGGCGTAACATTTTTTTTAATTTCAGGAGAAAAAAGAAGAATCAGGTTCAGCTGCCTCGTCAGCAAAAGAAGATTCCGGCTCCGAGTAAAATTCTCCACATGTACAGCTGTATATAACTTGTTACTTTGCCACAGAAATGTCAACTTGCTGGTTATGCATAAAATCTATATTCATTTCTCAAAAAAGTTGTCCATTACTTAAGAAATGTATGTCAATGAAGGGACATATGAGTTACAGTGTTGTTTGTGATCATACACACTATTGATGACTGGGCATTAGTTTCTTGGTCAAATTTTTACACTGATTTTCTGTTGTGACACATGCTTGTTCTAAGAATTGTTGTAAGACACTTGTGTGTATTTGATAGTGACACCAGAAATAAAAGATTATTTACGTTGTAAAGTGTGGCCTGTTTTATTCACTGTTGTCTACCTTTACTGTAACAGAAAAATAGTGTAGAAAAATTATTTTACCAACATTCTTATATGTACCTTATATATAAAATGATAAGCCAAGAAAGTCTGATTACATATAAGTGCTTTATTGCCCAATAAAGTGATTTTAGCAAAGAAATTTAGAAAAATCTCACAAGTGTATGTTGAAGTTTATTGTGATTAAAATGCAACATCAAGAATTTGTTTTTAGACTGAAGACATCAGATCAAAAGAAAGATGGAAGACATTAAAAAAAACCAAATAGTGTAGCAGATGCATTAATGAAAGAGTTGATTTGTGGGGAAAACGACTCCAATAGTTTGATAAATCAGTGCTAGCAAGACATTCATTTACTAAGGATTTGAAAATAAAATATTTAATAATATGCTGAATTAAAGTACATTAATGAAAAATCATATTTGGGAATTCATCAATCATGTAAAATAACTGCATTAGTTATCACATTTATGCGTTAAATACATCATTAAAATATGATGAAAAATGAACATGAAAATAGTGAATCACTGTGGTAGGCTATGTCATCATAGCTACAAATCTATTGCCTTTCTCCCCAAGGTAGATAAACCACCTATGGTGTCACATACAAATACAATAGTGAAATGCCTAAAGCAGTTACAAAAGTCAGTGAAATATAAAAAGTAATGCACTTAGAATTGGTATTGAAGCATTAGAATTTTGAACAAACCAAAATCAATTATAGAAAAATATCTCTCATTGCACATTCCTCTACTTTAAAGTCGTTGAAGGAAAACTGAAAAAAAAAAGGTATAAAATGCGTATTGTTTTGGTTATATTAGATACTACATTTAATAAAAAAATATCAAACTGGTTTATGTTAATTTGTAAAAAACTGACTTTGGTAATAATGAAATGGTGCCATCTTGTACATCGTTAAGTAAATCAATAGAAAATAACCCTGGCTACTGATTGGAATGTTGGAGTAATGAAAGTTAAACAGTATATCACAATAGATCACTATCTAAAGCTAACAATAACATACTTTGAAAATGTATCAAGTTGAAATTGCTCACTTCGATAGAGAACTTAAAAAATATAACCCATTTAAAGAATTTATTAGAAAATAAATAAAATGAACACAGTAAAATTTAATAGAATAAATAGAATATCTATTAAAAATATAAAAACTAAGTAAATATAATATAGAAATAAACTACAGAACATTAAAAAACATCTACTAACCACGTTTTAGAATAAAATGTAAATTTATTTCCACATTAACAGTTTACTACTCTGAGATTCTACTAAAAACAGATTAATTATAGTTCCATTTAAGATTTTAAAAAATCCATGCAAACTGAACAAATTGCCAAAAGAAGAAATAAATACAAAAATGTATTTAAAAATGTTTAAAAATTATGCAATAAAAAGAAGGCTAAAGAAATATTTTACAATGCAATTAAAGCAAAAAAAAAATATTTTTTATACTAGACTATCACCTCACCAACTTTTCAACTGACCAAATTATTTTTAAAAACATATCAAAATAACCAGTGTCAACCAAAAAAAACGGTAAAGAAATAGCACCAAAATCAACTTCAGTTGGAAAATAAAAATTGTTAAATTGTAAAACTTTTATACTCACATTTAATCATCTTCACTTAAAAACAACATATTTTAGCATTGCTTGTTAAAGCAAAATGTGTAATAAAATATAAATGGCAATTTTTACTTTATTAATTCAGATTTTTAAAATAAATGTTTACTTTATCATTCAGACTTTTAAAATAAATTTTTACTTTATTAATTCAGATTTTTTTTAATAAAAAATTATTTTGATCTGAATTTATATCAATTCAAAGGAAAAAAAATCAATAAACCAACAAATACCAAAATAAAGATAAATGCTAACATTCAAAATAGTTTTTTTAAAAATGGAAATTCTAGATAGCTTAAATAGTAAATTGACTCAGTAGAATTCTAATCTGTCAAAAAATATTAAACTAAATTATAAATTAAATTTCTAGATCTGATGTGTTATTTTTAACTTTAATTTGAAAATAGTTTTAAGTAAACATAATGTATCTAACCAGTCTTTATCTTTGCCACTACTATACTAGGGAAAACCATTTCATCTAAACACAATGATGGTTAGTGAAAAGTTTTAAGTTAAACAATGAACACAAAAACTTCAAAGCACAAAAAAAAACTGAAAAATTTAAGTAAGAATATATATATATATATATATATACATACATATATCCTCATTAACATAGAAATAAGGTAAAAATATCGCTTTTCATAACATAAAATTGAAAATATTTTTGTATCAACAGGAATTGAAAGAAACTATGGTTATTATTGAATGAACAAAAAAAAAACCAACAATCAACATAAATCACTAAAACTCAATAAACTACTTATATATGACATTATTTATTTCAAAATAAATATTTCAATGTATCAAAGTATATCATTTTTGGAATGTTATTTTTTTTTCAAAGGTCAAAAAATAAAAACAAATTCACAGTTTTGTCCATAAGACACATTTTTTTAGGAGGGATGCCATATTATGTGTTATATGGGTTTTAAAAAAGTGAAATCACACCCAAATGATTATTACAAATATGTGAAATCACACCAAAATGATTACTAGATGTTATTCTAATTAAATACTCCTACAAATAACAACACAGTATGAGAACAGTTTTCAGTTAATTTTTCAGTCATCAACTGTCAATTTTTCAGTGTAAACTTAAAAGGTGAAAAGCTTGTCATTAATTGTGGCCAGCAGCCTGGATAAATAATACAAATATTCACAACAGTCACTATGAGAACTTTTCTTCCAAGTTAAAAAGTTTTTAAAGAAAGTTTTACATGTAAATGTCGATTTCTCCACCAAATGAAAAAAAAACTGATCCACTAACACTGTTATATAAAAATAAATACGTGGAGGGTGGATATAAAGATAAAGTTGATTTTCTTAATAAAGAAAATAAGGGATTCAATAATACAGATTATTATCATTTAAATGTTGTACTAAAAAATGTTTTTCCACCAATATAATAAAAAACTTTTACTTTTAATATTGATTAATTCTGAGCTGAAAACAGTAGGTGTTCAAAACAAATGGTAAGGTCCTTAACTGAAAAAAATTATTTTAAATAGGTTCTAAGGTTCTAAATGAAAGTTATTAAGATGTTTCCTGTGAGTTTAGGCCATGCAGGTTGAGCAGAGTTTCAACTAGGTCCACATTGTCAGAGAAGTTGGGCAGATAGAGGTCAATGTCTATAAACAACTGTGGACATTTACAGAAACAAAGTTTATTAATAACAACAATAAGTGAGTACATATTTTCTAACAATCATTAAATGTCAACACAACATTGAGGCTGGTCAATTATTTTTTTTATTACAACTTGAAACAAAGTTGGATATATGCAAGATGGAAATGATATTTTATGATATTCTAACAAAATTAAATGGACCACATTAAGTGATTAATTTTGGGTATGAAATTTGTCATCATTTACAAGATATTCTGAAACAGTTATTCTACTTCTTTTATTTAAATAAAACAATCCACAACACATTGTAAGTATCATTTATAGACATTACACTGCAGATGAAGTAGAGTACACCTGCTCTGTGGCCCCTGCACATAAAGAGAATGTGAAGTGAACAATATTACCATATGTATTTCATCATCTTTTTACATTCGTGCCCAAGACATGGGTAAGATGAAGTAGAGACCTCTCCATATGAAGGGATAGTGAGGTCAGCACTATGCCCAGCCGCCTTTGTTTTCCCTAACATGACTTAGGTACACATGGACATTCTACTGATTTGAATTCAGATTCAAACTCGAGATCTTCAGGTTAGCAGTCTAGCTCTCTACCACTAGGCCACGCTGTCCCAAATGTATACACTTTCCATGATAAGTCATCAAAGTTGGGTTGACTCCCTGAAATCTGATAGGTTAGCATATGGCAGTATTAGAGATTAATGACTTATTTGTACTCACTGTTTCCACTGTCCCTTCTGGGTCAGTTATAAGAGCCTTCAAGAAATCTTTTCTGTATGGAACAAACCTGGTCAAATTCTAGTTGAAATAAGGGAGGTAAGTATTATTCTCAAATGTATTACATCTGCAAATTACTATTTAAAAAACTTGTATATTTTAAAAAATTCTTATAAGAATGAGTCAACAAGTATTCTGAGTTGTTTAAAGAATGAAAAATGAATTTAAAGTGGACAAACCGAAAGAAAACAAAGTAACACAGACAACAAAATCGGACAAACAGAAAGAAAACAGAAAGTTAAGAACTCGCACAGACAACAGAATTACACAAACAGAAAGAGAACACACATTGACAGTTAAGATCTTGCAGAGACAACAGAATTGGACTTCTTCTGCATTCTTAATTTAGTTTATGGTGGAGGATTTAAACAATAAGTCCAACTCTGTGTATGAACTGGACTGTGGTCTCCAGGTCCGCGGGCGCCCCATATAGTTTTTCCTTGAGTGCGGTGTAAAGGGGCCAGTGTTTGGACAGAATTTGACAAACAGAAAGAAAACAGTGAGAACTCACTGAAAACAAAAACTTGGAGATGACTCCGTGATAAGGTTTGAGGGTGGTCTCGTAAGCCTTGAGCACTGTGGTCCTCAGATTCTCTTCCTGCACTTTGTTGTGGTAATCTCTGGACAAGCCTTTGATGAAAGCACGCAAAAACTCCAGGCCCCTGATCACAAATAGTAAAAAAAGATGCTTTAAAAATAGCTTTAAACTTAAGTTAAGTATAAATACAGTCGTTTTGTCATAGAAAAATACAGAATGTCTGGCCAATCATCTGTAATATTAAAATTTGAAAAGAAATAATATAAAAAAAGTATAGTTTAAAAAAACTTTTCTTATATAAAACAAAAAAATTACTTCAAGTCTTTTTATAAGCACCTTTTCAGCCAAATAATTCCAATAATCGCGCTACTGTTTTTATGTCCTTCTTTTGAATCCTTTTCCATTATTGCATTCAAAGAGGAGTAAAGGGTTGGATCTGTCAGATAGCGATCTTCAATCCTCTGTTGGGTAAATATTGAAATGTTAATATAATTTTTATAAATTCAATAACTCTTACCTACTTACATTAAATCAATTATTGTCAAAATTAAAATTGAACAAGATTTTTTCTTATTTTTATTTATGTTTTACCTTAATGTTTCCTAGCATGTCTTTCTTGGGCAAAGCAAATTGGGAACCCAAGCGATCTAAAAATGAAGATAATGGTTTCTTAATGGAGAAATTACAAAAGGCAAAAAAATTGATGCCACACTATATAAGAACTAATCATTCTAATATGACATAAAATTATTTATATTACTATTCTTGTAAGTTTCTTTCAGACTAAAACTTCTAAATTATAACATAAAGTTTTTAACATAAAGTCCAGTCATTGAATAAGTTTATAAAACATTTCATTTACAGAACCTTATCATAAAAAAAAAACCAATGTGCTTTTTTTTTTTTACTTCCAGAAAATCAAATATATAAAAAATGTTTTTCAATCATAACAAAATCAATGACAAAAGTTAATTAAATTCTCTACCCAGTATAGTAGTGACATCTGAACATGCCCTCAGAAACTGAACTGTGTTGATCGTTTCATGCTCGTCAATAGACTGAAACTTTGACAGAATGCCAAAAATTGTTTTGTCACTGAATTCATTTATTCTGCAATCACCAGATCCTAGCTCCACGTTTCCTGACATGTTTATGTCCCCTTATTGTCTGTTATCTCCCCTGGTAACTCTCACTTGCTCATATCCTGAAAAACATGGAAACAATATGACATTATATAAATCATTATCAGCACAGAGGTAAAAATGTATTATTATTCTTAAAACCCCCATGCCTTTAAAGGTGTATTGATTAACACATCAACCTGGCTCTGTGATTCTGTGGTATAATAAACAATCTGAACTTTCAAAATGGCAACCACAAGAGGCTGTCTAAATGTCATAGGTAGCGCAAAGTAGATGCAGCTAACAAGATATGCCAAAAAAAAAACCTCAACATTTTATGTAACATTAGTGTCAGATTGCAGAGAATGAAACTTATTGTAATAGAAGGCACATTATTTCAAATCAGAAAAAAAGTATTATTGGTTTAAAAATGAAATTTATATGATTTTATTTTTATAACATTAGTCTGGAATCAGTATGTACATTCATTGACACAAAGAAGTTACATAATTGTCAGAATTTGTGTGACAAGCAATGAAGCATATGCATGTTTTAGGGTTTCTTTTCGATATTTTTCTAGGGTGGGGGGCAAATAACATTTACCCGAATAGAAATCTTGTGTTGAAAGTGAAGATGTTTTGTTAGTATTGGAGATAGTGTTGAAATGTTTAGTTGGGGTTGAAAAATGTGTGTTGGTATAGTTTATTTGGTGCTGACACAAGAGGCTTAGTGATTGACATGGGATATTTGTTGTTTAGAACTTGAAAAAGCTATTCACAAAAGATAATATAAAAGCTGGTGATGGTATGGCTTTAATATTTCAATGTAGCCATTACCACCAACTTATTACCAATAGGAATTTTAAAAAGTAATTAAATACAAATTTATTAAATTAAGCAGCATTTTAAGAAAGTAAAAGCAGTTATGTGTATGATGCATATAGTTATTAAGCTCTAATAGGCACCCCACTCCCATAAATCCCCCAATAAAACTATTGATCTACTTTTGAGGTAACAACCACAACTGTTCTTTGATCACAGACAAGCAGAAGATTTAAGTAATGTTATGTATGACTCTCATGGCCCAGCTGGGAGCAGATGAAAGAAGAATTTGTAGTAAATTTCCCACCCCCATAAACTAATATGGCAAGTGTTTTTTCCCAAATAGATATAACTTAGCAAACTTCACTTAGTATGTAACACACGACAATTCATTTTTCAAGGCCATTCATTTAAGTCTTCAAAACATTAAATCATCAATTTTATAAATCTATAACATTTTTGTCCTGCTAGAAACTACTTCGAAAAATTAATTGAGTAAAAAAAATCACATGACTTTTTCAAGGCTGTCAATGGTCCGATGTATACAATACTGAGATAAAACCCTAATAATGCATAAGGGTACAATACCCAAGTTTATTATAAATAAAAGCAATACATGTCCAGTTTACAAACAGATGTGGATCTCCAAGCAAGAGTATGATGAAACCAATCACTTTATTATAAACAAAAGCATAACATGTACGGTTTACGAACAGATGTGCATTTCCAAACAAAGGTTACAACTCCAGTAAATTGTTCTTGTGATATTGTCAACCATCTATCACCAACCATGCTTAAAAATGTTTTATATAAGCCCACTATCTTTCACTGCCGTCAAAAAACCTATGTAAGCTGCCACACACTACAGCCGTGTTGACCCACGTACCACATGAACTCTTCCGTCTCATCTGAACAAAATTCAATCAATCGCCCCTTGTTTTGCTCTTTGCGATTCCAATATTACAGAACAACTCCAGTCAAGCCGATATTTGACTATATGTTAGGTTAGCCTGTCGTCCCTTCTGGGACATAGGCCGCTGACAAGAGCTTTCTGACTATACGTACACAAGCTTGTAATGTGTCAGTTTTTCAAAAGCCTATAACCCTATAACTTGAGTTCTGTTTCAGATAGATAAACAAAATTTCACATATAAGTAAGATATCTAATTTTCTGCCTTCTGTCAAATTTTGAGTAATTTCCGCTGACCGGAAATAGTATTTACGATATTTCCGATTTTTTTTTCTCAAAAGGTAAAATGAATTTATAAAGTACTAATAATATTTCGCGCTATTTTAAACATATTATTTGCCATTCACTTGGTGCAAAAAAATTTTTCTACCACATTTTATTCTATTTTAAAAAGTGTAAGTAATTAAAAATCATGTCTATATCCCGAGTTGCCATCCCACGTAGTGTTATATAAGAATATTCAAGAAAGTTTAGGGGAGATTACTCCTGGTTTATTCTTATTTTAGAAGAGAAAACCACAATAACCTTGACATTTGTGGTGAGCTACATATATCTAGAATTTATTTTATCTAACAGTTAATCGGTTCAAGTTTTGCCGCTAAGCGAAAAGTTGGTCATTTCATCCAGGCATGTGTGAAAGGAGAAAATGTGAATCATAAATGAAAATTATGTGCCAAGCACTGTGGTTTCACATTAAAAATCCAAACAAAGTATCTACAGGCAGATTACAGTAGGGTGACTGTGAAGCTCAGGTCAGCAATAAAATTATAATATAATTAATGAGCAACACTGCATCTAGTCAAACTCAACTGGTACCGTACTAACTAATGGACTCTATTAGCAGCCTATTTAATAATATTTATTATTAAAATATTAATGCTATATGTTATGCAACATATGCATTTTTGTAACAAGCCAAAAGTGAGTAAACATTTTGAATACTCAACAATCACTATTCAGTCAATCAGCTCATCAATCAGTCAATGAATGAAACGATGACTAAACATAACAAACAAACAATTATATATTAATTAAAAAACATCTCTCAGAGACTAAGACTCACTAAGTATTAAGTAAGACAGTAACACAAAACAAGATAGACACAAGAGTCTCATTAAAGTCTCAGTTCAGTTGAGTTGATGCTAGATCTAGAAACAGTTAGATCTATAACAGTAGAAAGTTAGAAACTTTTTTTTTAAATTTCATTTTGTGATTTTAAGACATTTTAAAAGTTTTTTAAGTAGGCCTAGTCTAATTTTTATTTTATATTTTAATTTTAAGGCCAGCTTAATTTAAGGCTAAGGCTACGGATTATGAATTTAAATGTCAGTAAAAATATATGGTGCATTTAGATCTATTACAGATAGGGCCTATGGCCTATAAAAGCCCTATTGAATCTAGACTCTAGAACTAGATTAAAAAGCACGTTTTTATTCCATGTCAACAAGTTGAACAACAAAACATTATCATCATTCATTATGGAAGGAATCTCGTCAACTCGCTGGTGTCCATTACGCTAAAATGGAGTTTAACCTAGATCTATCAGAAGGTACTAAATAGTATAGTTTATAAAATTATACAGATCTATACTCTATACTACTAGATCTAGGCCCCTGTATAAATATTTAGTATATTAATTATCTATGCATACCTGCTGTGATCTGAACCGTGTTGTTATGTGGTCAGCCGGTAACGTTTGTTTATCGGTAAGTACAAAAACAAGAAGCGATTCCCTGAAAAATAATTATACATGATTAGGGCCTACGTATTTTCAAGTAAAACATTTCGAACATAAAATCAGCTAATTTACAAATAAATTAAATATTGATAGAATTGAAATCGTTAGGATAATAATAATAATTCTTATTTTAAACAAAAGTATTTAACGAAAGCGACGGGTGTTTAAAAGTTTCGCTATGGTTCTTTCTTATTTTTTAAAGATAATCTTTGCGTTTGCGCATAGCATTTGTTGTCACTCGAGACAGAGCTGGCTCACAAATCCGTAGGAATATCTTTTGTCTAGGCTTGAATTTATTTTGAAAAATTTCGATCTAGATAGATCTAGATCTCTAGATCTGTCTGATATACCTATTCATAAAATACTCAAAAGTTCAAATTCATTCATGTACGTTAAATAAACAGTTATATTATCGACATTATTATTTCAATATTTCGTCGCAAGAAATTATAATTAATTATAAACAAAATTTAAAAATAAATGAATAAAACTTTAACTTTTACTTTAGAGATAAGGCCTAGAATCTAGATCTAGATCTAGAAAAATCTAGGTCTTAAGTTAAGCTAAAGACTAACTAAAGTAAAGGCCTAAAGATTAAAAGATTACAAAAGTTATACTAAAGAAAGATGAGTAGTAGAGTTCCCTTTCAAACCTAGATCTCTAGATCTGTCTAAAATCTAAATAGACCTAGATCTAGTCATAAAATTTAAAATACTCAAAAGTTCAAATTCATTCATGTATGTTAAATATACTAATAGGGCCTAGGCCTATATTAACGACATTATTATTTCGTCGCAAGAAATTAGAAACAAAATTTAAAAATAAATAAAATAGCCTAAAACTTAGAGATTAGGTCTTAAGCTAAAGCCTAACTAAAGTAAAGGCCTAAAGATTAAAAGATTACTAAAGTTATACTAAAGAAAGATGAGTTGTAGAGTTCCCTTTCAAACCTGATGGTCTATGGGGCAAGTGAAGCAGTTCACTTTTTTCTGTGACCTCCGCATATGAAGAAAAAAGTTGTGTAAAGTCCTAAAGAAAGTGTAAAATGGCTAAATATTAAATTCAATTTAAAATCCTTAGGGCTGGCCTACAAATTTTAAGAAAAATAAAAATGGTTAAAATCTGGGATGATATTTCGAGTGGTCCATTTGAATCCCAGTCAGATCATTCCCCCCTCCCCCCCCTCCGTCGTGGCCTCAACCCACCGGCGGGCTTGTTGCATTGAGTTAAATATAAACTCAAAACAATAATACTAATAAAATACACAGATCTAGCCAAGCAAGGAAAAAAAAAGATTTACAGCACCAGATACACCTAATGATAATGTAATGGATGTCAACTAGTTGACAAAAATCCTTCCATCATTATTGTTGACATGGATAAAATCATGTTTTTTTTTGTCATCAAAGCGGGCATAAAAAAAACACTATTAAACTAAACAACTTAAGCCTGAAGTAATGATAATGATTCAGAAATTTTGGATAATCAATGTTATAAAAGTTGCAAATCCTGAGTACTTGAAATTTTTTTTTCTTAGTTTAAGGCTACATTTCTGTTTATTTTCACCAAGCCTTAGTTATAACCTGAAATTTCACTTTAGTAGACAAACATTGATTGGCCATTTAATTATTTTGAATAATTTTGAGACAATTCTCAGTTGGGTCCATTACATTATAAAAAACTGTAGGTCAACCACATTCACTGTGTTTAGGTCTTAGGGAGATCATGAAGGGCTGATACAATAAAAAAGGCTATTTGCTGTAAAATTGTTTCTTGCCATAACACTTAACGCCTCTTTAGTTTAGGTTCTCATCTCATAGCATAAACTGAAGTATTTTAAAAATTAAAATAACTAATCACTATGGTCTAGTTGCAGGGTCGAAATGACTTTAAAAAAAAATAATATAATTCTATATTTAGTAGGACATTTCACTTGATATTAATAATATAATATTTGTGATTCTTCTAAATTTGTCCTGTATATTTTTTTTAACAGATAAATTAAAAAAAAAATGGCTCTGCCAACTATGCAGGGCTACTGGTCTTCCAGGAAAAACATGTATGAGCAGGCAATAGTCAGACACAGAAATCATGAAGACAATTTCAGGAACCAGTGGACTCACACTGCCAACTACTTCAAAAACTCTGATGTTTGGGCAGCAAAGCAGAACTCCTGGTCGTCCTCACAAGGTTTTCAAGAAAGGTAACCACTGTCATAATTGTTTTTATTGCTACGACAGAGATTACATCCCCACAAGGTTTTCAAGACCGGTAACCACTGTCATAATTGTTTTTATTGCTATGCCAGAGATTATATTCTGAATACATTTTTATAATATTTAGCTTGTAGCCTCATTTTATTTGAGAGCTGTGATGGTTTATTTATTGGACAGCTTGGCCAAAGCGGTAGAGCCAAATGTCTTGAGTTCACTTCTGGGTTCAAGTCAGTAGAACGCCCCGTCCACAGAACTCTGAAGTGTGCTTAAAAACTCACATTAGGGAAATTAAAAGCTGCTGGGCAAAGTGCTAACCACACCTTCCCTTTACATGCTGAGGTCAAGAAACAGATGAACTCTACTTCCTCAGCCCAATGAATCACTAGGTCTAAAGAAGATTCTTTTTTACTTTTTCTTTACTGATGGTTTATTTAATTTTACGCTGTACAGTATGGAAGCTTACAGGGAGTCAAAAAACCAGGATAAAAAAGCTTTAGAGTTGAAAGCAAGGAAAGATAAGCTGTCATTGTTGTTGGCTGAAGAAAACAAAGCTTATGAGGTATGTAATGACATAGTAAATATAGCAAAAAGATTGTTACAGTGTGATTAATTTAGCATATAAATTAAGTTGTTATAGTGTAACTAATGCAGTAGCGTAGCGAGGGGGGGGGGCGGGGGGGGGGGACATATGTCCCCGGGCGCCGACCTTAGGGGGGGCGCCAAATTGAAAGTTTGAGGGGGGGTGCAAATGAAAAGTTTGAGGGGGGGGGTGCAAATCGAAAGTTTGAGGGGGGTGCAAATGAAAAGTTCGAGGGGGGGTGCAAATCGAAAATTTGCTCCCAAGGGGGCGCCAAATTGAAAGTATGTCCCCGGGCGCCGGGAAGAGTCGCTACGCCTCTGAACTAATGTAGCTTATAAATTAAGTCATCGTCATCATTCCTGTGGACCCCATGTAGAGCATACGGACACAACCACATCTCTTCATCATATTTGGTTCTGCTTCACTGCCAACTTACCTTTTCCATGTTAAATTTAGTCATCAGTATAGTGTAATAATGTTTTACAGTAGTGTTACTATATTATAGGGAATGTAACTTTATTATATCATCATTGGATTTATCATTTTTTCTATGTTATAGAACATAGAAATGATAGCATAGACATTTTTAATATAGCATGAGCAAGTTTATGATGTTCATAATAACATAGTAAATATAACATGGGGATGGTGTGGTCAGATGGTAGGGTTTAAGACGGCTAACACTGAAAGTCTCAAGTTCGGAAACTGGGAAAATATGATTAGATATAAGATAAAACCCATTTTACAACTTAAGGTTGTAGAAACAGTACAATTTCAATATTGTCTATACATCTCTTTCTTTTACTTTCTCTCAATAGGCTGAGTTAAAGGGTTATTCAAAATCAAACCATGAAAGATTGGAAGAAATGAAAGTAAAGGCTGAAGGCTTGAAAAGTGCCAGAGAGGAAAAAAGGCAAAAGGTTTTGATTTTAGTTTTATAACAGTTTGTTTGGTGTGCAAGTCTGCATCACAGATTTACAAAACTGTGAAAGTCTTTGAATTGTGTTAGACAGTTATTAAATTCTTTTTGAAGTGCCTGATACAGGAATACTGGCTTTCCTTAGCTTTGAATTTTAATTTTCTCTCTCTTTCCCTGCCAAATTTAAAAAAATAATTTACCTAGTTATTTTATTTGCTGGTAAGTTAGTTTAGTCAGTATTTTCCCTAGCTTAAAAGTTGAGCTGCTTTTTTTCCACCTAGATTGCAGAGGAGAAGTTGTACCAACACTGGCGTGAGAACAACCCTGCCCTGAGAAAGGCAGAGTCTGCCCTACTCCAGGAGCATGTGGTTGGTGAGTGGGGAGACCAAGTGGCAGAGAAAGAGGAGGTGAGTCGAAGTTTCTCATCACAGCTTTCACAGTCAGTGATCCTGACAATTTTTTTCAAAGTGAAATAAAAGTTAAAATTTTTGATATTTGATTTAACAACAGAGGCTAGAGTCAGCTAGACGAGAAAAGCTAGCCATAGAGCAACAGATGGAAGAAGAGAGATTAGCAGCGATAGAGCTGGAGAGACGAAAAGAGGAGAGGAGGCTGCAAGAAGAGAAGTCCATCAAAAATATACTCAGGGAGCAGATGATTGAGTTCAAGGCCAGAGAAGCTGAGGTCAGTGAAATAAAAAGTTTAACCTTAAAAAAAATCTAAATGTGTTAAATCAGCTACTATTTGTATAGTGATTGTAAAAAGTAATTTATTTTTAATGTATTGTAAAAAATATTGTTTTATTTCTTTTAGAAGTGGTAAAGAATTAAAAAAATAAATAAATATATGCTTTGAGGTTGTTGGTTATCTATGAGCACTGTTGTTTATATGATAGGCAAAAGCATGGAAAGAACAGCAAGATTTGTTGTTGAGAGAGAAGTGGGAGCTACAACAGTTGGAGGATCAGCAGAAAAGAAGAGAAGAAGAGCGCAGAAAAAAAGATATTGGGTGTGTTCAATGTTGATAATCCATTATAAAGAGCTGTTTATAAGTATTTTATTTTAAAAAAAAATTACTTATTTTTAAAATGGTGTATATAAATGGTGTTTTATAAAAGTTTTAAAAATATTTTATTTTAATATATAATTTCTTATAATTAGCTTTTAATGTTATCACAGGCGTGCACTGTTGAGGCAACACAAAGCTCAGATGATGCACAAGTCAAAAGTCATTCAAGAAGAATTAGTAAGGATATAATTTTAATTTTTTTCATGTTCTTTCGTAACTTCATTAAATCTTCTACAAGAATTCATATACTTTTCACTTCATTTTCCTGTAGTTTCCGTTGGTTGGTTTTAAACATCTTTTGTTCCACTTATATATTTCCTAGCACTAATACCATTTTCAGTAATAAAAAGTGGAATAGTAAAACTAAATTTTTTTTAGGAACAAGATAGAAAGTTGCTGGAGTCATTGATAGAGAAAGAAAATGAACAGACTGCTCTTCAGACTGCGAGGAAAGAAAAAGCCAGAGCTGATGCCCAATGGATGAAACAAGTAATGTTAAAATATTTTTGAAAATAAATTACAGTAAGATTATTCTATACTAAAAACAGATCAGCCATACAGTATTTGACAAAAGTAACAAATTAAGTAGTCAGTAATGCAGATGAAGTAAAGTTCATTTATTTCTTTGAACTCTGCATTTAAAGTGATAGTATGCCCAGCCACCTTTACTTTCCCTTACTTGAGTACACTAGATCCAAGTCTGGTATCAAAACTCTAGGTTTGCAGTCTTATACTCTGCATCTGACCCCTGCCATCCCATAACTTCCATACATACATATTTTTCCATTTAGGGGAACAAAAAAATGTATGTTGTCATGTACTGCTCGAGTAGGTATATCTGAAAGCCATCCATTTTAATTATGTTAAGCAATTTTTGCTGATTTTCTCTTTTCTCACCCCTTAATTAATCACCACATGCTTTCATAAAAAACCAAACTCTTTAGGATTTTTGTCACACACTCCCTAAAATAGCCATACTTCTAACATCATTTTAATTACTGAGCCCCATGTAGGCTATTATTACAAAATAAACCACCCTTCTAGTGTGTGATGTTCTGTATGGATGAAACCAAACATTGAGTTTATTTACTAATTAAGTTTGATGACAGTGGTTGATGTTTTGTTTGTTGTAGGTGATAGATGATCAACTGAGGCTAGAGAAAGCAAGAGAGGCTGAGCTGGATATGTTGTATCAGTAAGTCTGCTTTACATTTCGTTGGAATTAATAATTTAGAAAAATTCCTTTTTAATTATGTTTAGTTGATACTTTTTAAGCATCTTTGTGTTACTTCAAATTGTTTATACACCTTTCTAGTAATTTTACAATTGTTATGAAACTTTGTTGGTGTTTTATGCAATAGGCTCTACATCGCATTGGAATTTATAATTTGAAAAGTTTATTATTCCTGCTATTTAGTTGATACTTTTTAGCATCTTTGTGTTTATTCGAATTGCTAATACACCTTTATTGCTAACATAAGATTTTTACTTAGAATATTTTATGATCGTTATGAAATTTTGTTAGTATTTTATGTAATTTTCTCAACATTTTTTTGACTAACTTTGGTGTTTTGTTGATTAAAATTTTTTAATTGCTTGCACATTTTTGTTGAAATTCTTTATTGATCTATTTTTTGTTACCCATTAAAATGTTGAAATTTTTCATCTTCTAAAGAGATGAGGCAGCGAGGATGTGGCAGAAGAGAGCGGCTGAATGGGAAAGAGAGCGACAAGCTCGTCAGAGACTAATGTCTGAGGTGATACTTTTATTGACCTGCTTGAAAAACGTGGCTAAAAATTGTGTTCAAATTTTACTCAATAATGGTTGATAAATATTACTTTTGAGCTATTTGTTCCTTTTGAACTTCTGAAAATGTTTAAATTAAATTTTTTAATCAACCTTAACTTGACTTAATTAAAATAAATTGAAAAAAAAAACCCACAGCAGTTTAGTTTGATGAATACATTAGTCTATCTGAGAGTATATGAAGGCAATAGATTACAAAAGTTGTTCAAGTTTAACTTTGGAGTGTAAGACAGACAAGAATAGCTGTGTTACCCTGTATAAAAACATTGAGGCATACCTTGCAGGTGCTAGAGAGCAGACAAGAGCAGATCGCCCAGAAGCTGGAGGAGCTACAGCAGCAACAGGAGGAGTCTCTCCAGCGTAGGGAGGAGCTGGTCAGGGAGATGGAGATAGCCCAGCAGATGACCCGCAGGGAGGAGGAGAAACAGAAACAGAACAAGCAGGCGACTAAAGAGGAGTTAGAAGAACAGGTAGGCTTTTTTTTTTACAAAGGTAAAATTTCACTTTCAAACCTGACGGTCTAAGGGGCAAGTGACTAGAGTTGACATGTTTTTGTGACCTTGGCATATGAAGAGATAGTGTGGTCAGCACTATGCCCAACCGACTTTACTTTCCCTAACCTGAGTTAGGTACCCATCAGAGTTGGGTGGACTCAGGGACGGTCTACTGATCTGAACCCGGATTCGAACTCGAGACTTACGGGTTAGCAGTCCAGCTCTCTACCGCTCGACTACTCAGTCCCTTTAATTAAAAAAACAGTAATTAATTTGCACTAAAATTATGTTACCTGCAAGAGAATATGAAAGCAATTTTTTTAAAGTTACTCTAGCACTATTTCTATTCCTAATCCTGACTCTAGCAATGCCGTAGCCATACTGTTACTGCCAGTGGCATTCTTAGTAGTACCAGCTTAAAGAATTAAATAACACTAACTATTTAAGTGTTATATCTGTTCAATAAAGATAAGCAAATATCTACTTGGTGCAGATGCTAAGCCTGTTGTGTATAATATACCCAAACTTTTGTTTTAAAAACATTCAGAGAATCAACTCTATTCCTAGTTATCATGGAATGGCTATTCATGAAAATAAAATTCTATATAAACAATTTCATTTGCTGCTGTTCTTATCATCATCTTTTCCCATTTGTCCCCAAGATACAATGGGCAGATTAAATAGAGTTCATCTGTTTTATTGGGAATAGTGGTCAGCATTATACCCTTTGTTTCCCTAATTTGAGTCAGGTTCCCTGTCAGAGCTGGGTGGACTCTATGACGTCCAACAGATTCGAGCTGGCCACTGTTTAAGTATTATAAAATTAATGAAATTTATTTTACAAAACATGTTGTGTTGAGTATAAGCTCATGGTACATGATGAACTTATCCTACAGATGCACACACGTAGGCTGAAGGAAAGAGAACTCCAGGAGAACCTGAGACTGGAGTTGGAGGAAGATAAAAATGAAGAGATGTACTATGAAGATTTGTTGAAGCAAGAAACTGAGAGGATGCGCCTGAAAGGCTACACACCTAGAGTAAGTGGTGCCACTCTATACTCACAACATGTTTACATGTGGCAATAGGGGAATAAAATATAAGCAGTCAAGTAAACAGATCAGGAGGAACTTTTTTCGAAAGTTTTATTAACATTACATGAATTCATCATCTTTTCCCGTTCGTGCACACGACACATGGGGCAGATGAAGTAGAGTTCATCTGTTTCAATGGCCTCTGCATATAGGGGGATATTGTGTAAAACACTATGTCCTGCCGCATTTGTTTCCTTAACGTAAGTCAGGTACCCATCAGAGCTGGGTTGACTCAAGTATAACCTTCAGTCACTAGTCTGAACCGAGATCCGAACTTGAGACCTTCAGACTAGTAACCAAATGCTCTACCATTCAACCATGCCATCCCCATTTCAAGTATTATCAAACTTCATTAAAATTTTGAAATTTAAAAAAAATCTGATGAATTAGCAAGACATAAAGTTGATGAAGAAAGGCTAATTGATAATACTGTGTTTTTTGTTAATATATATATATATATATAAAACTAATAATTGGACATTCTACTTTTGTATAACAAATGTCGTTTGTACTCCATAGGACCATGGGAGGAGACAAGCTTGGATGTGATCTGTGATAATGTTTGATTGACATGTCTATTTATAGTTTTAAAAATATTGCTTTTATTTGCTTGAATGGCAGGAAGCAAGAATTAGTGTGAGTTAATCAAAAAGTTCACCAGGAATATCTTGAGTGTAGTATGGGTAGCATTTTTTCTAAGTTTTCTCATTTGTAAACTTTGCATTTAAAACAAACATAATTACTAAACATTCCTTATTATTTGAACATTTTATATCCTTTACACTAAGCTTTTAGTTCAAAATTAGTTTTAGAGTACTCTCTTCTTGACTATTTAAATTATATTGAACTCTGTATAGACTTTTAAAATTAGTTAAACTTTGTTGTATCCTCACTGCACACTGTAATTTGCTTTCCCCCACTGCCATTGTAGGAGATTCAAGCAAGTAGCTCACTACGATAATTGTACCATAATTTTGTGTACTAAAATAAATTTCTTGTTTTTAAACTTTTTTTGTTGTTTTATTTAATTAGTACTGTAACAGTTTCTCCCAGATGGAAGATAAAAATTATATCTTATTAGTAGGTGTTTTTCAACGTCTGGTAACAGGAAGTGGTACTTACTCTATGTAGTAAGGTTTATCAAAATCCAATAACCGGTACAATTTAATGGACGAAAGTTCACAAATAAGCTTATTTCAATGTAAATCACCTTCATCAAAAAGTTGATTAAACTCTGGGTACCCCATACATGTTGAAAAGGAAGTTCATGATAACCTTTTGTCTTAAACTAGAGGCAACTTTGACCTTAAGTCTTGTGAGGCTATACACAGACCAGCTATATTATCCAGTTTGCTTTTTGGTTCATTTGATTTAAACTGTGTTATAGTATATGGGGAGGGGGGGCGGTGTCATGAATTATGATGAGCTATGTAACTTATAAGAAAGGGTGGGGGGGGGGGGGGAGGTGTCTGGCTGACATCATTTTTGGATGATGCCCTAACAGCAAAACATGTAGCAAACACAGAAAGTAAAGTTGCAAGCAAACTGATTGTGCAATAATTTTTTATTTTTAAAATATTAGCAGCAGTTTTAAATTTCATCAATAGTTTAAAATATCATCAACAGTTTAAAATATTATCAACAGTTTAAAATATTATCAACAATGCCATTTTAAAAAAAACAAAAACCCAAAGTTTCTAGCCTTCTGTTTTAACTGGTGGTCATGCAAGTGGCCATCTTCTTTCATTTAATTACAACCACTGGGCCCATTGATGCTATTATTTCACCCCTTTTTGTTCAGTAACTTTTAAATCGCTTGTTAATAACTACATTTTAAACACTCTTTTAAGCAGCATTTTAATTTGCAAGAAAATAAATAAATACAAATGAAGTGGGAATGGTAAATACATTTTTAAAAATCTATTCTGCTGCATACATTACACCGCTCAATTCATTGCCTTGGTTTAATACAAATAATTGTGAGATGGAGAAAGTTTACAAAAATCATGTAATGTATAAACAGTGAATAGGAAGGAAGGGGGAGGGGGGGGGGGGGGGGGGGAAAGGAGAACAAATAACCAAAAACCTTTTTTTTTCAAATAGAAAAATATATATCACATTTTAATAAATAATTATTGCACTTAAAAGCCGTTTATAAATTAAATTAAGCTATGTACATAAAATGCAAAAGTAAAAAAAAAAAAACCTAACATTCAGCAGTGGAAGTGTTTAATTGAGAGATAAAACATGAGGTCTTGTTTGATACAACAAGATGGATATGGATGCTGCCTGGACAGGTTATGGATGGTGGAACTGTTTTATAAATAATTTTACAGTAAACCTAATAGTATACATATACTCTTTTACTGATGATGCAAATAAAATTTCTTTTAAAAGTGGAATATTCATATATCACATTGGAAGTAGGCCCTAAAATAAAGTAATAATTTAATAACGTTTCTTTTAAAAGAAGTACATTCATATATCACACTGGAATGTAGGCTCTAAAAAAAAGTAATAATTTAATAACATTTCTTTTAAAAGAAGTACATTCATGTTTCACACTGGAATGTAGGTTCTAAAATAAAGTAATTTAATTTAATTTCTTTTCAAAGAAGTACATTCATATATCACAAATGTAGGTTCTAAAATAAAGTAATAATTTAATAACATTTCTTTTAAAAAAAGTACATTCATATATCACACTGGAATGTAGGCTCTAAAATAAAGTAATAATTTAATAACATTTCTTTTAAAAGAAGTACATTCATATATCACATAGGTTCTAAAATAAAGTAATAATTAAATAAACCCCCGCACAATGACCCTGATAAGTATTTGAAAAACATTATTTGGTGAAATACCATACAAAGACACTTTACTTTAAAAATCAAAAGTATATTGAAAAGTGTTAGCAGACAATTGGGCATGGCAGTTTTTTTTTCAGATTTCCTGAATATAAATGTTAGTAAATTATTATATTGTATTAAATAAGACAGAAAAATACTTGAAAAAGTTTTTTGGGATAATTTGTGCACCTTGATACAGTCAAACAAAACAAGACTTGCTGTAAGTAATGAATGTATAAAGTGGTATCCAATAAAAATAAAGATGTAGGAAAAAATATTTGAGTTATCACTCCTGTCTACCTACGGTTAATCTACAAATTTATTTCTGAAAAAAAAAAAATTCGATAGTATTTTGATATTTTAAGAAAACAGTGTGGCTAACTTATGTAGTGTAATTTTTGGGAGCCTGACCAAATGACATAAGTAGAAGAGAGCTCAAACAATCTCAAAATATTTAGCTTAGCTTGAAAAGTAGCAAGTTTGATGAAACAGAAGGGAGACTACCCAAATAAATTCCATTTTTTTAATAGGAATAATTATCTTAAGAGCATAAAATGCAATGCTAATTCTTTTAAAGACTGAATCTGCTAGAATGTTGTGGTTACATTGGTACATCAAAGACTTGCACAGAACCAGAAAAAAACAACTGAAACAAACCTAAAAACCAATGTCTAACAATACAATACTCTAGGTGGTAAGTAATTCATGAGATCACATGATCCCATATAATATGGAATTGTTTTAGACAGATATATCTGTTGGCTGATCATGAAAAAAAAGTTTCTGTTAAAAAAAGTATATTTCTATAGCACACTGGAATGTAGGTTCTAAAATAAAGCAATAATTTAAATAAAATATCCCAGCACAATAGCCCTCACACAATAATGATCAAAAGCAGATTACACAAAATATTTAAAAATACATTGTTTTGTAAAATAGCAGATAAGCGTATATACTTAAAATAAACAATCAGAAGTATTTTGAATATCACAAAATATGTTCATACTTAATAAATAAAGTAGGCTATTAGCAAAAAATATTGGCTTGGATGGTTTTTTAAATTTCTGAATATAAATATGTGTATATATAAATGTTACAAAAAAGTAAAACTATTCTTATTATGAGAAGCCCAACTTTGTAAATGAGCTCAAGTAATGTAGAAAGAAACAGAGTTTTATATCAGAAAAAATGTAAAGGTTGATTTGAAAGTTTGTGTAACTCTGTAGAATAATAGTTACAAAACAATAGCTGCTGTAATGTACAAATGATGTGGTATTAGACAACACAAAGTTTTAAGAATAACAATATTTTATCAGCTATTTCTCCTATTTCTCCTGTCTATTTATCGCCCTATGTTTTAATTTCTGAATCTCATTTTTCAAGGAAAACCCCAGCTTCACTGATATTTGATAAAGATATCTAGTAACATAAATGGGGAGGTTGAGTTATGTAGTGTAATTTTTAGTAGCCTTAACTAATGACACAACTAGAAGATGGCTTAACCAATCTCAAGGATTCAGCCTTGCTAGAGAAGTAGCACATTTTGACCAAATAGAGGGGAGACAACAGAAATTTAATTGTTTTCATAAGGTTAAAAAAAACCTGATAGTATAAAATACAACATTGTTTCAACAAGTTAAAACTAAGGCTACACTTACAATTTCAATAAAATCCCAATTACCTTTTGAGGGGTCGTCCATAAGTATGTCACATTCCTGGGGGAGGGGGGGGGGGGTTGTTTGGAATTTGTAACTGTTATTTTGCATCTTAGAAAACTGTTTTAGTAAATTGCAATAGAAATTGATGAATATACTTCATGTTAACCTCACTCCGTAAATATTTTAGAAATAAATTGTTTAACAAAAATAAAACTGCAGGTGTTTTGTCCTTTTTTTAGGTGAGGGGTCTAGTTTTTTTCTGACATAACAGTGGGGAGGGGAAAAGAAGGTAAAAATCGTCAAAAAAAGGTGATGTCATTTATGGACGATCCCTGTACAATTATGACTGGAAGTATATTACCTTAATATTTACAAGTAAATTGTTGGATAAAGATCAATTAAATTATTTTAAAAAATACTGCTTACACAAAATTCATACTTTATAATACTATTACACAAAATAAGTTTTTTTTAAAATGTCTAATAATAAATAATTATACAATTTTAAACTGTTATTAGGGATATCACTGGACTACGGTGGAAAAAGTGAACTACTTTTTTCAGACCTGATTCAATATACTTTATGCTGCTCTAATGTTTCTTAATAGAGCCATCTCAAGACGCTAATTGCGGCTAATGTAATAATTAATAGTTTAATATATAAAAAGTCCTAAAGACGTATCTGTTACTCTAAGATAACATTATCTCTAAGATAAATTATTTTTAATTGCCATTTCCCTTTATTCTTTTTTATTTTATTTTACAATTATACAATACTGAAAATATTTGTTTTCAACACTAAACTAATTGAATCTGCAATGATCTAATCACACTCTTGATTTCTATAATGTTAAAGTCTTATATTTTTAAAGATGGAAAAGGTAGCTATACTTTTCTAATGAAAGACTACAACAGTAAACAAATGGTTAGACTAATCCTGATAGAAGAGTCATATTATTGCAAGGGTTTCAAATAATTTGAGGTTCCGAAATTAAATGGAAAGCAATGGGTATTGGTAAAGGGAGTAGATTTAAAAACGATGAGTGAATTTGAAAGACAGGTGGATAGATTGTACTTAATCTACCAGGTAAGCAAAATTAATGGTAAAAAATCAGACGGATAATATATTCCCTTGATAGAATGACAAAATTTTAAAATAATTTATCCCAATTTTTAAAAAATTCTGATTAATATACAACTAGAAATTTTAGTGTAAACTTCTGGCTGAAAATTAAAATTCTAAAAAAAAAAACAAAAAAAAAAAAAACCCCAGAAATCTACAAAGTTGAGAAAATTCACATTTCTGAATGATTCTGCTACTAACAAAAAGCTAGCTCAGATTTAAAAATATTTAATCATTGTTTACTAAATTGTTTATATAAAACAGCTCAAAAGTACTGTAAACAATAAAACAGGTCAAGTTTGTTGTAATACAGCCTGCTGTACATATATAAATGAAAGCATGGGGAGAAGATTTTTATTGACTATCTACAGTGTATAACATGATTGCTGTTCATCATAAAAAAATTTTTTAAGTAATTTCTAAAGAAAACAGTAAGCACAACCAAATTAATCTTCTTTTTAATATTAAGAGAAACAGGAAGACACACTTAAATTGTGTAAACTTTTTTTCAGCCTGACTTTTTGTGTCTAGATTTAGATCTATTAGAAGGTGGATATGACTCACTCCTAGCTAAAAGTGTTTGACTTAACAAAGGGGAAACTACTGAAGTTAAATAAAAATTCAACTGGTTTAATTACCGTGATAGCATAAAATACAGCATTTTTTCAATGAGTTTACCTGCAAGATTGTCAAGGTTACAATGTTCATATGGACCACAACAAGTGGCAAGCAAAACATTTTACAAATGGGATTCTCTCTCCCACTCTACCACCCAGGTCATCATCAAAGATATAGAAGCGAGTTTTAAATAAAAAGGCTTGATACAAAAGTAAACAGGCTTGATACAAAAATAAACAGCCTTGATACAAAAATAAACAGGCTTGATACAAAAATAAACAGGCTTGATACAAAAATAAACAGCCTTGATACAAAAATAAACAGCCTTGATTTAAAAAACAGACATGACTGCTAACTACTTTGCATTTATTCATTCTTTAGAATTAAAAAGATTCAAATCCAAAAAAAAAATCTTTCTAAAAATTTGAAGTTTTTTCATTTTTTTTTGTTGCTATTCTAAATCAAATATTATTTCATTTTAATTCAATTACTTACACAATAATAAGGAAAAGAGCTAAGGAAAAGTTTATTTTTATTAGGCAAATAAAATTAATTTAGTAGTATTTTAATAATACTTTAATGCACCTGATATACTAATTTGGTAATCTTACATTATATAATTAATTTTAAACTTTTGGTTTACCATTTTAGTAAAATAATTATCTTGACAGTTAAAACTTTGAGCTTTTAAAAACAATTAAAATTATATTATAAACTTGATAGTTCACACTTTTTGTTTTGCAGGGTGACCTCTTAATACATCAGAATATATAGTTAAACTGGCATTAATTTTATCCTCAATTGGCACCACAAAATGAAGTATGCCTTCTCCATAAGTTCCTGAGTGCTTCCCGAACCTAGAATTTTGAGAAAAAGCAACAACAGTTAGAATAAAAAAATAGAATTTATAGTTTCTAGAATACGATAACCCCTTCCATACATAATGTTATATAACTCAGCACACATTTAGGAGTAAAATGACACGTAGAATTCAAAACTGTTAACGTTTTGCTGATATCTTTAATAGTTTTTGATATACAGCATGGGACATATGTGTCCCTATGGTCCGGAAGGGAAACTTTATCAATGGTTGAAGTATGATTTTTATCAATATTTTTATTTCAAAAGTGTTTAAACGTTAATGGTTGCTCTGGTACATTAGAAATGGAAAATATGAGTAATGATAACACACTGTTGACATTTATGGGTGTAAAGTCATCTACGAATGGAGCTTCTCGAAGCAGTTATGTGGTGTTAAGTAACACACGTGAACATGGCAGACATCATATATATTGTCCATTCTGTTCTCATTCTCTTCTCTTGCACATTGCGCACACCACATGCATTTTTCTTTCTTTGAGTTATCAACATGTGTTCAGGTTGTGGGTTTGAAGTTATCAACTTGTGTTCAGGTTGTGGGTTGGAAGTTATCAACTTGTGTTCAGGTTGTGGGTTTGAAGTTATCAACTTGTGTCCAGGTTGTGGGTTTGAAGTTATCAACTTGTGTTCAGGTTGTGGGTTTGAAGTTATCAGCTTGTGTTCAGGTTGTGGGTTTGAAGTTATCAACTTGTGTTCAGGTTGTGGGTTTGAAGTTATCAACTTGTGTTCAGGTTGTGGGTTTGAAGTTATCAACTTGTGATCAGGTTGTGGGTTTGAAGTTATCAACTTGTGATCAGGTTGTGGGTTTGAAGTTATCAACTTGTGTTCAGGTTGTGGGTTTGAAGTTATCAACTTGTGTTCAGGTTGTGGGTTTGAAGTTATCAACTTGTGTTCAGGTTGTGGGTTTGAAGTTATCAACTTGTGTTCAGGTTGTGGGTTTGAAGTTATCAACTTGTGTTCAGGTTGTGGGTTTCAAGTTATCAACTTGTGTTCAGGTTGTGGGTTTGAAGTTATCAACTTGTATTCAGGTTGTGGGTTTGAAGTTATCAACTTGTGTTCAGGTTGTGGGTTTGAAGTTATCAACTTGTGTTCAGGTTGTGGGTCAACTTCTTGTTGCTAAGAACAATTCTTGAGGTGATATTTCTTTGTATTTTGTGTGTGCTGTGCTCTAAAAGTCTTATATTATTTTACAAGATGACTGGGCGGCAGGTTCAACACCACTGCTTAGAGGGAACATTGACAGGAAAAAGATGTATGCCATGTTGTAGTGGTGACAATCTATGCTGGGACTGTAGTAGGTCGTTCCATAATAACTTCCAAATAAAATTCATACCTTTTCAACACGAAGTTGTTTTCATTGTCATTTTTGTCTATAAACAGTATTTGCTCAATTTTTTGTTCAGTGATAGTAAATAAAAGCCCGGAAACTATTTTTATTCTACTGCCAAAACACATGATTAGAGATATCTATAAAAAAAGTTAGCTCCCTTCCGGACCCTAGGGACATATATGTCCCTAGCACAAAAAATACTTTTTTCAAAAACAAGCACAACTATTACAAAAAACACATGTAAATTTAATACATAAACAGTAAACTTTGAAAACCCACCAGTCATTACTCTCAGTATTTTTTATATATAAATTTAAACTTTAGCTTAGAGAGTGGTCGAAAAATGGAAAGTTCCCATAATTATGGCAACAAAGCTATTTTATATATACTGAGTCCAGAATTATTTCTCTTAAGTCTATGATATAATAAATGTTTTATTCAATTTCGTGTGGTGTCTATTTGAAATTATGGGACAAACATGTCCCTTGGTCCTCAAAGGGTTAACAGTGAACATTAACATTTCTGTTTGTAAATAAAATTAAGACTTAGTCCTACATTTTGTTCTAAAATATTATAACAGTTTTGTTTGTGTTAATTAAACAGCTTAAGTTAAACATTTTTGTGTTGATATTTAAGTTAGAAATAGTTTAAATTAACAAATTCAATTTAAAACAAACAAAAATTTCCTCAGTCTAACATAAGAAGAAACAGAAGTAACGTACCTGTTCTTGTCCTAGACACTGGAAGCAAAGTATGAAGAGACCCTGAGGATAATAAAAATAATGGTATGCTTATCTGTATGTGTGGGACAGAGTGGTCTGGCAGTAGAGAGATGGATTGCTAAGCCGTAAGTCTCGAGTTTGAATCCGGGTTCAAGTCAGTAGACCATCCCTGAGTCCACCCAACTCTGATGGGTACCTAACTCACATTAAGGAAAGTAAAGGCGGCTGGGCATAGTGCTGATCACACTATCTCTTCATATGCCGAGGTCACAGAAACAGGTGGACTCTACTTCACTTGACCTACAGACCGTCAGGTTTAAAAGGGAACTTTACTTTTTTATCTGTATGTATACATCTAGGTCTACATACAGGTACAGGCTAGGTATAGGTACAGATTTAGGCTTTAGTGTCTAGGTTGACTGTGTAAGTTTAAGTACAACTGTAGACCAGATCTGTAAGTATGGAAGCTCTGGCTTTGTGTCTAATGCATTCATTACAACACCATCAACAGTAGGATTAATATATTGTCAAGGTTTCTATTTCATGCTAGCATAAACACTTACACACTGAGTTGCAGTCTTTGCCTTGCTGGAAACTAAATAGTTTTTTAGTTGTAGGAAAGGAAACTAAATAGTTTTTTAATTGTAGGAAAGGAAACTAAATAGTTTTTTAGTGGCAGGAAACTAAATAGTTTTTTAGTTGTAGGAAACTAAATAGTTTTTATCGCAATTTCCATACTGGCAATTGCGTTTAATAACTCGTCATTTCTGGATGGATGGATGTGTGGATGTGTGTCCGCAGATTTAAGTCGTATCTCCTCCTCAACGAAGCAATATTGAGGACTAGTTCCAAAGCAAATATGTTAAGCAAGTTCCGAGGATGATTGTGGGCCAAAAAAATTCCTGGAATTCCTTCCTGGATTTCCCGGAAAAGCCAAAAAACCTCGAAAAAATGCAGTTTTTGGCCCATATCTCGGCAACCAGACCACTTAGCGACTTGAAACATTTACCAATCGATTCCTGCTATATTTTAGAACAATATTGCCGAAGAAAGTTTTCAAATATCCTTTCGTTCGGTCACAAAAAATTAATTACTACTTTTTTAAACTGAGCATCGTGTAGGCCTAGGATGATATTTACTACTTTAAACTGAGCATCGTGTAGGCCTACTCATTAAAATAAAACTATTTCCGTTGATATAGGTTAATATAGTTGTCTTTTTTTAGCGCAAAAAAATATCCTTTCGTTCGGTCACAAAAAATTAAAAATTGTTATGGATATCATAAGGAAATTGCGCTTAAATTGTCACTAGACTTTTTATTAACTTGTTTAATTGTAGGAAACTAAATATTTTTTTAGTTGTAGGAAACTAAATAGTTTTTTAGTTGTAGGAAACTAAATAGTTTTTTAGTTGTAGGAAACTAAATAGTTTGATTTGTTGAAAATCTACAAGAGCTACATGAACTATAGAAAAAAAACAAAAACAAGAAGCAAATGATTGAGAATGCTAGTACCTGCGAACTATTCACAGCGACGAAAACGTACTGCAAGTACACTGAGTCATCAATAAGGGTGAGGACGACGAAAACGTACTGCAAGTACACTGAGTCATCAATAAGGGTGAGGACGACGAAAACGTACTGCAAGTACACTGAGTCATCAATAAGGGTGAGGACGACGAAAACGTACTGCAAGTACACTGAGTCATCAATAAGGGTGAGGACGACGAAAACGTACTGCAAGTACACTGAGTCATCAATAAGGGTGAGGACGACGAAAACGTACTGCAAGTACACTGAGTCATCAATAAGGGTGAGGACGCCCACAACCCAGGTGGTGCCTAGGAGGCCAGACAACACTAGAAGAGCCCACATTGCTGAACTGAAAAACAAAAGATAAAAACATTACAGATTTATAATCTATTTTTTCACCAACAGATCTTATAGTGACCCAAGTTTTTCTGCACTGTTTATATATATAGCCCAGCTTTATTTTTATTATTTATTCATATATATTATTTAAATTTAAAGAAAATCTATTTATTTTCTTCTTTACAGTGCATTAATGAAAACTTGTAATGTAATTATAAATGGCTTTATGTATGTTTATGAAGGAATAATTAATTCATTTTTTAAGTGATTAAAATCTAGTTATGTTAATATTGCATTTCATTGTCATTGGATCTTGACCTAAATAATGATGAAGGCACACTAGACTAGAGGAATCAATTGAAATTTTTAAAAAATTTAAATTTTTTTTGTAACTAGCCTGCATGTTAACACAGGCCTAAGTCACAATCCTAGTGAACCAGCCAAAACATATATGTATCGACAAGATCAATATGACAGTTCTTGTTTTTTTTAGATATAACATTTTGTAGGACCTGGAGTTAAAGTATGCTAGGCTATTCATGCAGGCTCCATTACAAGACAATGATAAGATTAGATTACCACAAAAAGATGGCTGTCCTATGTTTGGAATCAAATTGATTTCAATCAGACCAACAAGATTTTATTTCACAAACGTTTTTTTTTACACAAAATCTATTTACATAAAAAGTGGAGGTAGTGGCAACACACTATTTTAAGTTAAGATTAGGTTAAGGGTTAAAGATGGCATTGGTTATTTACATTAGTAACAAGTTTACTACGCACTGTCTTAGAGCCATAGCACTGGTTAATAATTTGGGTAAAAATGGCATTTTTCTTAATTTTGTCAGAATAGGATTGTTATTAATATTGGTAAGACATGAACTACAAATACTGTTATAGGAATGGCCTTAGTTACTAATATTGGTAAGACATGAACTACAAATACTGTTATAGGAATGGCCTTAGTTACTAATATTGATAAGACATGAACTACAAATACTGTTGTAGGAATGGCCTTAGTTTCTAATATTGGTAAAACATGAACTACAAATACTGTTATAGGAATGGCCTTAGTTACTAATATTGGTAAGAAGTTTGAAGTAATCATTAATCATCTGTCAAAGATTTCAGATGGCTGTATTAAGTAATCACTTATCATCATTAAGTGATTATATTAAGTAGTCACTTATCATCATTATGTGTCTATTTGAAGTAGTCACTTATTATCCTGATGTGGCTATATTAAGCAGTCACTTATCATTATATGGCTATATTAAGTAGTCACTTATCATCATTATGCGGCTGTATTAAGTAGTCACTTATCATCATTATGTGGCTATATTAAGTAGTCATTAACATCATTATGTGGCAATCACATATCATCTATCATTATTGTTCTAAGGCTATAGCGTCAGTCGATATCAGTGTTTGATCTCATTATTTCTAACACACATTCAAGCCCAATAATACAGTCAAACAGTTGCTTTGTTTTCATGCCCAATAATACAAACAGTTGCTTTGTTTTCATGCCCAATAATACAGTCAAACAGTTGCTTTGTTTTCATGCCCAATAATTCAGTCAAACAGTTGCTTTCTTTTCAACAAGATGTACATCAAAACTTACGTCGCTCTTTTAAAGTGAGATTGATCTCTCATGGCTCTTGTCCTCAGCATTGTCATTATAACATAGACCAGAATTATGACATTGATCTGTTGATATTATAACATAGACCAGAATTATGACATTGATCTGTTGATATTATAACATAGACCAGAATTATGACATTGATCTGTTGATATTATAACATAGACCAGAATTATGACATTAATCTGTTGATATTATAACATAGACCAGAATTATGACATTAATCTGTTGATATTATAACATAGACCAGAATTATGACATTAATCTGTTGATATTATAACATAGACCAGAATTATGACATTAATCTGTTGATATTATAACATAGACCAGAATTATGACATTGATCTGTTGATATTATAACATAGACCAGAATTATGACATTAATCTGTTGATATTATAACATAGACCAGAATTATGACATTAATCTGTTGATATTATAACATAGACCAGAATTATGACATTAATCTGTTGATATTATAACATAGACCAGAATTATGACATTAATCTGTTGATATTATAACATAGACCAGAATTATGACATTGATCTGTTGATATTATAACATAGACCAGAATTATGACATTGATTTGTTGATATTATAACATAGACCAGAATTATGACATTGATCTGTTGATATTATAACATAGACCAGAATTATGACATTGATTTGTTGATATTATAACATAGACCAGAATTATGACATTAATCTGTTGATATTATAACATAGACCAGAATTATGACATTGGTCTGTTGATATTATAACATAGACCAGAATTATGACATTGATCTGTTGATATAATAGCATTACTCCTTTAGCTGAATACATTTGAATTCTGGTTAAAAATCAGTGCCTTTATTGTAATTATTTGTGATTGTTTCTTTGTTCTACAGATAAACCATTATTAAGGAATATTTAATTTTACATTAAATTTATTTAATAGTTTTTTTTTCTAGAAAAATGTATTTTTTCCAACAATTGAATTATTTATTTCATTTTTATTTTCATAGCTATTATTTTGTTAGGACCTTGATCTGAATAGAAACATACAGCAAGTCAATAAAACATTTTTGCTTCTTAAATGTTTATTTTTATGATGCAATAACCATGTATAGCCTCAACTCCCACACATAATCTTAAAAGTTACATGTCAGAATGTCATGCATAGTGTTAACTAGATTTCTTGTTTTTGAAAGTATAGTCTTTGGTCTGTCAAACTTGACTAGCTGTCAACACTAACTTAGTCATTCCAACCTCAGTGCCAGGCAAATTCCAACCTCAGTGCCAGGCAAATTCCAACCTCAGCACCAGGCAAATTCCAACCTCAGAGCCAGGCGAATTCCAACCTCAGCACCAGGCAAATTCCAACCTCAGTGCCAGGCAAATTCCAACCTCAGCACCAGGCAAATTCCAACCTCAGTGCCAGGCAAATTCCAACCTCAGCGCCAGGGAAATTCCAACCTCAGCACCAGGCAAATTCCAACCTCAGTGCCAGGCAAATTCCAACCTCAGTGCCAGGCAAATTCCAACCTCAGTGCCAGGCAAATTCCAACCTCAGCGCCAGGGAAATTCCAACCTCAGCGCCAGGGAAATTCCAACCTCAGAGCCAGGCAAATTCCAACCTCAGAGCCAGGCAAATTCCAACCTCAGTGCCAGGCAAAGTTCTTTAGGTCGCTACTAATTCATATCCCCCCCCCCCCCCCCCCCCTATACAACTAAGCTTTGGAGGCAGGGAATTTGAAGCAATAAATTAAAACTAGAAAATCTGTATTACTTACAACCATAATGACAATGACAGGAGCAATAAAGGCCCAGATGACACCTCCTTCTGAGCTTAACCAGCAACTGTATTTAAAAAAAAACATTTTGTTTAAAGCAATTAGGTTTTTATACATACAAAGTATTTCATTGTTTTGTTACTAATATTTTTCAACCTGTAGTAAAGAACACATTTTGACCAATAACTATTTTTCTCAAACAAGTAAAACATTAAAATAAATAGGCCCATAATTCACGTGTAACAGATATCAATGGCTAGTAGGGCACAAACCTGTACTGTGTATACAATCTTATAGATCTACTTATATTTGAATGTTCTCCCACCTAACTTAAACTATGAGATCTGTACTGTGTATACAATCTTATAGATCTGCTTATATTTGAATGTTCTCCCACCTAACTCAAACCAACCATGAGATCTGTACTGTGTATACAATCTTATAGATCTACTTATATTTTAATGTTCTCCCACCTAACTTAAACTATGAGACCTGCACTGTGTATACAATCTTTTAGATCTACTTATATTTTAATGTTCTCCCACCTAACTTAAACTATGAGATCTGTACTGTGTATACAATCTTATAGATCTACTTATATTTGAATGTTCTCCCACCTAACTTAAACCAATAGACCTGTACTGTGTATACAATCTTATAGATCTACTTATATTTGAATGTTCTCTCACCTAACTCAAACTATGAGATCTGTACTGTGTATACAATCTTATAGATCTACTTATATTTGAATGTTCTCCCACCGTACACACACAAACAGATACAGAAATAGACCAGATTGCAAAACTGAGACTTGTAAAATCTCAATTTTCATTTTTTGCATGATCACAGTACTTCCCAAAATTTATATTTATAAAAGAAAGTAAAAGTGACAGCTAAATTAAAGCAATCAAAATTTATATTTATAAAAGAAAGTAAAAGTGACAGCTAAATTAAAGCAATCAAAATTTATATTTATAAAAGAAAGTAAAAGTGACAGCTAAATTAAAGCAATCAAAATTTATATTTATAAAAAAAAGTAAAAGTGACAGCTAAATTAAAGCAATCAAAATAAAAAAAAAACAAACACAGAAAGATGGAAGTTGAAACAAATGTTACTTACAATGTTTCATCCCCATAGCCACGCAAGTTTGTTGCATACATAGTGGCAGATAAGATCACTGTAGGGAAACCTAAACATTTTAGTCAAATCATTAGTTCAAAATAGTATTGTTAACACAAACTTATCTGTATATATATGTATATATATATATATAGATCAATATATATAGATATAAATATATAAAATATAAATATGTATATATATAAATATATATATATAAATAAATATATAAATATATATATAAATAACTAAATATATATATATATATATAAATAACATCTGATTTACCAAAACTGTTAGCAGCTAATTTAGCAAACTTTTTAGTAGCTTTCCTATGCACAGTACTTTGTGTAATCAACCAATGATATCAAACCAGATTTATACTTTGATTTTAAATTGAGTTATTGTGCTTTTGTTCTACTGTGTATAAAATATTATATTTAGGTTTTAAGTGTTTAGTATTTTCACAGTACCATAGGCCAGTATCAAAATATCGATTGCAACAGAAGAAGTATCAAACACATAAACGACTGTCTTGAGGATCAGGACGCCCTCGCCTAGCATGATGCAAAACACTACAAGGAAGATGTAGTGTAAAAAAATGGCGACCATCGTACAAAGTTCCTGTTGAATGATTAAAAAAAATATGAAAAACTATATACATATACATACATATATATATGTATATAATTTTTTGAAAACCTTCAATAAAACTTTATATATATATATATATATATATATATATATATATATATATATATATATATATATATATATATATATGATGACAGGACAAATGATCTTAGGAAAAATGATCTCAGACAAAATATCTTATGGACAAACAATACCAGGACAAAATATATCTGGACAAATTATATCATGAACAAATGATTTCAGACAAAATATCTCACAGGAAAATATTTTTAGTATTTAGGATTATTTTAGTTGATTTTAACTTTCTTTTTATCGAATGTCATATTGTGGATTTTTTTCTTCTTACATAATTATTGTGAGATATACTGCATGAATAACTTAAGCTTAATAAACAAACCATCCAAAGACTGAGTAAACTTACTTTTTATAAAGAAATATTAATTTATATGAAAGAATTGGACATAAAAATGCATAAGGCTAAGAAAATGATGATAGCACTAAATTAACCACATTGATGGCAAAACACGAGAAACAGTTTTCAAAAAGGAAGTTTGGGTCTATAGGTTCTTAATATGAAATTGGTTTTTTATTGCTACATAGGTGTATTTTCATAGCCCTTTCATCAATAAATGAGAAATCCCCTTTGATATAGTTTTGTCCACCTAATGTGGTAGAATTGTCTCATGATTGGCAAGCCCACCTACATTGTCTATGAAAACTTATTTTGAATATTCGAATATTATATTTTTAATTCCAATTTTAACATGTTCAATGTAATGTGACAAACCTATGCCAAAAACCTTTTCTCACAATTATGTAAAAATCCTAAAGACAGTCAATTTCTTTTTTAAATGTTAAAATCGACTGAAATAATCTAAAGTACTATACACATTTTGCAGTAAGATATTTTGTCTGAGATCATTTGTCCTGATATTTTTTGTCCATGAGATCATTTGTCTTGAGATCATCTGTCAGTGAGATATTTTGTCTGAGATCATTTGTCCTGAGATGATTTGTCATGGAACCATATATATAAACATCCACACTTGAATTTGTGTTAATTAAAATAATAAAATTAAATTGTTGGCAAATTTACAAAAGACCACCCAAATATGTTGACCTACTTTGTCCTCCGTTTTATCACCCCCAAACAAAAACAGGATGTAGCCAACAGCCAAACAACCACATAAATTTAAATGGAGAACATTCTTGTCACTCCGTATGCTCCTGTTAGGAAATAAAATTCTAGAGTCAACAGTATTTATTCTGTGTAACACAAAAGAAATTTCGGCACGTATATAAATACAAATAATGAAATAAGTGTATGCCATACATGTTGAGGTTATGGTGTAGTCGTATATATATATAAATATAAGAACAGGTTTATAGGTATGTCTATAGCACGTACTTCCAGCAAACTAAAAATATTATTGATGCAAGAACTAAGCTGCTAAGTGATATGTAAATTCCTATCTTGGTCATCCAGGTCAGTATTGGGTCATCATCTCTCTGGAATAATTTACAAAAATTACAAAGTTAAATAGCTTTTAATGAAACGTTGAATATACACACACACACACAGAGATATATATATATATATATATATATATATATATATATATATATATATATATATATATATATATATATACAAAATCAAGTCTTCATCTAAAAGAAATGCATATTCAAGTCTTCATTTAAAAGAAATGCAAAATCAAGTCTTCATCTAAAAGAAATGCATATTCAAGTCTTCATTTAAAAGAAAATAATTACATGTTGAAAATTGACATAAGGTTAGCATTAATAAAAGCTCACCCATGCATTTTGAAGCTGGTTATTAACACATAATTTTAACAACCTTAATAATTTATTAAAAACGAGCCGGCCCGTGGCATAGCACACGCCGCTATTTAGTTGTTGTTTTTTTCTACTTTTCAGTAATTCATAATTTGTGAATTCGACAGTACCAATGCTGACACTGAAAATATTTCTTTAAAACACTATAAGAAGCTCGTTAAGGATCATAACCCCCCCCCTTCCTTCCCCCCCCCCCCCCCTTGTTTAAAATAGTTTCAAACTAAATTATCTGCCCCTAATAGCCGTCACTAAACCCGACTCCACGAAGGTAAATATAACGTGAACCACAGCTCACTAAGACCATGTAGGGGTGGGGATGGTAGGGAGCGCGGTTTCAGCTTGTTTTCTAGTGTCTCCCAGAAGAGAATTATATAGATAATTTCAAATAAAGCAATTCTAAAAACATTATTCATTTTTTTAAAAATTGCTTTTGAAGAAAATCATTTCTTCCATTGTAGCCTAAGTAAAAAAATGGGTCACCACTGAAAAAGGTTGAGAATCTGTGCTCTAGATGTACTACAACTATCATACATTCCTAACCAGGACGCGCCAGGAAAAGGTGGCTAGACATAGTGCAGACTCTACATTTCTGTTATATGAATGTATGGAAAAGGTGGCTAGACATAGTGCAGACTCTACAGTCCTGTTATATGAATGTATGGAAAAGGTGGCCAGACATAGTGCAGACTCTACATTTCTGTTAAATGAATGTAAGGAAAAGGTGGCTAGACATAGTGCAGACTCTACATTTCTGTTATATGAGTGTTAATGTCAATTATGCATCACTTGGTGTCCTCTAAGATAAAGTCTAAAATAATTTCATTTAAGAGGACTGTACAGAATGATTCCATTTTAATTATCTCTTTTTTATAAATGCTTCTTCAATCTTGAGTAGGCAATGCATTATATATTAGACAACAAAAAACCTGATATTTCCATATTTAAATGGACATTTATGCCTGTCTTAGCACAGAAAAATTAAGGCAAAACTTTGCATATTTGCACATCTCTGCCTCTATTTAAAGCACACACAACACTATCCTAGCCATCATTTTTAACTTGGTTTTTTTAAAAATGGAATTCTTGTTAGTTTTGTGTGTGCTGATAAAGATCTAGGGGGTGCTTTATTTCTTGTATTTCTTGTTTGGTTATAAAATATCAGGAAAATTCTGCTTTTCTTGAAAGGAGGTTAGATCTATAAAATTTTGACAGTGCCTGGAGTGTTTTGTTTGAAAAATTTAAAATAGGTATATTTATATATCTATAGGGAAGTATAAAATAATAAAAGTAAAATTTTATTGTCTTATTTTCCAAATTTATGAGTTTAAAGTTTTCGATGAATAAATTTCAAATTTTACAATATGTACTTGATCTGGAGAAGATATAATAAAATGCTTACATTTTTAAACCTGCTCAGAAGGACGGCAAAGTTGGTCATATGCTGGCAGGAGCAAACCACGTGAGTCAAGTTTTGAGAGACGATTCGACAGCCTACATCGGACCAGTAGACGTTTGTCCCTTTGCTGAAATAGAAAGTAGATTTTGTATGCCAATTAATTAAAGTACAAGTGTATCAGTTTTATCTCAGTTAATTTGATTTTGAATGCTAGCATTGCTTGTAGATTTGATTTATAGCTCACACAATTAAAGAAATGTATATCCCATAGTTCAATTTAAAACTACATTTGAAGCCACTATTAAATTACTGGTATACATTTTTTTAAAAAGCCAGCTATGCTCTGTGTTTAAAAAAAAATTAAACTATTATCCTTCTATTGGCTGACTTTCTTATCTGTAGTTGTGTAATGTGAAATTTACTTTCTTACAACAAACATCATCCTTTTTCAGTGGCAACTGCACAAATTCTAAATACATGATTGCATGTACTTCTATATGTAGCAAACCCTATGTAGTGTATTTATTACTGTAGTAATGAATAATGAATAGTACTGGATAAACTTAAGATGGATGCAAGGATAAAATAATTTCTTCTTCTGTGGTTTTATTCATCTAAATGTGAACTTTATAGGATATAGGTCTGCTGTTTAAGCGTTACCTTGTAGACTTGCATGTTGTAATTTCACTGTAAAGAAATTGTTTGAACTGCGGTTGGACTAATGTGATAAACCCACAGAGTCCAGTTAAATATATCAACTGTTATACAGCTGTCAGAAATGGGATATAACAATATAAAATAATATTACCTAAATGTGGTGTCAACAAAAGCACACCGAGGTGAGTTCAATTGAGACTGCAAGGAATAATAAAAACCAGACACTTGTTAATAAACAACATGTTTAAAATAAAAATGAAATTAATTATTAAATTTAAATAATTCATCAATAGTTTGACAGATAGAATGGACTTTGGATGGCTGTGACTTGCCTGTTGGACGGAGAAAATCAAGTTAACGGAGACATTCTGTACAGCACCAAGGGAAGTTACCGAAACGACATTGCTGCCCACAGTCAAGTTTTCTCCTTCATTTGGTAGCCTAATATCGCTGAAAATAGTTTTTGTCCAACATTAATTGGGCATGAAATGTATGTTAGATGGTGCCTGGGCAAAAGTGGTAGTGATTTATGGCGAGTGGGGTTTGAGTATACATTTGGTCTATGGTGTGTGTTAGTAATGTGTGGGGTTTGATTAGATATTTGGTCTATGGTGTGTGTGTTAGTAATGTGTGGAGGGTGGGGTTTGATTAGACATTTGGTCTATGGTGTGTGTGTTAGTAATGTGTGGAGGGTGGGGTTTGATTAGATATTTGGTCTATGGTGTGTGTTAGTAATGTGTGGGGTTTGATTAGATATTTGGTCTATGGTGTGTGTGTTAGTAATGTGTGGAGAGTGGGGTTTGATTAGACATTTGGTCTATGGTGTGTGTGTTAGTAATGTGTGGGGTTTGATTAAATATTTGGTCTATGGTGTGTGTGTGTGTGTGTGTGTGTTAGTAATGTGTGGGGTTTGATTAGACATATGGTCTATGGTGTGTGTTAGTAATGTGTGGAGGGTGGGGTTTGATTAGACATTTGGTCTATGGTGTGTGTGTTAGTAATGTGTGGGGTTTGATTAGATATTTGGTCTATGGTGTGTGTTAGTAATGTGTGGAGGGTGGGGTTTGATTAGATATTTGGTCTATGGTGTGTGTGTTAGTAATGTGTGGGGTTTGATTAGATATTTGGTCTATGGTGTGTGTGTGTGTGTGTGTTAGTAATGTGTGGGGTTTGAGTATACATTTGGTCTATGGTGTGTGTTAGTAATGTGTGGGGTTTGATTAAATATTTGGTCTATGGTGTGTGTTAGTAATGTGTGGAGGGTGAGGTTTGATTAGATATTTGGTCTATGGTGTGTGTTAGTAATGTGTGGAGGGTGGGGTTTGATTAGATATTTGGTCTATGGTGTGTGTGTTAGTAATGTGTGGGGTTTGATTAAATATTTGGTCTATGGTGTGCGTGTTAGTAATGTGTGGGGTTTGATTAGACATATGGTCTATGGTGTGTGTTAGTAATGTGTGGAGGGTGGGGTTTGATTAGATATTTGGTCTATGGTGTGTGTGTTAGTAATGTGTGGGGTTTGATTAGATATTTGGTCTATGGTGTGTGTTAGTAATGTGTGGGGTTTGATTAAATATTTGGTCTATGGTGTGCGTGTTAGTAATGTGTGGGGTTTGATTAAATATTTGGTCTATGGTGTGCGTGTTAGTAATGTGTGGGGTTTGATTAGATATTTGGTCTATGGTGTGTGTGTTAGTAATGTGTGGAGGGTGAGGTTTGATTAGATATTTGGTCTATGGTGTGTGTTAGTAATGTGTGGGGTTTGATTAGACATATGGTCTATGGTGTGCGTGTTAGTAATGTGTGGAGGGTGGGGTTTGATTAGACATCCTTTGCTAGTAATGTTTCCTCTGGGTATAGCTTAATCCTCTGGGATTAGCTTAATACCTCAGGAAAAAGAATCATGAAAATTATATACTTTAATTCTATTTATTAGCATACATATTAACCCTTGTCGGTCTATATTTCAAATGGTAGTGGTTGAACAATTCTAAATGTTAAATATACAATAAATAAGCAATATTATAGCCTAATTGATGTCCCATTTAAATATGACTTAATAAAATATATTTTGGCATTATTCCTTATTTAGATGTACATTTCTGTGAGGGTTTTGCCACATCCCCAGCAGTAGTGCTAATGTGGGAGACATGGCTCCCATTTTGGGAAATGTTTGCTCTATGGTGTTTGCTGGTGGTGTGTCCAGGGAAGAGAAGACGGACTTATTTTATACAACAGATGGTTGCAGAAACTCTTGTTGAAGTGATTACAAATGTATTTATTTTATACAACAGATGGTTGCAGAAACTCTTGTTGAAGTGATTACAAATGTATTTAAAAACAGAACCGAAGATATATGTATATCTGAATAAGGAATTGGAACTCAGAACACAATCACAGCACACCATCTTGAAAGGGAACTTTCCAATGAATTTTTTGTTTGCGCTATTTGAAACAATGGGTAATGAAAGTTAATAATTTCTTTGTATCCCTTTTGTAATTATTTAGATAACAATGGAAATGTATGCAATAATCTCACAACAAACTGTGGTTTTGTTTAGTTGTTGCCCAACAGAATATTATCGACCATGATTCCAAAAACAGACTGTCTTAAAACAAATGCCTTAAAATTTAAAAGATTTACTGATAGAGTATAGCACAACATATTAGTGGTTCTGAGTATTGTTTGTATTTCAAAACTGTTACAGTGCTGAATGTCAAGGATATTTGGTATATATTTATCTGTAAGCAAAAATATAGCCCCTTTTAGCAAAAAAAAACATTTTCTGCTATTCTGGTTTGTTAAATAAATTCTTTAAATATAAAATTCACAATTCTTTTAAAAGTATATTAAAGAACAGCAAAAAAAAACAACAACAAACAAAACAAGTCACATTTTTCATATGATATGCTAGTAAGGCACATACATGATTTTCAGTGGGTTTTTTTTTTGTTTTTAACAAAAGCCATACATTAATCATTTTAGCCTTCAATTAAAATTGTTTTCAAGAAATTAGAAAGAAAATAGAGATACTATACCCAGCTCTGGCCATCCTTGGAATGATGAAATTATCAGACAGTCTGTAAATGATGATGGAAAACTTTTCGTATTCTGAAACAAATAGTTTTAACCAGTTATGTAAACATTTATAAGTATTTTTGTGTCCTATTTATTCAGCTTATTTTATTTGCTGACAAATAATAAAATACTTTCACATTTTCTATATACTTTTTTAATCGCTGGGCCTTAAACTGTGTAAAATAAACTGGGTGATTGGACGACTATGCAAAAATTATAAATTTTTTGTTTACTACATCAGTTCTATAGTTGTTTGTTGAATTACAAATATTTTTTAAATAGTTTTGAACTTAACGTTTTTTTAAACATTGTAAATGTGAATCAACTTTTTGCTGACCAAATATTCTTACCAAATTTTCTGTAATCAGCATAGGATATAATCTAAAATCTATAAACTCACTCTGAGTGTTTGGGTATGGGTATGTGGCCTGAATAAATAGATCACTCAATAACTGTTATAAAATGTGCCAAACATTATCAAACATGGATAAATGGCAAAATTTATTCCCAAACGACACAACTATTCATAAACATTTTGAAGAAATCTACACAGTTTTATACTGTTTTTTTCTCTCCTACTTCATATTTTAAACAAAAACATTCTTGATAGATAGTATTATTAAAATGTAATTGATACTTATTATATATAGTGGCCATGAAAAAAGCATATTTGGGCATTTATAAATTTAATAATAGCAATATTAGATGAGTTTTTAATTCTACATTGTTTTTTTGGCTGTATTATATTTGCTGAATGTTGTGCATTGTTGTGCTACTGTTTTTTATTCATTCATAAGTAATTATAATGGGATCATGTTACTAAGGCATATACTTGGTTGTTTTAGCAAAACATAAGTGACCGTGGTAACCAATGCATATGTAGGCATTGTAATATTAAGGATTCCGTTTGTCCTAAGAAATCCTAAACCCCAAACCATCACCCAATACTATCTATAAAGTCAACAATAGCAGCGCCAGTATAGAAGAGTTGCTGAGGGAGACTCACATTTTTAATTAATTTTAATTCTTCTTTTTTATTACGTGTCAACATGTTATGCTGTTGACTCCGGTTTCAGCCTGCTTTTCTTTCTGGATTTGCTTCCATAGCCTTTGTCCAACCAAGAACAAACTACAACTACAAGGCAGCAGTTGTTTGATTCTGGAGTTGTTTTCCTAGGAGAATTGCTGTCTCCGGCTATCAATCCTTATCAGCCCAAGTTTATTTTAACTGACTACATGAAGTTTATAGTGCACAGAGGCGTATCCAGGTTTTCGTTGTAGGGGGAGCGAAAAGAGCAAAAACAGGCGCCGAATTTTTAACACGTTCTATATACGTGTATTTTATATATATATATATATATATATATATATATATATATATATATATATATATATATATATATATATATATATATATATATATATATACACTATAACCAAAAACAATTAACGTAACACAGTCTGTTTTGTAAGTCTTGTAAAAAAAATTCTTAAATAATAATTCCTGTGAAATTATTTAAAAGACAAGTGAAATAGGGGAAATAATCACTCTCCTAATATAAATATGTATATATCTACACATTTAATTATAAATGTCAAAACAAATAAATAATGACTTTAGAATATAATGAAATTGTTTAACACTATTCGTATTTACAAAATGTTTTTGTCTATAATCAGAATTTAATATATCGTCATCATAAATGCTAAGGTATTACAGCATAATGAAAGTTTATAAAATCAGAGTTGGTATAAAACCACGCTTTTCAATAAATTAGAATACATTCGGAATAACATCCTATATTAAACTAAGTATCTGTCTATTAGTTAAGATCATATATTTTAATTAACTACGGCTTCTTTGTGTTCTTCAAAGATCAATTTTTAACATAGTGATTTGTATGGGTTAGATCACTGTATTGATCACACACCTTTTTACTGGTAATTGCAAAAACAATATTCACAGAGTTTTACGCTTAAAAAGCTAATTTTCAGACGGCATGGTACTTTGGTACATCATTACGTGTTTTTCTACATGTACTTAACAGATCTGTTCGGGATGGGTTGGGGGGGGGGGTCAACTTCATTCAACACTATCCGTTCTTTTTAGGTCAATTATCCAACCCAGTGTATACCTAGGTGTGACATTAATGTCGCTCTACACAATTGTGGTGGTGAGGTGTGTGTGTGGGGGGGGGGGGGGGGGGGGAGAGATAACCAACTCAGAGTGAACATAACGTCAGTTTTTAGATGACTGTTCTAAACATACATATATATTACACAAATATATATATTACACAAATATATATTACAGAAATAGATTTGAATAAGTAGCAGTGGTATTATGACAACATTTTTTTACAGAGGGGTTCATGGGGGAGGGGGGTTGTAACTGTTTCATATAATTTGTAATCGTAATAACTATCGCCCAAACTGTAAGAGTACTACTACTTGTCAAAATTTCCCCACCACTACGCAGTTTGCTCATAAGTAAATTTAATTTTTTTAAATAGAGATGCCACATCAGTTGTATTTGTTTTTGTATTGTAATTTTTTTTTAAAAATTAATCACACGATTCAAACTGTATATATAAAGTAATTATGTGTGAAGTTTTATGTATAACATTTTCTATTTCAATTATTCGTAGGCAAATACATTATACAGTTGCCTTAAACTTAACACCCCTCTTGCCAAGTGGTACTACCGTAGAGGTTTTTTAAACATTGCAATGCATCGTAATGGTTATTTTTAGAATGGCAAACTGATGCAGCTGTTAATACGTGTTGTAAACGTAGGCACTACTAGACTAGTACATTAATGCTTAATTGCTGCATGAAAAGAAATCTTGTGATTTACTTAGATGTGCCGACCAAAAATATTTTTTTAACAAATATTGTTTAAAACTGTGAGTTTAAAAAGTTTCCAAAAAGGCGCCACTTTGCTGAAAATGGCCAGAGGGGGAGCGGCCGCTCCCCCTGCTCCCCCCCTGCGTACGCTACTGATAGTGCATTTTGAAAAAAAAAACATAGCAAATACTAGTTATTAAAACAAAACCTAAAATGTTATAATACCTCCTTTGTTCTCCATTGTTATGTATATTTGGTTCTCAGATTTTGGTGCCCAAGAGCCTTTACTTATAAGATCTCCATTTGGAAACATCAGTGATCCAGAATAACGTCCAATGACTGTGAGTTTCAGCAAGAATGAGGAATAAATAAACATAATTATATTTCTTGAATGATTATAGTATTTACCAGCATAAATTATACTAAGTTTCGTAAGGAAAATTGTATAAAATTTGAATTAAGTTTCTTAGACTATTGGAACCAGATAAAAGACGCTGAGGGTGGGGGTCATGCTGTCATACATGTTTCTATTTTAAACACAGATTTGTAAACCCCCCCCCCTTCTTTATCATAGTGACAAACACTCAGAACCCCTTCTGATATAAATGACATCACATTTCATCAACCTCACCTCCAGCCCCATGGATATATTTTATTTTTTAAATGTTGCAATTATTTTCTAAAATTCTATTTGAGTTGTTTCCAGCAAAGGGATATTTCCAAATGAAAAGTAACAACTACTGTAGTGTTAACTTGGCTAGCTAGGTCAGGGGTCTCCAAACTACGGCCCGCGGGCCGGATGCGGCCCGTGAAGTCCTCGCATCCGGCCCGCTGAGATTTTTTTGTCCTTGGAAAAATCGTTAGTTAGTGATGGCTGAGGAACTTTGCCCAGAAAAATCAAACATGCCTGGAGGAAACTGGCCCCCGAACTGAAATTTGATAGTTAATGCAGCCCTCGGACTGAAAAGTTTGGAGACTCCTGAGGTAGGTCAACTTTACCAAAAATATTATTCAATTGTTATGTTATTCAATTTTTATTGAATTGTGAAAACTTTAATACATCAATGTGAAGATCAAAATTTACTATCATTTTTCTAAATTTTCACAACAATTTTGCTCAATTTTCATTTTAAAAAGTCAAAAATCTTGTCCCTACCAGCCAAATGCAATTTGGCAGACAAAAAACCCTAGATCTATATCAACAGTAAAATTTAATAAAATTGAAAATGTGGGTGAATTATAAAATATTTAAAAAAAAGTTAAAACCCTTGTTAGACCCATGGATCTATAATTTGACAAAACCCTGGTTCTTTAAAAAAAAAAAATCCTGGGTCTATAATCCAGTTAAAACCTGTATTTGTAAACCATTAAAACCATGGGACTTTTTGTTATGAGTTATTTGAATATTAGGTTAGAATAGTTTAGAACACCTAGGATGTTGAGTTTTTTAGTTGAGTTTAATCCTGTGTGTTTATGTATTTTTCCTCCAAGGTTGAATGTGTTAGTAGGATTTTAGTCAGACACCTTAAAGGGAAGTTGCTGTAAAGTGTATAATGAGAGGAAAAACAGGACTAAAACAGTGTGTAGTAATTTGTTTCAATTCAGTAAAATCAACTTTTACACTTTAACTTTAGCTAATTAAAAATCGGCAATAAAGAAAAGCGCTGGACTCGATTAAATAATTAAGACTTGGATGCACACAATTTAAAATAATCTATGGGCCTATAAACGTAAAAGCAATAAAGACATGGGCCTAATCACTAATTAGCAATTAAACCATTGTGTCGTTTGACCACAAAACCTTGAGATTAAGAAAACAAGTTATTAAAAAGTCTAGTGACAATTTAAGCGCAATTTCCTTATGTTATCCATAACAATTTTAAATCACGTGGAAAAAAAACGAGCGACGCATAGCTCGCCTCTCTCTCTCTGTCTTGCCGCGCGCAGTGACGCGAACGATCCCACGTTGCGATAGGCTAGCCTCCCGTATCAGTCGAAAAAAAAAATCCTTTCGAACCTCCCCTCATTCGCTATGGAAAAATCCTTTCGAACCTCAGCTTTGCGCTAAAAACCTACACGGCACTCAGTTTAAATGTTCTTAATTAATTTTTTGTGACCGAACGAAAGGATATTTTTGAAAACTTTCTTCTGCAATATTGGTCTAAATTATGGCAGGAATCGATTGGTAAATGTTTCAAGTCGCTAAGTGGTCTGGTTGCCGAGATATGGAGCAAAAACTGCATTTGTTCGAGGTTTTTTGGCTTTTCCGGGAAATCCAGATAGGAATTCCTGGAATTTTTTTGGCCCACAATCATCCTTGGAACTTGCTTAACATTTTTGCTTTTGGAACTAGTCCTCGATATTGCTTCGTTGAGGAGGAGATACCACTTAAAGCTGCGGACACACATCCATCCATCCATCCATACATCCAGAAATGACGAGTTAATAATCGCAATTGTCCGTATGGAAATTGCGCTAAAAAATATTTGTCCTTAATCAATAATCTCATGTAGAACACGCTGTTTTTCTAATATAAATATTTGATTTTATTATTATTATCATTTAATATTTATTTACAAATCTACGTACATATCTTAGAGAATATCATTTCTGATTTTCTATCCTTAAACGAGTTCAGACTTGCTTTAACCACAGTTTCTAGAGAAAGCATCAACTTGGCCGCCATGTCATCATCTTGACTGTCAGTGTCTTCATTGTTTTTACTTCGAGTAGTACTGGCCAGGCTGTCAGCGACCATCCCAAAAACCTAAACAAAACAAAATCAAAATTGTTGAGTATAGTTATTAGGCCTATAGATCTATATATATTATATAATAAGCAAAAATTGTAGATCTAGATATTTATAAAAAAAAACAGAGGGAAAATGTAAACTTAATATTAAATTAATATTAGATAATTAATACTAATACTAATAGGCATAGTAGAATTAGAATGAACAAAATCAAAAATCTCAAAAAAAAAAACAAAAAAACATCTGAGACAACATACCAAAAACTAAACTAAGAAAAAATGATTAAAAAATTAGGCATAGGCCTATTACTAATAAATCACTAATTATGTATAATGGACATTAATTAATGGATTTATACTTTATACTGCCGCAATATTATTGTTGCGGAATATTGCGGCAATGCCGTTTTTTCATTAAAAATATTTAAAAAGAAATGTAAGAAAAATTACATTTTAAATTTACAAATCCAAATAGATCTACAAATGTTTGACTAGGCATACACAAAAAAGTATTAGATCTAGATTCTAGATCTCTCTAGAACTCTATTAGATCTTCTACATCTCCTTTTTTAAATATTAACTAAACAAATAATCGCCATAGGCATATATTTATTTATATTAAAATTAAAATAAAACGCTTTCTTTCATGTTCAAACCCATGTTTTGGCATTATCCACTTGACTAAGTATCCTGTTGTTCAGGTTTTTTTGCAATTCCATTTACTAAGGCCAAATTTAATAGGCCTAATAACAAATAGACTCAATAGTGCCTACACCTTTTTACTTTCTCGTAGATCTAGATCTACGCAGTATAGAGAAAGTCTTGTAGATCTACTAGTGCAAAAAAAAAAAAAAAAAAAAAAAAAAAAAAAAAAAAAACAAACAAACACGAGATTTAGGCAAATTTCGACGTTTTACATCTCCATGAGTCGGACAAACATAGTTTTACAATCTTGTCTGTATGTCCGTGTGTGTGGGGGGGGGGGGGGGGGGAGGGAGGGGAGGGTTGTGTGTGTCTGTGTGTCTGTAAACACGATAACTTGAGTACCGTTACAGCAAGGTTGATGAAATTTCATATATAAGTATTATATCAAAATCTTAGATCCATATCAACTTCGGAGTTTCTTCGCCCCGAAGAAAGTCTACCGCCCCCCCCCCCGAATAGGGTTGCCAGGTGTCCAGTTTTGAACTGGACAGTCCAGTATTTGAGCAGACTGTCCAGGATAAAATAAATATAAATACTGGACAAGTATATGAATAATACTCTGTTACCTCCCCCCCTTCTTCTGCTTTGCGGCATACCTGAGAAGGGAAGGATGGAAAGGTGTCCAGTATTTTCGGAAAAGGTATCTGGCAACCATACCCCCGAACGAAATGGAATTTATATAGAAAACATATCCCCCCCCCCCCGGAAAATGTTGACCCCCCCCCCTAAAATATCAAGTGCCCCCCCCCCGAGAAAAAAGTCTGGAAGAAACACTGATCAACTTTTGAGCGGTTTCCGAAATAGTAGGCGATGAGAACCAGGGTTTCTTACAGGCATATATTTGGCAGTGTCCCCTCTGCCGCTCTCCCTCCTCTCCCCCCTCCCTCCCCCCCCCCCCCATGAATTTTTTTTTAAAGAACTACCAATTCACCAAAATTCTCTCCAGCCCGAAGAATAAAAGGACCGAAAGAAACACTGATGATAACAATCTCTAAAAACAAAAAAAACTTAATAAATGACATTTTTGAAATATTTTTAGCTCATTACAGATTAAGAAGTTGAATAGATTTTTTCGTTACCTCCAAGACATCTGACTCGATTATTACTCCCGTCTCTTTCAGTTTGAGGGCCAAGATATCAAAAAGATGTAGTACGTCGGCAGGTGGTCTTGAGAAGTTGGAATACACGCTAGAGTTGAGGTTTTGGGCTATAGAGCATATCATTCTGCTCACTTCTGTAGCACCCACTATTGAGTTAGCCAATTGGTCAGCCTACAATAGTGTCGTGAATTCAGTCAATTGTGCATAGTGTGACCAGAAAAAAAATTCATAACTTAAAAGTTAATACTTTTCGTGCTTAAAAATTGACAAAGCTAGATCTTTAATTAGAATACCTATAAGCATTAGTTCGGAAGAATTCAATATTAAGTAAATCTACTTTAATTAGTTGTACTTTGCGATAAATATTTGCGGAAATATTGTTAAAGAAAAACTTATATATATATATATATATATATATATATATATATATATATATATATATATATATATATATATATATATATATATATATATATATATAAGCTTTGTAAAGTGAATTGCCTGTAGTTTATATGATATAATTATTAGAAATTTAGCAGATCGTAGGAAGTTTTAATCTTGAATTTTGTGGGGTAGTTTAGCACAAAACCAGTAGAAAAGTTCACCGGTAAGAGTAAAAAACTCGCGCCGAGAGCGGGGTGTCATCCGAGACGGCTGGGGCTGGGGTTTATACACCGGCGGCATAGCCTTAGAGGGGAGAAAAAGACGGTCGCTGCCAGTAATTTATGCAACACATGTGTTGGCGCTATAGTCTTCTTAGATGCGCGCTACACAGGCAATTCTCGTTGAGTAGAGATATTGTACTGTTTACTTGGCCTAATAAATAAATTAAAGCAATCTTAAACTTCAATTTTCAATATCTTTAATGTTTACGAGAAAGGATATAGATCTAGGAAAACATTACAAAAGCAGCGATTTTTTTTTAGATTGATTAATTAATAAATAATAAAATCATTTATGTAAGTTTTATACACATCTTTTTTTTTTACGAGTAAGCTTTAACTAATCGGCTTTAGTACTGCTTTAAAGCTAGTCAGATTTCAACATCAAGTACTGCTTTAAAGCTAAAAACCTCATCATTAAGTCAGACCAGCATTGATCAGTACTGCTTTAAAGCTAGTCAGACTTTAACATTAAGTACTGCTTTTAAGCAGAGTTTCTTCCAGGCATCTCCTCGGGGGGGGGGGGGGGCGAAGCCACCCCGAAAATTTTTTACCGCCCCCACACCCCGAACGAAATGAAATTTATGTAATTTATATAGAAAATATATACTTTTAACAGTGTCCGCCCCCCCCCCCCGAAGAAAGTTTACCGCCCCCCCCCCCCCCTGAAGATTTCAAGTGCCCCCCCCCCCCCCGGAGAAAAAAGTTTGGAAGAAACACTGCTTTTAAGCCAGTCAGACCACCACTAAGTACTGCTAGCTCGCCAGGATGAAGAATCAAGCAGTAGTTAACCCATCTTGCAAGCTGCTAAGCACATGGTGAAACCCACGGGTTTATCCCCCCCCGCCCCCCCCCCACCAATTCACCCATTTGTAAGAGTGTATTAGCGAGTAAGGGCAATTTGTTCGACGTGTGTAAAGGGGGGGGGGGGGGGGGAAGCGTGACCTACGTTCTAGAGATTATTTAAGGTTACCTAATTACGACTTGCAATGACTATTTAGAACGTTTCTTTTACGCGGTTTCAATTGCATGAAAAAAATTAAAAGTAAGCGTTTTTTAAGTTAAGTGCAATGTAGAGATGTAAAAGATTTGTTCGGCTATTATTAGCCTTTTTCAAATATCAATCTTTTTTTTTTGTATTGGGAAATATATCCTCTAATCAATTTGATTCAAACTGCATTTCACAGCACAATTAAAATTTGAAAGAGTATAGCTATTTTTTAAAAAAAAAACCATAATTTTTAAATCTAAAATATTTTAGATTGTGTGTGTGTGGGGGGGGGGGGGGGGGGGGGGGGGGAGGGAGGGAAGGCTAAGGCTTTTGTCCCTTGTGAATAGCTAGTTTGATAGAACCTACAGGCGAGTCAAAGTTTCAAACTCTCATTCAATGTTCAAGGAATGAGGGTATTTTCTCGCTCGACAAAACGACTGTTTTTTTTAATCAGTAAATAAACTATTAAAAACAAGTATTCTGTCCCGCCTAAAAAGATTGTACTATAGCGGGTTCTGATACCATTTTTTAAAAACCATTCGATAACGACGGCCTTATGGACATTTTATGCTGTGTGGGGTAGTAATTTTACATAATCTGGATTCCCGTTGGAAAACGGCCTGTTTCACATTTTTAACTTAATTTCGGAAATAATAAAATTATAAAATGAAGTTATTCTATTTAAAATGTTACTAATTATGGTCTTTATAAAGAGGCTTTAAATATAATAGACTTCATTCTTTAGCTTAAACCAAATTACATACGAAAATAATATTGCACAAGAAAAAAATCCACAGTTAAATGTAGGCCTACATAAAACAGAATGGAAAAAGTAGCAGTTATTTATTTTCACCATACAAATGTCGACGATGTATTTAAATTTCATGAATAAAAATAACAAATCTTACCAAACGCAATGCATTTGTAAAACTTTCACTCCCTGTTTGTGCATGGGCTGGTGTGGTGGAAGTCCCCAGTGGTTTAGTAGGTGGTGTCGAAGTTATTGGTGGTTCAAACACCGATGTAGTCGATGTTACTGGTAGATGACGTGTTGGGGTGTATGTTTCTGTTGACAGTGGGGTGAGTGTGGATGTTTGTGTCAGTTGAGTTGATCTAGTGGATGTTTCGGTTGACTGTGGGGTGAGAGTGGATGTTTGTGTCAGTTGAGTTGATCTAGTGGATGTTTCGGTTGACTGTGGGGTGAGAGTGGATGTTTGTGTCAGTTGAGTTGATCTAGTGGATGTTTCGGTTGACTGTGGGGTGAGAGTGGATGTTTGTGTCAGTTGAGTTGATCTAGGGGATGTTTCTGTTGACAGTGGGGTGAATGTGGATGTTTGTGTCAGTTGAGTTGATCTAGGGGATGTTTCTGTATACTGTGGGGTGAATGTGGATGTTTGTGTCAGTTGAGTTGATCTAGGGGATGTTTCTGTTGACGGTGGGGTGAATGTTGATGTTTGTGTCAGTTGAGTTGATCTAGGGGATGTTTCTGTATACTGTGGGGTGAATGTGGATGTTTGTGTCAGTTGAGTTGATCTAAGGGATGTTTCTGTTGACGGTGGGGTGAATGTGGATGTTTGTGTCAGTTGAGTTGATGGTGAGGATGTTTCTGTTGACTGTGGGGTGAATGTGGATGTTTGTGTCAGTTGAGTTGATGGAGGGGATGTTTCCGTTGACGGTGGGGTGAATGTGGATGTTTGTGTCAGTTGAGTTGATCTAGGGGATGTTTCGGTTGACGGTGGGGTGAATGTGGATGTTTGTGTCAGTTGAGTTGATCTAGGGGATGTTTCGGTTGACGGTGGGGTGAATGTGGATGTTTGTGTCAGTTGAGTTGATCTAGGGGATGGTTCTGTATACTGTTGGTTGAATGTGGATGTTTGTGTCAGTTGAGTTGATCTAGGGGATGTTTCGGTTGACTGTGGTGTAAGAGTGGATGTTTGTGTCAGTTGAGTTGATGGTGAGGATGTTTCTGTTGACTGTGGGGTGAATGTGGATGTTTGTGTCAGTTGAGTTGATCTAGGGGATGTTTCGGTTGACTGTGGGGTGAATGTGGATGTTTGTGTCAGTTGAGTTGATGGTGGGAATGTTTCTGTTGACTCTGGGGTAAGAGTGGATGTTTGTGTCAGTTGAGTTGATCTAGGGGATGTTTCTGTTGACTGTGGGGTAAGAGTGGATGTTTGTGTCAGTTGAGTTGATCTAGGGTTTGTTTCTGTTGACTGTGGGGTAAGAGAGGATGTTTGTGTCAGTTGAGTTGATCTAGGGGATGTTTCTGTTGACGGTGGGGTGAATGTTGATGTTTGTGTCAGTTGAGTTGATCTAGGGGATGTTTCTGTATACTGTGGGGTGAATGTGGATGTTTGTGTCAGTTGAGTTGATCTAAGGGATGTTTCTGTTGACTGTGGGGTAAGAGTGGATGTTTGTGTCAGTTGAGTTGATGGTGAGGATGTTTCTGTTGACTGTGGGGTGAATGTGGATGTTTGTGTCAGTTGAGTTGATGGAGGGGATGTTTCTGTTGACGGTGGGGTGAATGTGGATGTTTGTGTCAGTTGAGTTGATCTAAGGGATGTTTCTGTTGACGGTGGGGTGAATGTGGATGTTTGTGTCAGTTGAGTTGATCTAGGGGATGTTTCGGTTGACTGTGGGGTGAATGTGGATGTTTGTGTCAGTTGAGTTGATCTAGGGGATGTTCCGGTTGACTGTGGGGTGAATGTGGATGTTTGTGTCAGTTGAGTTGATGGAGGGGATGTTTCGGTTGACTGTGGGGTAAGAGTGGATGTTTGTGTCAGTTGAGTTGATGGAGGGGATGTTTCGGTTGACTGTGGGGTGAATGTGGATGTTTGTGTCAGTTGAGTTGATGGAGGGGATGTTTCTGTTGACTGTGGGGTAAGAGTGGATGTTTGTGTCAGTTGAGTTGATGGAGGGGATGTTTCTGTTGACTGTGGGGTGAATGTGGATGTTTGTGTCAGTTGAGTTGATCTAGGGGATGTTTCTGTTGACGGTGGGGTGAATGTGGATGTTTGTGTCAGTTGAGTTGATCTAGGGGATGGTTCTGTATACTGTTGGTTGAATGTGGATGTTTGTGTCAGTTGAGTTGATCTAGGGGATGTTTCGGTTGACTGTGGGGTAAGAGTGGATGTTTGTGTCAGTTGAGTTGATGGTGAGGATGTTTCTGTTGACTGTGGGGTGAATGTGGATGTTTGTGTCAGTTGAGTTGATCTAGGGGATGTTTCGGTTGACTGTGGGGTGAATGTGGATGTTTGTGTCAGTTGAGTTGATGGTGGGAATGTTTCTGTTGACTCTGGGGTAAGAGTGGATGTTTGTGTCAGTTGAGTTGATCTAGGGGATGTTTCTGTTGACTGTGGGGTAAGAGTGGATGTTTGTGTCAGTTGAGTTGATCTAGGGTTTGTTTCTGTTGACTGTGGGGTAAGAGTGGATGTTTGTGTCAGTTGAGTTGATCTAGGGGATGTTTCTGTTGACTGTGGGGTAAGAGTGGATGTTTGTGTCAGTTGAGTTGATGGAGGAGATGTTTCTGTTGACTGTGAGGTGAATGTGGATGTTTGTGTCAATTGAGTTGATGGAGGGTTTGTTTCTGTTGACTCTGGGGTGAGAGGGGATGTTTGTGTCAGTTGAGTTAATCTAGGGTTTGTTTCTGTTGACTGTGGGGTAAGAGTGGATGTTTGTGTCAGTTGAGTTGATCTAGGGGATGTTTCTGTTGACTGTGGGGTAAGAGTGGATGTTTGTGTCAGTTGAGTTGATGGAGGGAATGTTTCTGTTGACAGTTGGTTCAATGTGGATGTTTGTGTCAGTTGAGTTGATGGTGGGGATGTTTCTGTATACTGTGGGGTGAATGTGGATGTTTGTGTCAGTTGAGTTGATCTAGGGGATGGTTCTGTATACTGTTGGTTGAATGTGGATGTTTGTGTCAGTTGAGTTGATCTAGGGGATGTTTCGGTTGACTGTGGGGTAAGAACGGATGTTTGTGTCAGTTGAGTTGATGGAGGGGATGTTTCCGTTGACGGTGGGGTGAGTGTGGATGTTGAAGAAATTAAAGTCTGACCTAAAAGAACATACATAAAAGTAGACATTATAAATATATATACATATATTATAATATAAATCAAAGTAATCTTATTTGTGGGTTTGTTTATGGATTTTTTTTGTACGTTTTTCCTTTATGCATTATTACAATTTACATCCCGTCGCCACGAAACTTTTAGAACTTCAATTTAAATGTATCCAGTATTATTCCTGTGATTTTATCTTGTGTATTCACGCACTTTAAGTATAAAATTTAGTTTATACATTTAGTACATCGAAAAAATTTTCAACGTACATCCGTATCTTTCAGTTCTCCATATGTTGCTGAAGATACTGATCTCATAGTCTCGAAAAATACACACACACACACACGCACACACACACACACACACAGAGAGAGAGAGAGAGAGAGAGAGAGAGAGAGAGAGAGAGCGCACATGGACTTTTAAATAATAATGTACATACATGGCAAGGCATATTTGTTTAATCTGTTGTAGTTAATGTGTACACACTTGGCAAAGCATATATATTTTCTTGGCAAGGTGTTATGATGCATGTTTGACTAGGGCAATGGGTGCGCATGATTGATGGTGCGGCCGTATATTGAACGAGTGAGTGTGTGACGCTGTACGCAAGAAAGTGACGTTTTAGTGTGAGTTCGTTGTTGCCAGGGAAGAAGATTGAAGTTAGTCTTGTCCGTGTTATGTTAGAGTTAGGTTGTCTAGTTGTAGTATCGTTTATCCAAGCTGCCCGATGTCCATTTCTATTGTGCAATAAATAGAGTTAGTAACGGATGTCGTTCTGTCAAATCCTTCGTGAGCGTTGATGTCGTCGTGTCTCAAGATATACTGTAGCATAGCTAAACATAATCAAATGGTAGTGATTAAGATAAAATGGTATTGGATCAAATAACCAAAGACACTCACTCAGCGTAACATCTACCCTCTCACTGCATAACTGTGGTACACATATACAACTCAGCAGTTATAACATGGTGGAGCAGGGGGGTATAAATATAAATTATTTTCAATTCTACTTAATATGTACATACTCGGCGAGGCATCGGTTGTTGTCTGGTCCTGTGTGGTGTTGCACGAACATGGTTCTTTAAAATAAAAACAGACCCTAGCGGTGGCAACAAAGATGTTCTTGTAAACAGCCTGTGATGTAAAAAACAATTACATAATTTGTTCTCACGTTAATTTTTTATTTAATACAGTTTGACATTAAGGTATTAAATTCCATGCACCTGAAACACTCACACAGAAAGATATACTTACTTACATGGCACTTAAATGCATATTATTTTATCTAGTTGAAATCGAGTTTTTGTTTATTTCTTAATTAACTTAGATAATAATAGTTAATTACAGACATAATGTAACATTTACATTTTTAAACTTACTTTTAGTTCACATATTACATTATCTTTGGATTTGGATTGGTCGGTGAATGAAAAGTGTCCCAGTATGGTATTATAAAGATGATGTACCTTAAAACTCATAGATGGTGTGTCTTTAGCATCTGAAACGTTAAACAAAATAAAGAAATAATTTTAAATTATTAATTAGACACCACCCGTACATTGTCTTCCTCCACTTAACATTACAGGATATAGCAAGCTGAGGAGTAGTAGAAACTAGACCACCTGTCATCCTTGGATAACTGTGGGTTTCAGGGTCATTCTTAAATTACGTCATGCTTGTTTGACGATTGTTATCTTCCCCCTCCTAAATCCCCAATATTACATATGGTCACAATGAGGTAAAAAGAATCTAACATGACTTTACGCCTTAGCTGACTGTTATGAAGTCATCAGTGTGGTTTATATAGTTTGATGTCGTTGATGACTGCAGTGAGGGTTGATGTGTTAAGGCAACAGTTTATAAAGCACTGATTTAATAACACCAACACACGTACAATTTTAAGACTATTTTTAATACACTGGAAATAAACGAGCACAGAATTCTGCCACGGAGCACAAGACACACTTCCACACGATCACTTAATTTATTCACACGGCCCCAACTTCACCCTAAGGTAACCCAACCCCTGCCTAAGGGGTCATCCATTTATGACGTCCACACGCGGGGGGGGGGGGGGGGTGTAAAAAACCCTGACTTTTGTGGACGCATATGGAATTGTATAAGAAAAAAGTGGATTTTTGTGGACGAACGAACGGACGGACGGACGGACGGGGGGGGGGGGGGGGGGGGGGGTCCAAAATCCAAAACAAAAATTGTGGACGTCATAAATGGATGACCCCCAACCCTAGCAGTCCCGCGAGGGGCGGGACGCCTAACCTGTGCATGCATTAACTCGAACTTTTTTTTACGACTGAGACAACTACAGGCTATTCAGACTTGTATCTAGTAAGGGGACGTTCAATCAAACACCCTAAGTACTATTCCTATTACAGCTATTATGATCTATCTAATCTACAATTAAACAATATTGTAGTGTGGACATAAATACTATTAAGATTTAAACGATATTCTATCCCAGTTTTCTATCCTTTGCTAATCCCAGTTATAACACTGACATGCTTTTGTCTTTTAAAAATCAAAATAATAGTTAGAGCTATTCTGTCTGTCTGTCTTTCAGTCTATTGTGAGCTCTATAGAGAAAACACAAGGAAAGTAAACATTTTCACAGTCAAACGAAAAACAAAACGTTCCACGACTGTGACATCACATGTATTTATCCATCCATCCATCCATCCGTCCGTCCATCCGTCCGTCCGTCCATCCGTCCGTCCGTTCGTCCGTCCGTCCGTCCATCCATCCATCCGTCCGTCCGTCCGTCCGTCCGTCCGTCCGTCCGTCCGTCCGTCCGTCCGTCCATCCGTCCGTCCGTCCATCCATCCATCCATCCATCCATCCATCCATCCATCCATCCATCCATCCATCCATCCATCCATCCATCCATCCATCCATCCATCCATCCATCCATCCATCCATCCATCCATCCATCCATCCATCCATCCATCCATCCATCCATCCATCCATCCATCCATCCATCCATCCATCCATCCATCCATCCATCCATCCATCCATCCATCCATCCATCCATCCATCCATCCATCCATCCATCCATCCATCCATCCATCCATCCATCCATCCATCCATCCATCCATCCATCCATCCATCCATCCATCCATCCATCCATCCATCCATCCATCCATCCATCCATCCATCCATCCATCCATCTATCCATCTATCTATCTATCTATCTATCTATCTATCTATATTTTTTTATCTACAGAAAGATATAATTTGTATAAAATTCGGTTTTTCTACTAGTTATTGGTAGCCTTTGTTATTTTAAATGTGTCGTTTTTTTTAGATATAAAGTTATTTATTTGCTTTGTCACTAATATTGTTCAACGTGTAGTTTTGACCAATAACTATTGTATAAAACATTTTTCTCAAACAAGTATAACATGAAAATATATACTATATAGGCCTATCTTCTTATTCTTCGTTCTTAATTTTAGTATGGGAAGAGATACCCTCCAACACAATTAAGTATACGTGTCAACTGTTTATGCGCCTTTGAGGTCATTGACTCCGTTTTCAGCCTGTTTTTCTTTTTGGATTTGCTTCCTTAGCCTTTGTCCAACCAAGAACAAACAAGGCAGCAGAAGAGTGACTGTCCCTCATCTACCCGAGACTTTTCGGTTTAGCAACCATGAGCTTTACCGACGCGAGCACACCGACCCCTTATAGGTATATAATTCTCGTGTAACGGGTACCGATGGCTAGTAAACTAATAAAAGACGCATACATAAAGTCAACCAAGGAGGTGCGCATTTTAGATTTTGCAATTTCCGTCCCATTCTGCACATGAACTAAGCGTAGTCGTTTTTTTAAAGGTTACTAATATATGACATACAATTTGGCTGGGATATTTCAATTTTTCCCGGGTCGCTATCTGTAACCAATGGATTTTTTAATGTTCTTTTTCTAAAACTAATCGAGGCTGCAAGCAACATCGACCAACATGGATAAAGTTCTGATTTTTTCAGTAATTCTCATTAGTATGGTCTACTTACCAGGTAGACTGTGTGGTTGTACAGATTTTTGTATGCTAGTTTATAAATAGTCTAGATCTAGTAAAAATAAGTATTCTTCTTTAGCGATCCATTGAGCAGATGAAGTAGTTCATGTTTTTTTTTTGCTCCAACTCAGCATATCCCATATTATCCCAAGGTCTCAAAATTTTATAATTTTTTGATATGGTTTAGCTTTTGGGCACTGAATGAAGGAATGACTATGGATTTTTTTTAAAAATCAATACTTTTTTAAATATCGATTTTTTAAAAAACGTCCCATAAATGGGACGCTAGCAACGAACGGCCCCATGTACATTTATTGAAAAATAAAATCATTTTTCACGAGTTATGGCTAATCACGCGAAAATTAAGCTGTATACTGATTTTGTATTGTTAGACCAATGACTACATTGTTTAGGACAGCTAAAAATATTGATAATGATCAATTGGGTTAGCCATACCATGGTCTAACATGTAGAAATTATGTTCAAAAGTCTAGTTTTCCTTCAATCTAGCATCCATCAAAGTGAACAACACTTGGAAATAAGTAAAGCTGTGACTAGTACATCTAATTATACACACATGATCACAAATATTGTTATTATTCATCGAAACTGTAATATAATTAAATATAAATAATTGATTTTTTGGGGGGGCGTACTTGAAATTTTCAGGGGGTGGGGACTTAAATTTCAGGGGAAAGGGTGGACACTGGTAAAAGTATGTTTTCTATATAAATTCCATTTTGTTGTGTGGGCAGAGCGCCCCCCCCCCCTCCTCCGAAATGATGCCAGAAAGAAACTCTGCCCTCAGTGAATTTGCAAAAGATGATCCGGTCCAGTCCCAGATGTCATCTAGCCATCCTCTCTTTTGTTACCCTCGCTATTCCCCCCCCCCCCTCACAGGCGTACATTAGGACATCAGACATCTTATTTCTAAGGCACGGATCCGTCTCTGGGGGCTTGTATTGAGTGTTCATGACTCTCATCCATGTATGCACCTCACTATGCGAACAGCTCCCAATCTAACACCAGGAATCTCCTTAAAAAGTTAACAAAGTAAAACTGGTATCGGGAACCTTTGGGGGGGGGGGGGATATTATTGGGGCATGACAACTGTACACAGCTAATTTACATTTCTGCTATATGTAGCTTAAGCTATCTTATATGAAGAGAGTTAACCAACCCCCATAAATGAATCATTTCACCTAAATCTTGACCATTGTTATTATTCTGGTTTGTTATAAATTTAATATCACGCGCTTATAAATTTACAGCAATACTAAATTAGTTTGTATTCAATGGTATTAAATACTTCAGTAAGTGTAATTCTGAAAACTTAAAAATAAAATGTAAGTTTTTCAATATTTGCAATTTTTAAATACAATAATATATAAGAAAATATAGCTCAAGGTCATAATTAAATATCTATAAATACCACCTAACACCCCAAAGTCAACAGTTAACAAAGTCAACAATTGTTTCACCATAAATAACCATTTAACATAAATATTTGCATCTGTATTTCTCGCTAGTGTCCAATAAATGTGACGTTTGTGTAACAATCTGCATAAATATAGATCAAGGTCATAATTAAATATCTATAAATACTACTTAACACCCCAAAGTCAGCAGTTAACAAAGTCAGCAATTGTTTCACCATAAATAACTATTTAACATAAACATTTGCATCTGTATTTCTCGCTAGTGTTCAATAAATGTGACGTTTGTGTAACAATCTACATGGGGCCATTCGTTGCTAGCGTCCCACTTATGAGACGCTTGTTGTACACTTGATATAACGAAGTAGTAAAAAAACATTGTTATTCTTAAATTTTTATCAGATAGAAATATGGTACTGCTACAAGTTTCAAATGTATTTTGCACTTAAAATGTTAATATTTTAGAAGATATGCATTTTCCTGTGCGCATGTTTTCTTTTTTCCGCCATTTTGACAAGTCCTGCAAAGCCGGCACTATAACATTTTTCTAAATTAATTTTTTTCACAAAACACACACAAATTCAATAGTCTAGCCATTTTCAAATACAATGAAACCTAAGTTGTGTTTCAACTAGTTTTTAATAAATTTTAGCATTTTTTTTTACAAGCGTCCCATAAGTGGGACGCTAGCAGAATATGGGATATGAAGGGTTGTAAATTAAATCTATATAGCGTTGGATATTATCCGGAAATATTTGTATAACTATTAGTTACTGTAAACTCCACAAGTATTCTACATAGGCCTACTGCTGAAGATACTGATGTCACAGTATCGGGAAAATAGGACGAACTGAGAGAGAATGAAAGAGAATGAGAGAGAGAGAGAGAGAGAGAGAGAGAGAGAGAGAGAGAGAGAGGGAGAGAGAAGTGCGCTCACGGACTTTTATATATCAGGATAGCGTTTGCACTGAGAAATCAAGAAGTTTGAAATTTTCAAAAGCAGCTTTTATTTAGGAATTGATTTAAAGTTCGCAAAATTATTTTCAGAAAATGTTGTTTCTCCGCAGATATACTGAACTGCATGCCAGTATTTCCTATGGAAATCGAAGGATATGAGAAAGATTGTGTCAATTATAGTTGCCGCTACACCGGGAGAATTGTAGGGCACGTTGACATCTATGAAGAGAACACAACTCTTCCCGTGGAATGGGGATGGACGATAAGTATTCTCGTTTGTCGAAGAATATATGATTGCTCCGATGGCACAGAATATTGGACACTTGTTAGTTTGTATAAAAATATTTCATTTTTTACTTTCTCGTATATACGTAGTATAGAGAAAGTATTGTAATCGTGCAAAAAAAAAAAATCGAGATTTTTACAAATCTCGACGTTTTACACCTCACTGATACGGAAAAACATAATTTTGCAATCTTGTCCGTATGTCTGTGTGTGTGTGTGTCTGTCTGTCTGTCTGTCTGTCCGTGTGTAAACACGATAACTTAAGTACCGTTACAGCTAGGTTGATGAAATTTCATATATAAGTATTTTATCAAAATCGTAGATCCGTATCAACTTTTGAGCGATTTCCGATAACCGGAAGTGGTACTTTTCCTACTTTGAATTTTTTAAAAGCCTATAACTTGAGTACTATTTCAGATAGATAAATGAAATTTCACATGTAAGTAAAAGATCTAATTCTCTACCTTCTGTTAAATTTTGAGTAATTTCCGTTGACTGGAAGTAGTAATTTACGCTACTTCCGATTTCTCAAAAAACTAATGTAAATTTTTAAAGTACTAATAATATTGCGCACTATTATACGCGTTTTTATTCGGCGTTTGCTTGGTGCGCAATGTTTTTTTTATGAGATTCTATTCTATTTTTAAAAGTTTAAGTATTTAAAATGGATTAAAAATCATAACTATATCCCCAGTTACCATCCCCTGTTGTTTTATATAAGAATATTCGAGAAAGTTTAGGGGAGATCACTACCGGTTTATTTACATTTAATTTAACTATATGGATACGATAAGATGTTATTTTTGTAAATGTATCTCGGCTCAGTACAATCGTTTTGAAATTAGTGAGCTTGTTACATAAGTTAGTAAAGATAGAAGCGATATTCACATCTTATTTTCAATCATCAGGAAATTTTCTCCTGAAACTAAAATGAATAGGTAAAAATCATACAAAATTATTTGATAAATTGTTTAACTCAGATAAAACAGGAAGAAATAAACAAAAGACACCCAGAGGTTAGCCAAGAACCGATTACACACATTATATTCACCATCAGGTTTATAAGGGAATACATTCTTTTCAGAGGTGTAGCGACCCTTCCCGGCGCCCGGGGACAAACTTCCGATTTGCACCCCCTCGAACTTTTGATTTACACACCCCCCTCAAACTTTCAATTTGTTATTCCAACCCATTTTGGTGCCCCCCTAAGGTCGGCGCCCGGGGACATATGTCCCCCCCCCCCCGGCCCCCCCCTCGATACGCCTCTGATTCTTTTGTAACATTTATTCAGAATTCATAAACTACTGCTGACGCATTGATATACCTTTTGATTCAGTACTGTGATATATTCTGGCTTATTGACCCACTTGATTGCGTAACGCACCCAATCCAGCCCTGTTACTGCTCTGGAACTTTTCCCATGAAATTCAAGTTTTACCCTCATCTTGAAAATGCTTACTATCGGCTTGCGGGACTTAACGAAATGGAATACCTGCCACTGAAGCCACATAATGTCGGCAAAGCATTTGATTCTAGGGTTCCCTCAGGTAGTCATATTTACAACTTTTAAAAATTATAAATTTAATTTTAATAAGTAATAGTACTTTAATTTTCTATGCTTTTATTTTTGTTAACAGTAAGTTAAGTTTGTGTTGGTTTGTGCAAACCTTATAACTCTATTTGGACCCTTCTCAAATGAAGCGATTTCATTTAAACTTTCCAGATATCTTCGTCTTTGATCAAAATGCAAGAATTATATTTTTAAAATCTAATTATAAATTAAATTATCATTAAAATATAATTAAAAGCTTACTAAATTCGATAATTAAACTGTAGATGTTAAATACTAGCCGACGGTAGTAAACTGTTTGTTACAGTAACGTATGCTTAAAATCTCGCTTAAGAGCCGACCACGGAGCTAGAGGTGACATTTAATTGTCTTCATGAGATCAGTAGATATTGTATCTTTATTTTTAAATTTTTGTAGTTAAATGTAGCTTAAACCTATATAAATGAACAGAATATATATATATATATATATATATATATATATATATATATATATATATATATATATATATATATATATATATATATATATATATATATATATATATATATATATATATATATATATATATATATATATATATATATATATATATATATATATATATATATATATATATATATAAATTTTTTTTGAAAATTAAATATTGATTTGCTGTTTCGGTTTTCAAAATTTTCGTGATTATTAAAAAGTAGGAAATGAAACAAATCTATATACTACTAAAACTTAAGTTTGCTTACATGTTTGAATAATTAGATCTATTTGTTTTTTTGATTGTCCGTATGGTTACAGGAGAGAATATGCACTATGTGTAGAGCTGTAAAATAGTATGTAGGTAGAGAACACTTTTTGTTTTCAGACAGACTGTTAATCACACATTAATTTAAAGACGTTAATTAATTAACTGATTTATTCATTTGTAGATTAACCACATTAATTATAAAAGTTCAGAACAATGACTTAACTTAGAGTGAATAGTGACGTCGCATGATTTATTTACTTTTTAGAACATTAATGGCGGCTTCCATACAAGATTTCGTTGCCCATTCCAACGTTTAACGCGTTCTATAGCTAATTTTCTGTCGGCAATAGCTTTAACGATGCGTTCGTTTGCTATTTTTATTAGGTTTCAACACTATTATCAATTTTTAAACAGTTCTTTTTATTTTAGTAGGACTATACAATACATTTCTCTACATCTTGAGATCACCTGTCGAATGAAGAAAAAGTTATGAATCTAACTAGATCTAGGTCACTAGACGTAAATTCTAGATCTAGACTTAATGTAAATTCAGGCCTTAATTATTTTATATAAATCTTTGTTTAGCTTCAATGATCATCTAATTCGAGAATGTATGGCATTTATCTATCTAGTTTCTAGATCTAGATCTAGAGTTACTGCAAATACTAGAATAAGTAAATTCTACATCTAGATCTAGACTTAACGTAAATTCTACATATAGAATCTAGAACTAGAATCTATATACTAAACTATTTCAGGCCTTAATTATTTTATATAAATCTTTGTTTGTTAAGCTATGGAATTGGCTAATTTGGGATATAGGCCCTAATTAAATTTAAAATAATAGGACTTATTCGCGTAACTGGTTTCTTACTTTGCAGTACATTATAGGACTAATTCTAGATTGGTTTTCCTGTACCCATATAGCAAGGATAGTAGTGTAATGGGTGGTACGGGTTCGAGATATATGACGACAAAGTTAATTTTTTTCCTAGTTTTTTTTTTTAAACGTGAATGAAGTTGCCTATCAGGACCTCGCTGGAAACAGGGCAGGTGAAGTAGAGTTCACCGGTTTCTTTGTCTTCAGAATATGAAGGGATAGTGTGGTCAGAGACATGCTCGGCCGGAATTGTTGTTTTTTTAAACGATAAAAACATGTTGTCTGAGACTTGGCGGGACACTGGGCAGGTGAAGTAGAGTTGAGTATGTCACCTGTGACGTCATTATATGAAGGGATAGTGTGGTCAGACCTATGCTCAGCCAAAATCGGTGTTTTTAAACGATAAAAAACGTCTTTTTGATTGTGGGGTCTAGCTATTTTGTGATAAGTGACAGACGTGATGTCATTTATGGATGACTCCCGAAACCCACAGTTATCTAACTAGATAACGGGTAGTCTAGTGTAATTTAATGCTTTATAATGAAAAAGCTTTTTAAAAGCCATTCAGAAAGAAATTTTGTTTCTTTAAAAAACCATTTTGCCGCTCATAAAATAGCTTAAACAATAGCTTGGCTTATGTAGACGTGGAGGTGAAATGGTAGTCCAGCCAGCTATGATAGGTACCTGACTAATGTGTCATGTATAAATATATTTTTCGTATAAAAATCACGTAAAAAATAGCTGAAGTGGCATTTTGGGGGCTGGAATACATAAACGGCATTCCTATAATTTCAATATATATATATATATATATATATATATATATATATATATATATATATATATATATATATATATATATGTATATATATATATATATATATATATATATATATATATATATATATATATATATATATATATGTATATATATATATATATATGTATATATATATATATATATATATATATGTATATATATATATATATATATATATATATATATATATATATATATATATATATATGTATATATATATATATATATATGTATATATATATGTATATATATATATATATGTATATATATATATATATATATATATATATATATATATATATATATATATATATATATATATATATGAATATTCCATTATTTGTTATAACAATTTTGAAATTGTAAATAGTGTTTCTTCCAGACTTTTTTCTCCGGGGGGGGGGGAGGGGGGCACTTGAAATTTTCGGGGGGGGGGGGGGGGCGGTAGACTTTCTTCGGGGGGGGGGCGGACACTGTTAAAAGTATATATTGTCTATATAAATTATTATGCCTGGAAGAAACTCTAATTGTAAACGTAGCGGTAAGAGCGCAGATTTGCTATAACCTAATGTAAGAATACCGCCCGTTACACATCCCATTTCTTTGCCACTGGTTCTGCTGTAAATATAAATCACTTTATAGCACGGATGTAGAACTAAATTTATTGGAAAAATCTGTCGTCAGGTGTGTGGGATCCAGTTGTTAAACCCTGGTACTGGAATGCAGGACTGGATGCATCAACGAACGGAGCACGCCATTTACATTCAGGTAGGCCTATAATAAATATGCTTGTGTTCTGTTTTAAATTCCAAATTAAAATTTCATCGATCGTAGCCAGTCGTTAGTAAAGTCGTTTTGTTTTAAATATTCAAATGATACTGTGTAGCGGCATAGGCATGTTTGATTATTGTGCGGGGTTGGCTTTCAATTTATTTTCCGTTGTTAAATATATATCAATTTTTTTTCTATATATGCTTGTACTCCAACTTCCCCCCAGAATAATTCCCTACTCATAAAAATCTATTTTTATCTCTATATCCCCACAAAAACATTCACACTTATATATAGTGTGCTGTAACATTATCTACGCTCCACAACGACCGCTGACATTTATAATAATCATTTGTTACTTGATCACTAGAGTGTGACTGAAATAAAACTATTGACTTTAAATGTAATTTGTATTAACCAGCCGCCCCCTGCTACGTAGGTTTGTTTTCTTATATATATATTATAATGTTAAATTTAAGGAGACAAGCATATGCGAAAAACCTATTCTCACAATTATTATGTGTAAAAATAGTAAATAAAAACCATATGAACATCAATTTTTATAATGTTAAAATCGAGTGAATTTTTCCCAAATACTATGTATAATTTGCGGTGAGATATTTTTTCTGATAATTTCTGCTGACATATTTCTGTCTATTTATCTTTTGTTTGTGAGATAATTTGCCATTGAGATCATTTGTGCCAAGATATTTTATCGTGAGAACATTAATTAATGACTTTTAAGTATTACATATCCCATTAATCGAGTGTTATTCTTAGAACATGTATTAACGAACCAGATTCAGTTCTGTTTTTTAGCTGCCCGTTTCACATGCATACAATGTAGGGTGGTGCCTAAGATTTTAAACTTCATTATTGTTGAAGATGACTTAAACAATTAAAAACTGCATCGTAGAAAATAATTTCAAATGGCGAGGGGGGGGGGGGGGGGTAGTTTTTAACGAGCGTTGTTGTGACGCGATTGACTGTTCAGCAGAAATATGTCGTCTGCTAGATTTCTTCCCATTCAAATACACGGCGAGCAAAACGGGCGGGCTTAGTTGGCAGTTGTCTCGATCAAGTTATATTTTAAATATTTTTGTACCCTGCAGATTTATATTATAACATTTATTTAGTTAGACGTGATATATAATTTTCTATACTTTATAGCAAGTTTGATTTAAAAAAAACATTAAATACAGTAATTTTACGTATTTTTCACCGTAAATTCTTCTCTAACCTCTAAGTCTCGTTGAATAAAACGCAAAAAATTGAATACTAGCAGAGGCGTAGCGACCTTTCCTGGCGACCGGGGACAAACTTTCGATTTGCACCCCCTCGAACTTTTCCATGCGCACCTCCCTCGAACTTTTGATTAGCACACCCCCCCTCAAACTTTCATTTTGTTTTTCAAACCCATTTTGGCCCCCCCCCCCTAAGGTCGGCGCCCGGGGATATATGTCCCCCCGCCCCCCCCCCTCGCCACGCCTCTGATTACAAGTAGTGTTGTTAAAATGACCATAAAACATTTAAAAAAAATGGAAACACGGTGTGATGACTGAGAGCAGAGGCGTAGCGAGGGGGGCGGGGGGGGGGGGGACATATGTCCCCGGGCGCCGACCTTAGGGGGGGGCGCCAAATTGAAAGTTTGAGGGGGGGTGCAAATGAAAAGTTCGAGGGGAAGGGGTGCAAATGAAAAGTTCGAGGGACAGCTGTTCCACCTCTGAACATCTTGTGTTCATTTCATTAGAGACCAGAGTTTATTCCAGGCATCCCTTCGGGGGGGGGGGGGCGAAAAAAGCCTACCACCCCCCCCCCCCGAACGAAATGAAATTTATATAGAAAATATATACATTTAACAGTGTCCGCAAATTTAGTTTCTGATCTATACACCCACCTAAAGGCCTTCAAAAACTTAACGCACTTTCAGCAGTTCAAGGTCTTCATGGCTGAAGCAACAGCTGAGTTTCCCACGTCATTTGAATGCGCGATTATCAAAGACCACCAGCTTCAGTTTCAGTAGCTGTTTTCCGACTTGTATTATATATTTTTATTTATATATTGGTTGGGGTGCAGAGGACGTTCTTCTAGGGGGGGGGGGCTCACCCACCCCGAAGTAATGCCTGGGAGAAGCTCTGGCCCCCGAACTGATATTGGATAGTTGATGCGGGTCTCGGGCTGAAAAGTTTGCATATCCCTGGTCCAGACGAAACGCATTTCAGAAAGACTAGAGTCTAGGAAAGAAAGTCATAGGAAAAAAAGGGAAAAAAAGAGACAGAAAAAAAGTCACACAAAAACGTCACAAAGTGTGATAACATGGAATTTGTTAATACGTTTATGTTTCACGATCAAACCGAAAAGACGACACTATAATAGGGCTGTCTTTGAAGCAAAACGTCAACAATACTTAATGTGGACGGACTAGGTCGACAGACGAAAGCCCTATGGCAATAAAAAGCCACAAAGAACAATAATTCTTTCATACGTAATTTTTCTACCAGATGTTTAAATAAATATGAAACAAAATTTAAATAAAATGTGTAAATTATCCTTTGTTCTTTTATTTATTGTGAAAATCAGAGTCGGATTATCATTAAAAACTATAGTGCTTTTACATTATATAAGTTTGTTACTAAAAACACCACCCCCATTTTTTACTCACATAAAATTTAACACTTTTCGACAAGTTAATCAAAATATTTATTAAATGATAAAATTTTGTTATCAACTGAAAAATCAACACTTTAAAAAGGGTCCAGAGATAATTACTTTAACCAATGGCTCGAAAATCACGTTGGCATTTTAAAAAAAATCTTTTTATGTATTCTACAGAGTTCGTCTTCTTGGGTATCGGAGCTCTGTGTGCCATCTTACTAGCCTAGATACAAATTGCTGAGAAACAACATCGTAGGCCTACTTATCGAGGGCGTTGGGTGTTTGTAATTTTGTAAAGGTGTATGTCAAGGCTGGGGGGGGGGGGGGGGATACACATTTTAAAAAAGAAATCAAACAAAACAATGTTTTAGCTAGTGTTCAGAAAGCAGCAACCAGGGGGGGGGGTGTGGTTAATAAAATGTACGGGTTGTGAGTTGTGTTACTATATTTTACAAGAAAATTACTTAAAAAACAAAATTTAAAAAATTGAATTGTGGATAAAAGGTATGACTGGTATGGGATATGTATTTTTTATGTGGTTCTGTTTTGTAACAATAGATTGTTGGGGCGGGGATAAAATATATTAGATAAAATATTTTATTGTCATCATGTTGTATATTGGCAACCAAAGAATGAAGAAAGTGTACAGAATGGGAAAAAAATCAAATAATATGTATACATCTACTTAGAAATAACAATCTATGCATATTTTAAATTTGTGTTTGTATTTATATATACACTAGTTTTTAGTTATATATGCCATTGTTTCAATGGAAAAGTAAATGTGAAGAGATTTTTATAAGAAAAAACTGCACAATTTTTAGTAAACTATTACTTACTGCACTCGGCTGTCAAAACATACTGCAATGGTGGGCGATTCGGGTCCACGAGTCCTATAAAGTCATCATTCCGTTCAGCTTTTTCATACACGATAACATAGTATCTTCTATTCAGAATGACCTTTTTGCTATAGCAACTTTGATCAAAGTACGGATGTTGAAAAACGTTGCCCATTGAAATCTTTAAATCTTCAACTTTTCCTGTGGTACGCTAAAAGAAATAAATAGCATACATGTATTAAAAAGTGCGAATGTGGCAGTTTTAAAATGAACGTTGTTGCATTTTAAATTTACTTTTAATTCAAAATTTAAAATTTAATAAAATTATGCAGGTTTAAAAAATGTGTGTTGTGATAATTATTTTAATAATTTAGTACATTTAGACGACTCTTTCCAATGGAGATAATAGTGCAAAAATAATCAATCTATTACTGTGTAGTAACATGTAAGCTAGTAATAACTAAGTAAAATAAAAACAAAGAAATAGATATTATAAAACCACCGCTTTTATAAGTGGAACAGTTCAATAAGTAGAATAATATAGCCTACTCTCAATACTTTGATTAATAGAACAATTTATTAAGAGGAGAAAACATAGACATAATCTATGCTGTGATAAGGGAAAGATATTTAATATCTATAGAAAACATAAGCTTACTGCCTTGATAAATGGAAATTAATAACTTAAGAAATTAGTAACTTCGGTTAACCTACGCAAAAATCTTTTAAAAAAATGTTACTAAATAAAATGCTCAAAATAAATAAAAGAATTAAATTAAATTGCACATTTCTAAAAAATATTTTTATATTGATGAATTTGGCATTATTTAAACATCGATAACATTTATCAATCACTACACGGGTAATAGCTCTAATATCAATAACATCATGAGTGTTTTATATTTAAACTCCAGTAAAAAGCAGTTATCATAAAATATTGGGATTTACGAATTTCATCAGGAAATTTTTTTTCCGTCTTTTCAGTTATTTTAAATGTCATTATCACGCCATAATTTGAATTTATACAATAAATAGTTTGGAAGTGATAACAATAAAATTGAATATAATACAACTTACTTGTTTGTTTTCTTGAAGATGAGAATCTGCCACACCTGAAATTAATGTGGACGTGTGAAATAATCTGGTTACAGAAAAACGTGTATCTAACCCCCCCCCCCCTCTAAGTTCCACTGAAACATTTGACAAATCAAAATAAATTGGAATCTGGCGCGGTTATTGAATTTGCATTAAAACCCGTGAACATCACTCTTAAACGATAAACAAAGCTCATGGTAATAGTGAACACCAAATGCGGCACTTATAGGTCCTTCTTCAGCTGTATGTAATCATGGTTAATGAATTTTTTTTTTAAATTCTAAAACATACATAAAATTGACGCACCGAAATTTATAGACACGATGATAACTGCTAAACTTGTCAGAGCTAGCATCCTAAGCTGCGTTAACAGCGACGCCATGTTGCCGCTCAGGGTGCGACAATCCGCTGAAAGAATAAACAAAAATTACTTTAAAAAGGTTTTAATAACAAGCTTTTATTTAAAACTGCACTAAAAGGAGAAAACAAATTATTTTCGTAAAAAAATTAATAATACTATACTATTTAAATTACTATAAACAAAAGCGGTATCTAACTAAATATTAGCACAGACATCAAATAGATAAAATGGTCATCAAATTAAGTCAAATTCGAAGTCAGAATTCTTTGTCTTCAAGTCTTGATGCACAAGTCAACTTTGAAACAAATCTGTCAGGTAAGAAGTGCTCGAAAATTCAATCTAAGACGAATGACAAAAGCATGACAAAAAGCACATTAATGCTTGTGAAAAAAGATTTGTGTTTACAAAACAAACCTGAATCTTCCCAGTCTAACTTTTATAGTCACATTCGCGCTTGTATAGTCACAGACTAACTCTTAGTTCCAAAATCTTAACTTTTATATTAGCAGTTGCGCTTGTAAAGTCACAGACTAAATTTTAGACCCAAAATCTTAACTTTTATAGTCACCAACAATCTGGTTTAGTCACAAATTTTATTGCATAACATTTACATTTAAATAGTTAATTTTATGGGATTAGACTAATTTTTAGGCCTATGTTCACAAATCTAATCAAAAGTTTAAAGACATTCAAACTAAGATAGGTTTGTGAACAAAACAAACAATTGATTGGAGAACTGACAAACGACGACCTCAGCAACCATGAGTCAGAAGTAGATCAAAGCCAGAGCGTGAGCCAGAATGTGAAACTAGCGTGAAATTATCACATTGATCATGTGATTATTAATAATATTGGTCCATGGCTATCAGCATTAGAGTAGTAAACGGTTATTCAATACATTATTTGTAATTTCAACGCTTTAATGTAAATTAAGTAAAATTTCAAGGAAAAAAGAACACATGTCCAAAATTAATATATGTATATTTTTAAAATTTGTTATTATCACACGGATTAGCCTGGTAACTAAATGAATATAAAGCATTGAACCAATTTTAATAAAAAATCTAATTTCAATTCAAAATATAATTAATGAGGCTACCCGAGTCTGCAAACACTAAATTTCGTTTGCCTGAAAGTGAAGAATTGTGACATCTTTGGTTAAGCCCCTATTGTCTTTATATAATCACAATAAGTCTCACTTTTATATAAAAATTCCAACTGTTATAATCAGCAACTCTATGGTATATTCACAATCTTAATTGTGTAATCACATACCAGCTTACATACTGAAATCCTAAATTGATCGTCACAATTGAGCGTGTATAACCATGTATCTGGGAAATGGTGGTTTCGTGTTTCGTTTTCTTTAGAGTGGGGAACGGGGTGCTGCGGTTTGGGGTTGGAGGAGAATAGCTAGGGGTAAATGGCGGTAGTTAATTGTCAGAAGGGAGTTACTGATTGGAGAAGGGTGTGGCGAATTGTGAGGTTAGTGGTGTGGGCAGTTTGTGTGTGGGTGTTGGGAAGTGGGTAAGAGGGTGAGGATATTGTGGGGTGGTTGTTGGGAAGAAATAGAAGAGTAAATGGGTGTGGAAAAATGGAGGGGTGAAAAAAAATGGAGGGGTGGGGAGTTGAGAATGGGTGGGGTTGTAATGGAGGGGTGGGGTTGTAATGGAGGGGTGGAGAAGTAGGGAGTGGTGGTATGGTAGTGTTGGTTGGGGAAGTAGTGGAAAGTGTGGAGGTAATAAATGTGTTGGGAATTTGTGGAGGGGTGGGGAAGTAGAGGAGAGGTGGGGAAGTAGTGGAGGGCTGGGGAAGTAGTGGGGGAGTGGGAAAGTAGTGGAGGAGTGGAGGAGTGGAAAAGTAGACAAGAAGTAGATGAGAAGTAGTGGAGAAATAGTGGAGAAGTAGAGTAAGGGTAGAGAAGGAGTGGAGGAGTGGGAAAATAGTGGAGGATTGGGGAAGTAGTAGAGAGGTGGGTAAGTAGTGGAGGAGTGGAGGAGTGGGGAAGTAGTGGGGGAGTGGGAAAGTAGTGGAAGAGTGGGGAAGAAGTGGAGGAGTGGGGAAGTAGTGGAGGGCTGGGGAAAGAGTGGAGAAGTGGGGAAGTAGAGGGTAAGTAGTTGAGGAGTGGGGAAATAGTGCAGGAGTGGGGAAATAGTGGAGGAGTGGAGGAGTGGGGAAGTAGTTGTGGAGTGGGGAAGTAGTGGAGGAGTGGGGAAATAGTGGAGGAGTGGGGAAGTAAGGGAGGAGTGGGGAAGTAGTTGAGGAGTGGGGAAGTAGTGGAAAAGTGTGGAAGTAGTGGAGGAGTGGGGAAGTAGTGGAGGAGTGGGGAAGTAGTAGAGGAGTGGGGAAGTAGTGGAGGAGTGGGGAAGTAGTAGAGGAGTGGAGGAGTGGGGAAGTATGGAGTGGTGGTATATTAGTGTGGGTTGGGGTAGTAGTGGAAAGTGGGGAGGTAATAAATGTGTTGGGGGGAGTGGGGAAATAATGGAGGAGTGGGGAAGTAGGGGAGGATTGGGGAAGTAGTACAGTAGTGGGGAAGTAGAGAAGGAGTGGGGAAGTAGTGAAGGAGTTGGGAAGTAGTAGAAAAGTGGGGAAGTAGTTGGGGAGTGGAAGAGTGGGGAAGTAGTGGAGCAGAGGGGAAGTAGTAAAGGAGTGGGGAAGTAGTTGAGGAGTGGGGAAGAAGTGGAGGTGAGGAAGTAGTGGAGGGCTGGGGAAATAGTGGAGAGGTGGGGAAGTAGTGGGGAAGTAGTGCAGGGGTGGGGATGTAGTGGAGGAGTGGGGAAGTAGTGGAGGAGTGGGGAAATTGTGGAGGATTGGGAAATAGTGGAGAGGTGGGTAAGTAGTGGAGGAGTGGAGGAGTGGGGAAGTAGTTGAATAGTGGGAAAGTAGTGGAGGAGTGGGAAAGTAGTGGAGGGCTGGGGAAAGAGTGGAGGAGTGGGGAAGTAGTGGGTAAGTAGCTGAGGAGTGGGGAAATAGTGCAGGATAGGGGAAATAGTGGAGGAGTGGAGTAGTGTGGAAGTAGTGGTGAAGT